AGGTTATTTCGTTTTAGTGAACGAGGCGAGAACTCAAGCGGCCAAGAGGATGGTCGGTCTCGTTCGCAAGAGTGACCCTGGGTCAAACAAAAGAAATAAACAAATAATATACAAACTCGAGACCCGCAATGACGCAAGAAACACCCAACGCTCACATCGCGGGCTCGAGAGAGCCGTCCATCCGCCGGGTGCACACAGCACTTGCCCCAAGAGTCTGGGTCGGCAACACGGGGGACCTTTGTCTTTGCACAAGAGCGGATGAAGGGGGCACGCAGCGGCCTCGCACCTGGAGCTGGGCCATCCAATCATCGAAGAGACGACTCCACCGATTTACCGGACCACTTGCTCGACTAATCTAGTAACTCGAAAATAGCAAAAGTCTCACCCGTTTCCACGTGTGCCGCTGGACGGGAGGTTACGGGGTGGGGCTTGGTAACGTCATCCAATTTGAAGTCGATGAAGTAACTAACTCTGGCCTGCTCTACTCGTAACCTCCATAGTTCTGGCGGCAGAGATGAGTAGAACGAGTGGGGGGTGGTGGCGAACAGAGAGAGGTCACTCACCCAGAGGCCCCGAAATACGCGATGCAGCTTCATCTCCACCCTCCTATCGCCTCCACCATCACCTCCACCATCACCATCACCTCCACCATCACCTCCACGTTCTCGCACAGTCAGCCACGGCCTCGGGCAGGAGTTGGTCTACCACCCCGTTGCAACATAATAAATAAACTGGTGTTTAATTGACCGTCAGTCACCATCTACTGCTAGTTGCAAGCTTCGCCCCACCTACGTCACCATGGCTCCGATGTGCGAGGTTTGCGATGGCGAGCGCGTTCCGCAATACGGCACGAGGTGGCAACTGGCGACACATCACGTGTGGCTCCACAGACACCCAGACTCGCCCATCAAGCCCCACCCACACTCAACCTCACCCAGACTCACCCATCAAGCCCCACCCAGACTCACCCAACAAACTTCGCCCAGACTCACCCACCAAGCCCCACCCACACTCAACCTCACCCACACTCACCCACCAAGCCCCACCCAGACTCACCCAACAAACTTCGCCCAGACTCACCCACCAAGCCCCACCCACACTCACCCACCAAGCCCCGCCCACACTCACCCACCAAGCCCCACCCACACTCACCCACACTCACCCACCATGCCCCACCCACACTCACCCACCATGCCCCACCCACACTCACCCTCACCCACACTCACCCACCAAGCCCAACCCACACTCACCCACCAAGCCCCACTAACACTCACCCACCAAGCCCCACCCACTCTCACCCACACTCACCCACCATGCCCCACCCACACTCACCCACCATGTCCCACCCACACTCATCCTCACCCACCAAGCCCCATCCACACTCACCCACCAAGCCCAACCCACACTCACCCTCACCCACACTCACCCAGCAAGCCCAACCCACACTCACCCACCAAGCCCAACCCACACTCACCCTCACCCACACTCACCCAGCAAGCCCAACCCACACTCACCCACCAAGCCCCACCCACACTCACCCTCTACCACACTCACCCACCAAGCCCCACCCACACTCACCCTCACCCACACTCACCCACCAAGCCCCACCCACACTCACCCACCAAGCCCCACCCACACTCACCCTCACCCACACTCACCCACCAAGCCCCACCCACACTCACCCACCAAGCCCCACCCACACTCACCCTCACCCACACTCACCCACCAAGCCCCACCCACACTCACCCTCACCCACACTCATCCACCAAGCCCCACCCACACTCACCCACCAAGCCCAACCCACACTCACCCTCACCCACACTCACCAAGCCTCACCCACACTCCCCACACTCACCCACACTCACCCACCAAGCTCCACCCACACTCACCCACCAAGCCCCACTAACACTCATCCACCAAGCCCCGCCCACCCCCACCATATTCCACCCACACTCACCCACCAAGCCTCACCCACACTCACCCACCAAACCCACACTCACCCACCAAGCCCCACCCACACTCACCCACCAATCCCCACCCACACTCACCCACCAAGCCCCACCCACACTCACCCACCAAGCCCCACCCACACTCACCCACCAAGCCCCACCCACACTCACCCACCAAGCCCCACCCACACTCACCCACCAAGCCCCACCCACACTCACCCACCAAGCCCCACCCACACTCACCCACCAAGCCCCACCCACACTCACCCACCAAGCCCCACCCACACTCACCCACCAAACCCACACTCACCCACCAAGCCCCACCCACACTCACCCACCAAGCCCCACCCACACTCACCCACCAAGCCCCACCCACACTCACCCACCAAGCCCCACCCACACTCACCCACCAAGCCTCACCCACACTCACCCACCAAACCAGCTTCTCCATTCACTCATCGCCCACCCAGAGCTCACATCGTCCCAACCTCCATCCGCCAACTGCTCTCCCGCCAGGCCTCGACTCGAGGTCCGGAGAACTCCCCCCCCCCTCGCAGCGCCGTGGCCATCCCTGTGACGTCATCGAGGCGTATATCGGCGATGGGTTGAAGGCAACTTCGCACAAAACTCCACCGCGTCACATCCCGCACGCGACTTCTCGCGCCCCGAGATCATCAGCTGTGTCCCGCCGTCGGAAGAGCGCGCCCGCGCGAGAGAGAGAGACTTTGTGTGTTTTGACCGCTGCTCATATGCCGAAGTGAGTGATCTGCTGCACAGGTTACACCACGTGCTTCGCCACACCGTCGGCGTGGCAGTGTGTGTATGAATGCCATGGCACGTTCCTGGTGCTGCGCGCGTGAGCCTGTGAACACCGCCCTTCAGGTATCACGAGAAGCGGTGCTTAGTGTTGCCCTAAACCTGTTCTTAGGGATTCTAGGAATATCGGGAACAACGATGCAGGATTTTGATCGATCGGCGTACCTTGTACTCTAGTGCCTCGCGCTGGTAATCCCGACTCGGGACAAGCCGAGCAGCAGCCGCAGCGTTTCGAAGAATGCGGAGATCACCGCGGGATGGTGGAAGCCGAGCGATTCCACCCTCTTCCACGCGTGCGCGGCGGTGCGGGGTGTGCGCCAGCCCTCGCTTCGCAGAGACTCGGAACAATGCGATGCCAACGTCTGGGGCGCATGTGCCAGGCTGCGTGTGCCGCTGCTCAGCGCGGCGTGGCACTGCTGCGTTGCGCTGCTGCGTTGCGCTGCTGCGCAAACACGGAGAGGTCCAACCTCCATCACCGACTCGCCGATCCAGCTCCACCCAGATTCACTCGCACCCAGCTCACCCCCTCTCCCCACCGATCCTCTCTCCATTCAACCCCCGCATCCCTAGACCCCCCCCACGACGTTTCCTATTTGACGTCGTGGCGTCTATATTGGCTTGGGACAAAGAGATCCGACGACGAGCGGTCACGGCTTCTCGCTCTCAGAGCTCATCATCGGCTCTTCCCCCAGGGAGGCGACGAGAGGGGGGGGAGTGGTTGTCGGTGCTGTTTTCTGGCCGAATGGCGAAGTGAGTGGCCCCGCGAGCGAGACTTTGGGCTTCCCCGAGCCCGCACGCACTCTCTGAAACACCGCGACTCGCGCGCGAGTTGTGTTTCACCTTCGTGTCCGTGTGTAATGTGCATCATGTTTATACACTCACAATTCGGTGTTGCCGATGCTGTGCATCCGCCTGAATGGCACGCACAGAGGGATATTTTGGATCGACTCCTGGGTTCCCGTGTGTCTGTTTACCAGGGTATGTATGTTGAACTTTTTTCGCGCCGTACGTAGCAAACCGTGCTAACCCGAGGTGCTCTATTCGGGTGAACGTTATACCCAGAGTGTTGTTGTTTTAAAAAGTGAAATCGCATCAATGACACTCACAACTTGGTAAGAGCCACGGATTTATTTACAACTCTTTTGTGGCTGCTGTGTTCGCCCACTCAGCGGCAGTGACGCCACCACAGGGTTTGTACCACGCTTGGCTACGTCCGGTGCGAAAGAAGTTAAACATAAATATACGTCCTGCACTTTGAGCCCACGTGTAGTTGTCGAAGGCTCATCACTGGCAGGGAGTCACGGGACAGACCCACGTTCATGGATTGACAGACGACTGGTCGATAGATGAACCACTTGTGCCCCCACTGTGCCAACTTGCTGCGTTTTTTCAGCCTGGAACTCTGTCCGTTGTTGTGAGCGTCCGTCCTCGGCCCTCTGTTGCTGCGGTAAGGCAACAACCACGTGGCGCACACATGTCGCATATTGTTTATGGTGTCTTTGCACATAGAGTGTATAAACACCGTGCTCTGTTAGGCCACGCAATGTACAATGTGTGAGCGGGGCGGGGGTGGTGGTTATGCACGTGGCCTGTAGTCCAGCGCTGTGGAGGCAGCGAGGGTTGGTCGATGGTACAGAGGCGTCGTCGTCAAACTCCCTTCCGATGGTCGTCGAGGAGGTGCCACACCCTGGCTCGCATTACACAAGTGTGGACTGATCGCCATCTGTTTCCGTCTGTACGGGATTGAGTGTTACCCCCTCGCGCGCGTGGGGTTTCTCCCATTGCTTCGGTTTCCCCCCACTTGTACAAACACGCATGAGTTGGATGAAACGGCGTGAGCTTCCTGGATAAATAAGTGCCATTGAAGTATCATGCTGTTGCGTGCGTGGCTCTCGCCTTAGATTGTACACGTGTTCAAATCTCGTCTATCCACTGCTGGATACATACTTTCCTTCCTGCGTCGCCGGAGTCGACTGAGAAGAGTGGACTTTTGAGCAGATGAATGTTGTTATGGCAACCGTAATCTAGAGCGAGGTGTGTAGTAGGTGGAGTAAGTTAGAAGCCATTCAAGAGGACCAGGTGGAGGCAGGGTGTGAGAGTGGGGCAGTGAGGTGGTGTTCAAGGGGGTCAGTAGTAACGCAGAGCTGTATGTGTCATCAGCATTGTTATGATGGTCAACATTTAAATCTGGAGATGATTTTGCCAAATGGGAAAATCTATCTCGGCAAGAGCAACATGTGGCGCGGGATGGAGACTCGCGGGTCGCCAAAGCACAGGGATTCTGGGAGGAAGATGGCCCTGTTGTACGGACTTGTCCAAGGTGAACGCTGTTGTTGGCGCTGTCCATGGGACTTGGTAGCAACTTCGCATTTAATTCGGAACATTCGCTCCAGCAAAGACGAACCATAGTGAGTGAAAAAGTAAAAATGGACTCTTTCCAAAGATATTTTCAGGGAGAAAACAAACGAGTTTCAGCCCTATGGCATATCGTGGCGTACAGAAATGGATAGAATGTAAGATTTTCATTTTCGTTAACGTTTATCTCGTGGTAATTATTCTCTTGTGTATGTGGGCTTATGTGTGTGTGTATAACTGTGGGGAGCGGTAGTGTAGTGGTTAGCGCTATGAACCCGGCGACCCGGGTTCGATTCCCGCTCACGGCCAACATCTGTGACGATTATAACTGAACCGGTCCTTGTCTTTGTGTGTAACTGTGGGAGCAGTGGCCTTCGTGGTTGGTTCACTACGCTAGGAACCCGTCCACGCGAGTGATATCTGAACCAGTTCTGGGCCCTCCCCTAGATGGACTCGGCCTTAAATGAGTACCCGACATGGCGTGCACAACATCCGCACTGGGGCGACAAAAGCCAGCGGTGGGGGTTGTCACCACACCACCCGACTAACGCGCCGTGCCAGACCTTAACAGGCGCTTGCTAACGGCACTTGCCCCTAGAGCCCATGTCGGCCACACGGAGGCGGGGGGGTGATCCTTGACATTCCGTGCTGCGTCACCTGTGCAGGTACGGGAGCGGTCAGTCGCAGCCGCACTTGTGGCAAATCTACCTGGGCATCACGTCGCCCATCAGCCTCGCGACGCCCACCGAGGAGGAGGTTCGCTCCAGCGACCTCCTGCAGGAGGCCCTGCAGCAGCTGAAGGTGTTCGAGGAAGTCGTGGAGCTGGAGCAAAGGTTCGTGTCGTGACCCTCCCTCCCTCCGCCACTGTCACCCCCTGCCACCACCGCCACCACAGTTACAACCAAAGACTCACCCCGTAGGTGGACAGCACCACGCCCGGCCGCCTTTGGGAATCGAACTCGGGTCGCCGGATTCTGAGGGCAGCGCGCTAACCGCTACACTGCCGCTCCCCACTGTCGCCACCGTCACCGCCACCGCGTTCTTCATGCGCACTCGTACAACGGGCCTTTTATCAATCCGCTACTGGATGAGGGCATCCCGCGCCGCGTAAGTCGTGGCGGTTATTTGACCGCGCTTCACCGCGCTGGTCGGTGTGGGTTTCGCCGAACGCGTGGAGCATCGGTGTGGGATGTACGGGATGCTGCACGGCTGTGAATGTTGCTGCGTTGCCCTGCCCTGCCTTGCCCTGCCCTGCCCTCTGCTGTCAACCGCATAACCTGCAACCTACAGCAACCTGAGGTGCATGGTGGCTTCAGATCCGAGTCTTCTCCAGGCTGAACCCAGTTTAGCTTCCGCGATCTGATGTCTAGGGCACAATTATAACACGGTAGTGCATTATTAACATATTCACGACAGTCAGAGCTTTCATAATGCGTATTGCAATGGATAATTGGCTTGTTCACCGACTGTAGTGTCCGTGGAAGAGGCTTGCTGCGATATGGCTGCGTGTGGTGTTCGGTGACTGCCATGCACAGTGGCTGGAATCGAACTTGGATGATGAGCTCGTTAAAAAACTTCAACTCTCGATGTTCAAGTGACTGTCGTAATTAAAGTGAAAACTGTTTTAAAGCAACACTTTATTCCACCCATTACGAGGCACGTGCGCGCGTGCCTGTCTCCGACGCGCTGATCGCTCTGGCGCTATCGTAATGAACCACCGTTAGACTCATTTGTGACGCTCGCTACTTAAATTATGGCGAGGTTTTTTCTTTTTTCCCCCTTTTAACGTGCACTTCAATTTTTTTAACATTGATAGATTTAATAAAAATAACATTTGGATAAATTATAGGGAAGGAAAAAAAATGGTATCGCCGGAATATTTTAATCATGGAGAGACAGCGCTTTAATGAGATTATCAGCACGAGTGCAGTTAATAATCTGCAGGAAAATAAATGCAGCCATCTTCACGATTTGGCTCCGCCCTGTGCGCTGCCCAGCGATGTCGCTCCCCGTTGCACAATTCTCCCTAAAGTTTGAGCGATTTGGTCGCTGGTGTGGCATTAGCCATCAACAAGCGTGCATATCATGACATTCACTCTCCTCCTCATCGTCATCGCCTCCCCCTGACGTGTGAAGTAAACACCAAGCTTCTGTGTCGTTAAACCCTCCACCACCCGACGCAGCCAACTAGTAAGGGTTGTCACGTAAACAGAACGTGACAATTTGTTGCGAGTACAGCACGCCGGTGTGTTGGAGAGCACACCCACCACATTTACAATTAGAGTACGACATTTCATCAGTAATTACAGCTAGCATCATCAGGCGACAGCCAGGTATGCTATACTAATAGCAACTTGACATGTTCTTTGTACGTGACAAACCTTACTAATTGGCTGTGTCGGGTGGTGGCGGGTTTAACGACACATTTGTATATTTACACGATCTAACCCCAACCCCTCTTATGGATGACATTGGTCGCGTAAGCCCCTACTTCATGTCAAGCTTCTCGATTGCCATTGGTCACCGATTATTTTTGTCTTCTGCAAGTATTAATCCCGGTCGATGGATCGTATGAAATGATAGATCATAGGAAATCTAAGGCTATACGCGTTGTCGTGATAGATTCAATTGTTTTTGTTTCTGCCTCGTTATTAACGTGCCCACAATCACCGCCGCGTCCATTTATACTACCGCCATTAATTCCATCACGATGGTCGTGATGGAATTAGTATTTCGTTAGCAAACGTCTCGTTGGTTTGCAGGTTGAATAATATATTTTAATCTCCGTTTTGCCTTTGAGGGGACTTTTCACCACTTACTTTTGTAATCTTTTTTAGGTAACTTTTTTCTTTTTGCTCAATCTTTCAACGGGAGGATTTCGATGAAAGAAAACGTCAAACTCCTGCCAGCCATGGCTGCCAAACATTTGAAAATCTCGACAAACTCCTCAATGACTGATGAAATCACTGAAGCAGCTTTCATTTTTATTTATGCTGATGCAAGCTTGTCACACCGGATCAATAAGAACACAGGCAATTTCAGACGCATGCTGTGGGGTAGAAGGTAATGCAGGACAACAAGAAAGTGATTTTATTTGGATAAAAGTTCCGTGTAATTTTTTTTCCTTTGACCTTTGCAATGGATAAGTGCAGTGTTCGTGGCAGGGCCGGGGGTATAATGTTGCTGCGTCAGGCTGTTTGTGAGCAGCTTCTTTTTTTGTTGTGATGGCTTCTCAATGTTTAGGCTGGCCGTCTTGGGCAAGCTGAACCACATGGTGAACCGGTGGGTCCAAGACTTTGCTGAAGCCAAGGTACGCTGGTGGTGGTGGTGTCGGCTCTCGCTCGCCGTGCGTGACGACAGAAATGGGCCCCCACTCGAAGTCGCAGCCCGTTTGTCCGTCGCGTGTTTGTGGGGAGTGGTGGTGCAGCGGATTAGCGCGATGCGCTACGAACCCGGCGACCCAAGTTTTATTCCTGCTCATGGCCAACACCGGTGATGATTATCTGAACCGGTCCTGGGCCTCCCCTAAGTCGACTCGGTCTCAAATGAGTACCTGAAGGGGTGTGCAAACATCACCACTGGAGATACAAAGGCGACCGGGCGTAGTGCTGGCCACCTACCACCTCATGTGGCGTGCCGGCCTTCATAGGTGCTCGCTAACAGCACTTGCCCCAACAGTCTGTTAAAGCTATGAGGGGGATCTTTGTTTTTGTTCGTCGCCAAGCCCGTCTCCAGTCCCCTGCTGTGGTCTAGTCTCACAGCTCCCGTGGCCTCGCCATCATTCACAGAGTTGGTGCTGTCTCTGTCACGTGGGACGGTGTCCAGTTTGTTGTGGACGGGGTGGTGGAGGTGTTGTTGTTATTCAAAGTGTTCGGCCACAGTTTAAGTTCCCGTCGTTTTGATTTGCCGCGTTCCTGTTCCGTGTTCCACAGGAGCTCTCGCCGAGCATCATTGAGAACATTTCCGCAAAGATCTGTACTTTCGGCTCGTTCCGGCTGGGCGTCCACAATAAAGGCAAGCGTCACACGAGGCCCTCCCCAGGATCTCGTGAAAGTGCGAGATGTTGCGGTGCCCTGCTCAAAAAGCCGCGATGCCCAGAGCAGGCAAAAGTAGATGTCGCTGTTACCTCCCCCTTTCGGGACGTTCAGTCGTAAGTGATCTAGCCAATCCATTGCTCGGTCTGAGAGTTGGGGAATTGCAGACCCACCCATCCACTGCCCTGGAATTTACATTTGGGGGGCGTGCGAAGTTTGTGTGGTCCGTGGTGAGGAGTTGGTAGCCACAGTTGCACACACTCCTGCATTTAGGTTTCAGTTACTTAGGTATTTAACGCATCATGTGATAGCAGTTTGGCCAAATTGTGCCATGAAGCTCTCTTAATCCACTATAAATAAGTAGTCTTCTATTGTTTAATTTTGTCGTCCTTGTGACCCATGTGCCGCCCGTTGTAATCGTCCTGTGGTACCTTCCTTGGTTGATGAATGCGAGCGATGCTTGCCCCACACTACATGACGCTAAACCGGGGAGGGTCTGTGTATGTCGCTAAAGAGTAACGACCGGTGGACTCGGAGTCGTCCGTCGATGTGCGGACGCAAAGCGGAGCTTGAGGCGGCGGCGTTTCCACATCGTGGCCTCTCTCGTGTGCATCACCGCGCACGTCGCACGCTCTGCCATCGCGTCGTTACCTTCCCCGCGTCGCTCCGTTCCCCGCGTGCCTCTCTCTAAGCGTCCCTCGTACCGTCTGCAGACGCAGATATCGACGCGCTGTGCGTCGCTCCGCAGCACGTCGATCGAACCGACTTCTTCACTTCCTTCTGCGAGCTGCTGAAGGAGACGAATGGCGTGACGAGCATACGGGTAACGCGCCTCTCCTCGCGCCGCGCTGCGTCGGCGGTGCGGTGGTTCACGCGCCGAGCGATGATCCCGGCCGTCTGGATCGAGTCCCGAGCCGTCGGACCGGGCGCCGGTGGCGACGCACATGGCCTGTTAGCCAGCAGCACTGTGGAGGCAGCGAGGGTTGGTGAATCGCATAAATGTTAACGTCGAGGTGCCATACCCTGACTCGCCAGGAGGAAGGCAGCGAGCGGACGAATCGCCATCGGTTTTCATCTGTACGGAGTTGGAGTGTTGCCCCCTCGTTGCCCGCTCGCGCTCTTTGGTCTTCTCCAGGCCCTGGTTCCCTCCCACACTCGTCGCCGTCCATTGGCTGAACAATCTTCAAATAAAAGCCCAACGAGAGAGCGGCAGGGTCCTCCTCGGAACGACTCCCACGACTCGTTGTGCCTTTCCTGAATAAATAAGTAAATTATTATATAATTGGGCCCCGGGTCTCTCCTAGGTTGGCTGAGCCTAAAAGCAATACTTTCTGCAACACGTGGAGGGTGGCTCTGCCTGCGGGCTGCCGGGCTTAGCGGCCATTGTTGTGCTGCTCCAGTCGTGGGCTCACCGATGGATCTCATCCCCCCCCCCCCTGCCCGTTTTTAATTATAATTATATACGTGGCATCTGTGTCTGCATGTCGCTGTATGTGTATATATATCTGGAGTGAATAATAATGGTTATTGGACTTAAAGAAAGTGGCGTTTCAATTGTGAAAAAGCTGAGCGCTGGGGGCTGGAAACGGTGGAATTGGAGGCCAGCGTGGGCCTCTGCTCAAATGGAGGGGGGGGGGGGGCGCTCTCCTGTCCTGCGTTTGCTTTTGATAGAAAAACTAATGTTGGATTTTCGTTGCCTCCATATAATGGCAGTCTCTCCCGCGCGTGCGTACAGACATTCACGACGTATACTGATGTACGTTGTTGTCTTTTGCAGGCGGTGGAAGATGCCTTTGTGCCTCTCATCAGATTTCAGTTTGATGGCATTGAGGTGAGCGCGTGTCTTTGTGGCACCCCCTTGTGTGCCGTGCCAGCCTTCATAGGCGCTCGCGAACAGCACTTGCTCCTACGGTCTGTTTAAGGCTATATGGGGGATCTTTGTCTTTGGCACACAAAGACACCCCGGTGTTTGTAACTCCCCGTTCCTCCTTGAACCTCCATGAATTACGGCTGCGATACGTCTACTACGTCAGACCGAGTTTGTTAGGCAGGGAGCACCAGGAAGCCCAAATCAGTTGGATTTCTGTTGTTGCCATTAAATTCCAAAGTTATTTTTATAGTTAAAATAAATCTAAACATATCTTGTGCAAATACAATGACAATGTCATGGCATACTAAACTTAAAATAAACTTTATTTTTTATTTTACCAGGCAAGGTCCGCTGAGCTATGTAGCTCTTTTTCAGAAACGACCCAGCCACAAATGATAGCTCAAAGAAGTGGCTTATGTAGAAATGTTAATTTCAAATGTGGAGGGAAAACCGGAGGACCCGGAGAAAAATCCACACCACCACGGGAAGAGAGACATGAAAACTCCAATATACAGCAGGAATCCTGGTCGGGATCGAACCCACGACCTACTGTATACCAGGCGAGGGAGTTAACATCTCCTAGCCACCGTGGTGCCATATTGTCAACAATACGATCATGTTGTCTTTATTCTAAAATGTTCACCGTTCACAGTGGTCCAAATCGACGCGAACGTTTCCACGCACAAGGGGCGTTCTCGAGACGCTTCACTGCGTGACTTCGCCCCTTCGTTGTGCAGATCGACCTCCTCTTCGCGAGACTGAACATGCAGAGCATTCCCAAGAAACTTGACTTGCGAAACGACAACATCCTGAGAAACCTCGACATCCGCTGCATCCGGAGCCTCAACGGTGAGCACTGAGCCGCCCCTGCCGTTTAATTCGCAATTCATTCCTCGTTTCATTCATTCATGCAAACGTACAAATCATTTGCACGGCAGGGCCCTGCAAGCGTGGCCACGCGGTGGGGTCGTCCTTGCATTGGGGTCTGAAAAGAAACAAGGGGAGGCAACTCTTTCTGTAGCAAACAACTTTATCACCCCTGCACAGCTTCATGAAAGACATCACTTCGCCCGGTCTTCCCCACAAATAGCATAATAAAATAAATGTACATCCCTCTGTCAACCCACTGCTGGATGGAGGCCTCCCCCAATGCCGAGTCGGTTATGAGAGTTGCTTGACCGTACTCCACGCTCGGCGAGCGTGGCGAGAGCCGTGATTGTGGGCCCCGCCCCGAGCTGCTGTGGAAACGTGGAAATGTGTGCGCAGGTTGCCGCGTGACGGACGAGATCCTGCACCTGGTGCCCAACGTGGAAACGTTCCGCCTCGCCCTGCACGCCGTCAAGCTGTGGGCGAAGCGTAAGTCGTGCCGGGCGCACTCCCGACTCTGCTCGCCCTAAGCTGGAGTCCTGCTGCTGTCGCGTCTAAATCTAAACTGTACTATTTTTATTTTACCAGGTAAGGCCCGCTGAGCTACGTAGCTCTTTTTCAGAAGCGACTTGGCCACAAATGATAGCCCAATGAAGTGGCTTGCCATGTGGAAATGTATCGCAGCCAAATACTCTAAATGCACGTTGATTCTAAATGTGGAGGGGAAAACCGGAGAACCCGGAGACAAATCCACGCGACCACAGGGAGAACAAGCAAATTCCAAAATATATAGGCGTCTGTGTCGGAATCGAACCCACGACCTCCTGTATACCAGGCAAGGTCGTAACATCTTGCCACCATCTGGAGTCGAGCACTTAATTCCTTCCTCACCATTGCGCCGGTGAGAGAAATCCACGTCGAGCGGTCGGGACGATCGGTGATGCTGGCACTCGCCGATTCAATCTGCTCACGGGCTCACCGGCGGACAGTCACCGGATCACATTGGTGTCCTTCCCCAGCCAGTAACTCTGATATCATTTCAAGGGTATTTTGAGTCCCCAGTTAAATGTTCTAAAGAAATGAGTTTTCAATCGCGATGATTTAAAAGCGCATAACTCCAGTGGCTTCCTAATATCGGTCGTGCCCCCTGCTCGCTCAGCAGCCGCTGCCGTGCACGTCGCGGCGTGCGTCGGCGTGTCACGGCGCGTGGCAGCGTGTGGACGTGTGGGGTCGCGGTCTGTGTGCCCGTGCTCCTGCAGACCACGGCCTGTACTCGAACATCCTGGGCTTCCTGGGCGGCGTCTCGTGGTCCATGCTCGTGGCCCGGATCTGCCAGCTCTACCCCTGTGCCACGGCGTCCACGCTCCTACACAAGTTCTTCCTTGTCTTCTCCCAGTGGTGCGCCACCCACACCCCTCTCCGTGACGACACCGTCCGCTCAGCACCGCTCTGTTTTGGGTCACGGTTTCAGCTTCAATTGGTTGTCATCATCGTCCTCGGCTATAATCTATCCGCTGCTGGATGAAGGGCTCCCCGATCCTGCGCCATCCCTCGCGATATCGCAATGCACCAGTCCATCCGGCTCCTCCGCACCAGCTGATTCCGTCGAGTGTGTGTTTGCGCGACTCGCGACCGATTGGCAGCACCGGTCTTTGGATATTTTTAGAGGCCTCAAAAGCGGGAGAGAGACATCGCATTGTTGATTCGTTATTGCGTCGTTGTTGATTCGTTGTTTCGGTGTTGTGTCGGTGTTGTGTCGGTGTTGTGTCGGTGTTGATTCGATCTTGTGTCAGTGTTGTGTTGTGTCGGTGTTGATTCGGTCTTGTGTCGGTGTTGTGTCGTGTTGTGTCGGTGTTGTGTCGGTTCTCAGGGAGTGGCCGAAGCCCGTGCTGCTGAAGCAGCCGGAGTTCAGCCGCCTCAACCTGCCGGTGTGGGACCCCCGGGTGAGCGTCGCTGCTCCGCACCGCAGGGCCCCCCGCGTCCCCCGTGCGCTGCAGCGACCTTGCGGTCATGTGACGCGTGGAAACCCCCTCGCACCGCGTACCGATTTGAATATGAAGTTAATAACGTAACATACGAACCACGTGAAACTAAATCGCGTTTAGATCCACCAGCCTCTGAGCCGTCTGAACCAACGTGTTTCGGCATCAACTCGTTTACACAGGCACATCCTGGACCAGTTTTCGACTTTGAGTCTCATCAGCTGTGTGACAAAACAACCCGTAAATGATTACAAACCCATAATTTTGTCACTCTAGTGTGAATCACAACAGTGCTTATGGAGTCGGTATAGATGTGCAGGGCTGTAATTGATGGCTAGAAGAGCAATGTAGAATGTGTATTTTGCTCACAAAGCAGCCACTTGGGTGCGAGCTTTATGCACACCCTGTGCGTGCTCGGGGAGGAGCGGAGAGCAGCTGTGCCTCCTCCGAGTCGGCGCCAGGGGGCGGCAGGAGGGAGCCGCGCGCCGCTGCCCCGAGGCAGCCTCCGGGCAGCGAGTGCCGCCCTTCCCATGGCAGGCACGTTGACAAAAAGTTAAAATGTTCTTTGGACCGGCTGAAATGTATTTTTGTGCCTGGTAAAACACGTGTATATTTTATATATTTATCTAGTTTAATACGTTGGACGCGTCGAGGTGACGTCGCTGTCACACGCCGAGTCCGGCTGGAGAGATGTTTTGCGGCGTGGCCTGCGCGTGAACACCAGAGCCGGCGGACGGTCCGAGGGGGCCGGGGCCGCCCACCGCCCCCCGGCTCGCGGGGGCCGGGGGGCTACTGCGAGCCAGGGGGCGGCAGCCGGGGGGCGGTAGCTGGGGAGCTCGCAGTAGCCGGGGGGCCGAGCGACCGAGGGCCGGCCGCCGGCTTGCCGTGGCCGCCGCCCGAACCGTGTCGCCGCGTCCCCCCCCCCCCCCCCCCCCGATCCCCCACCCCCCCCCTCCCAGGTGAACCCCACGGACCGCTGCCACCTGATGCCAATCATCACGCCTTCGTACCCCCAGCAGAACTCCACCTACAACGTCACCGTCTCCTCCCGCGCCATCGTCACCGCGGCGTTGCGGGAAGGTCATTACGCAGGGCGCCGTGCGTGGTTAGCAAGTTGAGCTCTCGGTGCGGAGGGGCGGCGGTGGCGGCGGTAGTGGCGTTGGTGCATGGCGTCTTTTTCTCCAGCACTCTGCGGTCACTGGGGTTGATTGATCTTGTCGATGGGAAAACTGACTGCGATGTGGCCAGGGGAGAGGAGCAAAGCAGTGTGGTGGTGAACCGATTTGTTTGGATCGTAGGCGTGGGACTTGTCAAGGCAACCCAGTTTGCTAGCACGCACAAACAGGGGAGAGTTTGCCAAACTCCCTGTGCTGGGCCCTCCTGAACGAGAATCTCGGGAGTCTTTGAGGCTCTGCTGGATAAATACTTTACATTATTACAATTAGAACCTGGCCTAAACCTCCCCTAAAAATGAGAACCTGGGACAATGTGAACATTCTCATTGGAGAGACAAAGATGGCCTTGGCTGGTGCTGGCTGTGTGTGCGTGTGTGTCATTAGAGGGGTGTGTGTGTGTGCGCGTGTGTGTGTGTTTGTGTGTGTCACTCCGTGTCGTTGCACTGAGACCGACTCTCTTGTGTGGGCCAGGCTTGGTGGTCACTCACCAAATCCTTCTAGGACAAGCAGGCTGGGACAAGCTGTTCGAAATCCCCAACTTTTTCCAGAAATACAAGTAAGAAAGCGACGGCGCGTGTCCGTTGGAATGCGAGCGGGTTGCTTTTACATCTGCAGTCGTTGTTTCGGTGGCACGTGCGATCTCTGATTGCCTTTCCATCGTCTGTGGTTTTTGTTTTGCTCTTGTAGACATTTCATCGTGCTCACCTCGCATGCTGCAAAACAAAAACAGCACTTGGAATGGTAAATACATGGTGCCGCTGTCAATCCATCCCCGAGCAAATTTGCGCTGCGGGGAATATTTAATGTTTGGCTTTGATTTAGCATTTGATTTCGCATTGTTTTTTGACATCTGATTTCTCTCATTCGTTGCCGTGACTTGACTTTGTTTAGCCCAAGTCATTGTGGTGACCCGGGTCGTCACCCTTGCAAATGAGATTCACATCCTGGTCTCTTGAGTTCTCACCGCCTGATTTAAAACAAATGAATAAATATACACGAACGGAATTCATTTCTCATCATCCGACAGTGGTGACGTGCCGTGCGATCCCACGATGCCCGCCACATGGGTTATTGTATCCGAAGAGAGGAGATTGCATCGTTTACGTCGTGGGTGCACAAATTCTTAATTCGGCAAAACATTCACCGCCGCAAACAATTTAACGTTGTGCCTCGCGCGCTTTTGATTCTTGGCCTCAAATGACCTCTCGTCGTACCGGGAGACTCCTTCCGACGTCTCGAGAACGTTCGTGGTCCGTGCTACGGCCAGGGGGCGCGTTGAACACTATCGCTGAGCTCGCCGTCGTTTTAAACGACCGCCGCCCTCGTCGCTTGCCGTTGACCCCAGGATCGGCCTCGTCGAGTCAAAAATCCGCATCCTGTTGGCCAACCTGGAGAGGAACGACTTCATCTCGCTCGTTCACATCAACCCCAAAGCCTTCCCTGACCCTGTCAAGAACGAAGCGTGAGTGCCGTCCTTGCGTTTGTGGTCACGTGGTGGTATGCGGCGGCTTTGGAGGTCCGCGCCAAGCTGGCACTGCTGAGACCCTGGGTTTGAATCCAGGGTTTGGTGATTTAAACCGAGTTCTCAAGTGTGGTGCCATTTTTTTAATCAGGTTTTTTTTAAGTCCATTCAGAAATTGCTACACGCAAAAGAAACCAGAAATCAGTTTAGTTTTTCATTTTTTTAAAATTTCGTTCATTCCGGTAAATACAGGGTGCTTCAAAATGTTTTTAGCACTTCTGAGAATTTGCAACAAAACCACAAGAAGTGTGCTGCCTCCGAGCTCTAGAGGCCACCTGGAGAAGATTCCAGGCAATGTGTTGACAAGATGGCGAACAAGTGCAGACTTTGACTTTTTGAAGCTACTAACATACATGTATTATCATGTTACATTATATTATACGTTCTTTTTTAATTAAAAACGAATGTCCCAAACGATCGTATGAATCCCAGTGTTAACGTCTTTTCTGAAGCACCCAGTATTCAGTTCTTTAGCAGGACTCGAGGGGGTTTGCCCCCTCGGTGTGGATAAGAGATGAATTAAAAAAATATTGTCACGGTAATTGTGCGACATCTCCTTCCACGGGACCGTTCCTTCAGAGGCGCTGCTCTGCGAGCATTGCAAATGGATTCTTTGTCTCATTCTGCCTAGAGTGCAATGACGGTAAAATTTTGGGAAAATACAAAATGGTGAAAAGGTGATCTGTGTACAATCGTAAATCGATCATTCGTACTTGAACCGGCAGAGGCGACGGTGCCAGTCTGAGTACCAGGTGAGATGCGAGGCTCACCAGCTCAGTGGCACATGCCCCACGTCAGCGAGAAATCCTACCTGGTCAAATAAACTCTCTCACTCAGGCATCGTTACCAGATCTGGCAATCAGAATTTTGCGGCAATTACAAGTCCCAAGTGCAGTTTTTCGCCACTGTGGGGAGAGGAGTGATCTCCCCACAATGAATATAATATCGGCTTGCAGAGCTGAGACGCCACAAGTGCCCCCAAGGAGCCAGCGAGATGGAAGGGCTGGGCATGCCGCGATGAGCCGGAGAGTGGAACGCGACGTTTCCTAGCCGGAGAGTAGCCTTGGGCGAGAGCACAGGTTTGTGCGTGGCCTGATTTAGATCTCCTGTTTGGGGACCATTACACTGGAATGTAATCGTTACGATTAAATAATATTCTCCATTACAATCGCAATTGCCCTCCGCTTGATTTAAATCCGGCCATAATTTATTAGTTTTACTCCACTCTTTGTGCAGGGACTCTTTTTTTTTTACTCCATAAAACCCAAATGGTTGTACTTCATCATGAGATTACTGCCTTTCTCTTTGCAGAACATTTATTCAGGCAAGCCAAAGGCCAGGCCTAGCACCGTGATTTGCATCGCTTCCCACACGTGTATCCCTTCCCAACGTCATCTCTGTAACGTTGCTTAAACATATCCTTTGGGTCTTTCGGTAAACATTTGAATAAAAAAATTAAGCAATAATTACGTCGCAATTCAGTGGTTTCTCGTTTTATTTTAAAAAAATTTGCGCGGGGGGATGCCTTTTCATCCAGCAGTGGATAACACTATCAATGTTTTCCGTGACCCGCAGGGGTGGCGAGCATGTGCAGCGCTGGTTCATTGGGATCGTGTTCAAGAAGAGCGAGAGCTCGCCCAATATCAGCGTGGACCTGACGCAGGACATCCACAGCTTCATGGACACTGGTTGGTCGCACGGCCGCACCGCCCCGCGGATTCTCGCCGTTGCGGCGCTCGTCTGCACCCTTCTCGAACGACGGTGCTCGACTGCCCTACGCTGGAGGATTAAATGTTCGCGCCACTGTGCCATGCTTTTATATATTTTTTACAGGAGGTCGTGGGTTCCATCCTGATGCCTGTATATTTGGATTTTGCGTGTCTCTCTCCCTCTGTGGTGGCATGGATTTTTCTCCGGGTGCTCCGGTTTTTCCCCTCATTTAGAATCAATGTGCGTTTAGAGTATTCGGTTTCTATAAATTTCCACGTGATAAGTCACTTCATTGGGCTATCATTTGTGGCCAGTTCGGTTCTGAAATAGTGCTATATAGCTCCGGCAGCCTTACCTGGTAAAATAAAAAATTGTTTCGTTTTAACAATGTGACTGGCGAGCATTCGGCGGTGCTTTTAAAGTCTTTTGTTTATCTCGGTAACGAAGCTTCAGCTCCGTGCGGGCAGCTCGGTGATAGAATCCACGCTCCCCTCTTCTCCCATGAATTAAATCCATTTTCCCAGAAACCAATTCTCAGACATGTTGGTTCCCGTTCTGTATGTATTTACGCCACTTGTTTTTGTCATGAAAAATTATCTTTGCACTAAAGTCTATACATGCGTTTTCAACAAAAACAATTTCCAATCTTGTCTTTGATACGAAATCTATAAATTTATCATAACCAACCTAGCGCCTAACCTGCACCTCTCACCCCGGGGTATAACTAAGGAGGTGGGAATACACGGTGGAGGGAACCGATATTAATTCCACCGGGACCCATGGCATTGAGTGTATCTCCAAGTCGCATCGTTTATTCTGCGCGGGTCGTCTCCTTGCGAGGCATTCCATGCAATGGGCCACACCTTGTCCCGTCGTGCTCAGGCCGCGACCCGCGTCGAAGGAGCCACGCGTCGCGTGCCGCGTGCCGCGTCTCAGTGTACAAACAGGCGGCGACCATGAACGTGTCCAAGGGGGACATGAAGATCGAAGCCGCTCACCTCAAGAAAAAGCAGCTGGTCCCCTTCCTCCCCGCGCACATCCTGCAGAAGGAGGTGCGGCTGGTATTCTCGTACCGGGCCGTGTCGGCCGCTGTGAGCGCTCATGAGGTTTACGACGCAGCGGTTGCGCGTGTACACGCGTATGCAGACAGGAGAGGTAGCGGTAAGTTGGCACTCGGCTCGAAGAAAGAGGTGAAGCCTTGATGAACTGTAAAACAGGTACACATTAACTAGAATTCCCACGGACCGATCGATTCAATGTTAATTTCTGTCGGCGGTTGAACAAGAATCTCCCTGCCTGCTTACAAACACGGCATCGGTGTTCAGTCGCCCGCAGCGGGAGGGAGCCACGGGCACAGGAAGCAAAGGGGACATACGCCGTTCCAGACGCCACATAGTGACCGGAGGTGGAGAGAGGAGCGCAGCTGCCGACTGGCTCCGCTTTGTGGGTGCTGCCGGTGCTGGCCGTGTGTAGGGTTTGAGCGAGGGCGCGCGTGGAGCGCCCAAGTCCGTCTCCAAGCAGCAGCTGCGCCGTGCCGACAAGGAGCGCCGCGCGAAGGTCCAAGGCGCCCAGCAGCGGCCCGCCGGCCTCCCGCAGGCGGCCGCGACGTCGCCGCAGTGCGCCGCCGACCCCGAGGGTGAGCCGCCCGCTCGCCGCTCACACTCGCCCTGCGCCACGACGCGCCTACTGTGCCTTGCGATTAAACGTCAGTGAGTAATTTCTCAAATGAATATTAATGGGGTGCTAATCACATTCGCAGACATGTGTGCTGGTGGTTGAAATACCACATTGCTGTAGAGGAGGTGACATATCCAGAGAACAACCACTGACTTCCCCACAGTGGTACTAATTTTATTAACCCCGGAGAGATGATGGGCTGACTCTTCTGCTGGGTTACTCACACTTTTGCTCAGCTATCTGACTGGATTAAATTTTGTAGAATGTATTTGCCTTAGTTTATTTGAAAACACATTCCAGACACCATAATTAAAATGTTAACCTTGTTTTGAATTTTACCTTTCTATTGCATGTTCGGCTGATGACCAAACTCTGACAGACGATTCGAAAAGAAAAGATCTCGAGTGAAGATATCCCAACGATCTGAGAATATTTCTCAAGAATCCTTTTCGATGGCCAATATGTATGAGAATCTTACGATCGTCATTGTGACACCTCTTACAACAGTAGAGACCTCGGCATGGAGAGTTTATAGAAAGAGACGATAACACCTGAAGGATTTTTCTCAACATTTCCAAAATGCAAACTGTAGGCATCATTATTTTAAAACGGCTTTACGAGCAGTCCTGTACGAGAGGCCCCCTCACGAGAGATCTGTGACGCGACGGATTCCATGGAGCTGCCCCCCCCCCCCCCCTGCATCGCCGTTGTTTGCACTGTGCTCCCACACACCCCCCCCCCCCCCCCCGTCAGACTTCCCGTGCGCCGAATTGGCGGTGGCAGCGCTGCGCGAGGGGCCCCCCGCGACTGCGTCCGGGCGCAGATCGCCCCTCGCGGGGTCCCTGCCGGAGCCCCCCACCCAGCGCGAAGGGCGGCCCGGCCCCACCGCCGCCGCCGCCTCCCCGGACCGGGCGAGCCACTCTCCGTCGGCGCCGCCGCCGCCGTCGGCGTTGCCGTCGGCGCTGGCGTCTGTCGTCAGCACGAGCTCCCCGCTAAAGCGGCCGTGCAGCGCCGTGCCCGAGGGCGAGCCCCGGAGCCCCTTCAAGAGGCCCAAGCAGCAGGACTCCCCCACCCCGCAGGTTCGCCTCGCGCCTGGGCGGTCGCAGGGGGCTGGGCGCGGTAGATTCGTGGGGGGGGGGGGGGGTGGATGCAGCACGGCACGTCGAGTTCGGCTGGGCACGGCGCCCTTGAAAGAGCGTTCCGCACGGCCGGAAGGTTTGCGAACATCTCGTCGTGACCTTGACTCCATCGTTCTCCCGATGAAATAGGTGTCACTTTGTCAGACGTCGATTTTTGCGCCGAGACTCTGGTCCCTGCCATGTAACCGTGCAATGTTCGATCCTGGCTCAGGACCGCCGGAGAAGATGAGGCCATTGTCATCTGTTCACGTTGGTGTTGAGATGAGCGCACAATCGGGATGCCGCGTGTTGCGCAATCGCTGCCACGGTGACAGATTGGCTCTCACGGGAACGGCCGCCCCCTCGCGCGCGGAGATTCCCCGCTATTAATACCCTTCCACTTTCGCAATCGCACATTCGCCCAAGTTTATTTATAATACTTCAAGCTTTCTGGGCAGCACGTAAAGTGTCACTTTTTTATTTACAAAAAAAAACTTTTTTTTATTTTCCCAGGTAAGGCCCACTGAGCTATATAGTTCTTTCTCAGAAGTGACCTGCCCACAAATGATAGCTGAACAAAAGTGCCTTATCATGTGGACATTTCTAACAGCCAAATACTCTAAACACATGTTTCTAAATATGGAGGGAAAACCCAGAGCACCCAGAGAAAAATCCACACGACCACGGGGAGAGAGACACACAAACTTCAAATGTACAGCAGCCGTCAGGGTCCAGATTGAACCCACGACCTCCTGCATATCAGGCGAGGTAGTTAACGTCTCGCCACCATGGCGCATTGCCAGCTCGTGTTTTTTTTCCAATGTTCGGAGCACATGCGTTAAATGTCGACCTCGTTCCCCTGACACGGCAGTCATGTATTGGATAACTTGCATGTGATTGACTTTGTATTGTATCTCTCACTAAGCACACCTCCATATCAACTACCACGCTGTCTCCCCAACTCAGAGCTCATTTCCAGTGTTTATCACAAGGGTTTCCATGGTCATGCTTCGTGGCCTTACTCGAGATGTACAAGTAGAATCGCGTATCGTCTGTGATGTATTGACGACACGGACAAGCACAATTAAATGCGGGGTACACTTTACCTGCAGCTGTCGCAGGAAATCCCCCCCCCCCCCTGTACTTTATCGCCGGTTAAACAAAACTGCAAGATGTTTTATACACGCTATAATAAGGTTGTGGGCTGTTACCCAGAACAAGTTGTGGAGTTTTAAATCTTTATTAGTCAAAGCCAATGGCTTTTTATCACGCGTGCTGAACGTAAAACTTTGCACTTTACATTTCAGAAAAGCCCAGGCAAGGAGGTCACCCCGCCATCGTCTCCTGCCACGAAGGCCACGCGATGCGAGGTTCGTGAATGTCGCAGTGCAGCAATGCCACCACCACCACCTTGACCGTTGATATTCGGATTGATTAAAACTCGCCATGCGCCACTGCACTGAGTTTTTGGTATTTAAAAAGTGATGTCTAGACCATCTTCCCCCGAGACTTTTTGGACTTATTCAACCACATTATTGCTTCTGCTAATTGTATGCTTGCAAGCAATATACGTCGAAGGGAAGAGTGTATGTTTTATACACTTAGCACCCACCATTGTGCAATGTATAGAGAATTACATTTTCACTGGATTATTATGGGAGATGCATCATAATACTGTGTTTTCAACGTAAAAATATAAATATATGTTAAGCCCATCTACCTGTGGGATTTCCAGACCAATATTAAACAGAAGAATGTGTTTAAACAAAAATACACTTACAAACTACTCTATGCAGAACAAAAGAGAGGACGTACTTTTTTGTAAAATGTTTAGGTTGTATAAATACGTGAATTTGTTTAAACAAATTCTCGTTCGATTTCAACCTTTAGAGTATTTTCAGCAAGCCTGATGACTGATTAAACATACCACCGGGCTGCCAGATGTTATTGGTGAGAGCACCCAGTCTACAAGACGAGATGCAAAATCAGTCCTCGATTAAAACTCGGTGTGCATTTGTAAAGTGTATTATGGGTACAGAAATGTTTAAATTGTCTTCACCTTTTATGTTTTAGAAGTTTTTCACGCTCTGGAATCTATTCAGATGCAGAATGTTCACACACTCCCTATAGCACGCATATTGTAATCTCTTAACCATTAACAATGTTTTAATCGAACGTTCGACAGATGTTCTTTGTTCATGTTTGGTTTGTTGCGGTTGCACCCGAGTCAAGAGCCTCATGGCTTTAGGTCTCCACCTCTTAGATGAAACTGAAAGCATCTTGCTCTATTCGAATATTGCTTTCGTAAGTGCAGTAATCCACGGAGTTGTTCATAGAAAGAGAAAAAACAAGCGAGATGTTCCGGCCCCACTACGGTTCCCTCCTCTTCTTCTTCCCACCACCAGCAGCAGCTTGCGAGCAACGAGCTCCCCGAGTTCGTGTCCCCGCTGCCGGCGCGGCAGATGAAGTTTGTGCGGAACCCCATCCGCCTGCGCCTCAACCGCTAGTGCCGTCGCCCCGCGCCGCTCCGCCGGCACCCGCGGCCACGACGCCTCCCTGGGAGCGCCGCCCTCGCTCCCCACGCGGCCTGCGCCGCGCCAAGCCACCCGGATCGCAAGCGCCGCCCGTCGCGGGGATTGACGGAGACCTGACGGAATCGAGCGGTGCGACGATGACTGGATGTCGCGGGAGACCTCTGATTCATTCCAGCTGGCGCACCGTCACTTGCCAACATCTAATAACTCCCGAAAGCAGGAATATATAACCGGGAATTAGAAAGTCAAACACACACACGCGCGCGCGCACACGGGCCAACTCTCAGTCGTCCCACATTCAAAAATTTGATGACGAGAGCTGCCGTGCGTGTGGTTTGACGGCATCGCACGGAACGGTGGGGTGTACGCGGTCTTCGCGGGTTGGAGCCGCTCGCTTCCGCGGTCGGTGCGGTCTCGAACGTCAAGCGATGACTTTTTACGCCACGGGGTGGCAGCAAGTGTTTTAGTGATCCGTGTCGCTGCAGGCATCTAGCGCTCACTGCCTACAGGAAGACAAACGGTGACCCCCCTGACCACCACAGCCCCCCTGTGTTACTACCCCAGGCGTTTGGCACACAAAGCAAAAGGCCTCGATGTGTGAGGGTTTAAGGGGTTGGGGAGGGGGGGGGTAGAGAAAAAAAATCTAAAAATGAAAAAAAAATATTAGTTTCACTTTAAAATGTAGAAATACAGTATTTACTTAAATTTTTTTTTTGTATAGAGTCGTTTGTAAGTATATATTTTGTCAAATGTTTAAATAATGAAAGTAACTTATTTTATTTACCTTGAGTGGACCCTGTGGCTAGTACGGATTGACAGGCCATCGAGGGCAGAGTGTGTGTGCGCGTGTGCGTGTGTGTGCGCGTGTGTGTGTGCGTGTGTGTGCGATGTCATGGTGAAACATTCAGGAATGTGTTTTTTTAAATACCTTAACCTCAGTGCAAAATAATCAACTTTATTTTGCACTGTCTGCACTTAGTTTACCATGCATTCGGTTAAATTAGCGAAATCCCTCGGCATAATATGCAAGCCACTCCAGTGCTACCACACAGCCAAGCTCACAGCAAGACTGCGCAAGCTGTTTTAACCTTACAAGGTGCAACGGATGTCTTTTTATTACATCTCTGGGATATCTCAATGTACTACTTTTTGTTTTCTTTGTTAAACTTCTACTGCGCTCTTGGATACAATTCCAATTCATGAAGCCAAAATGTTACCCGATGTACTGTAACAAGAGACCACGTGGGTCTGAGGCAGCGTCAACACTTGGACACCTTGTGAAGCAGCAGCAGCAGGAGGTGGCTGGGTAGTTTCAGTGGCTCCGTTTCCCCCAAGATGCTTTGACAGCACCGAGGAGAACCTGGTGCTCCCAGATATTTCCCATAACTCACATGTGGTATCATATATTTCCTTCTTTACCACCTCACGTAAAAAACACAGTCTTCGTGTATTGGGCTTTTGGTTGAACTGGTGGTATGAATGGAAAAAAAAACATCGTTTTCTTTGCAACCAATAAACTATCAGTGACTCGTAAGTCACAAGGTGAGGGCAGGTTCTGGCCGTGATGTACTGCTGTGTTGTCGCAGAAGGTTTGGGGATGGAACGGCCCTTGAATTGCTAATTATGCCCAACAGAGCAACCAATTAGCTTGTCCCTCCTATCCTTCTAAGCTCACCTCTGCAACACCACCGCGTGAGTGACACCCCCGTTATCCGCATCGCCGTGCTGGTCACTATATCCGCGCCATCACATCTTGTACTATAAGACAACATTGTTCAACTTTAAGTCGTTCTCAAATGAAGTCTAATAAATGGCTTAAACGCTGGACAACAAACGTGTGTACACGCCTCGATACAATTTGCACTTTGGAAGGAGTTGCTGGCAAAGTTTTTTCGGCAGTAACGATGAGCGGCTCGCCACGGGGAAGCCTTGCCTCGTTAAATACCAACTCGGATTTCATCTGCTACAGCAAGTTTGTAACTGTTGACTGGATGCATGGTCGTTTGCACTTTGGGGAATTAAAATTGGTACACATCAGCAGAAGTGTGCTCGTGGGAATGTTTTTTGTATTTGTTCTGTCTTTGACACCTCGACAGGAAAGTGCAGTGTCTGGGATGACAGTCCAACCAATCGCTCCCCTTGATATTCATTGGATCGTCCCGCTTTGGGGTCTTCCATTTGTTTCTGTATCCACTCCCTTGTCGGCATTCTTCTTCTGTCGCACGGCTGCTGATGTCGATGAGAGCAACGACTTCGATCTCACATCCAGGTGATCAAGCCCAGGTCATCGCGTCGGGAGCGGCGAAAAGTAGAAGTGTATCGACATCGTCGCCGCCGCGATGTCTCCGTATTTGTGGATCGGGAATTGCGTCGTTACGCGTTGTACAGTTCTGTTCTGGATGACCGCAGTCGCACACCGGACCGTTTTAAACGTTCCATTTGTGCATCAGGTGTCCATCTCTGGCATGGTTTGTGCAGTGGATGCGATGTAGGGTGGACCGCGAGCTTCGTGAAAGAATGAACCCAGCGATATTCTGCGTTGGCTCTTTCACAAGAAAGAGTGTGTGTGGAAGGGGGAGCATCTTCACTGCTGGGATCTGTCAACCAATTCCAGCAATGCCTATAAATAACACGATGTCACACAATTTTTGTTCCTGGGTAGGAAGTGTTATTTCCTAATTGCTTACGCCTAAAAAGTATAGAAAATGCTATTATTCCCCACAAACTTTGCTTTTGTGACCAGGACAGTGATATTTTAAAATTTACCTATTTTCCATGAGAAAACGAGCGAATTTTTATCTTTTCGTTCATATAAAGTCAGAAAAAAAACATGAATAAAAATGTACATGTATTTATACTAAAGTAATACAAAGTTTACTACAAAATATTTAGAAGTTACTAGTTTTTCGAGATTTACGATTATACTGGAAATCACTTTCACGAAACAGCCCCCAAATTTAGTCTCCCATCATGTTCTCGTTATACTGTCCTTGTAGAAGTAGCAGTTGCTTGAGTGGTCAGTGGGTTCCCACCAAATTCTTGGGATAGCGAACTTCATGGCTCTCTTTTCCCCTCTGTACCAACCTACATAAATACATTTATTTCACCCATGACTAATCTGTAAGAGATTCTCGCAAATTTTTTCACATGATTTATTTTTTCAATAACATTGAAAATTGTTAAACATTTTTAAATTAAAAACTTCACAATTTTAAACAATTTAACAAATTTTATAACAAAATTCCGAGCAACAATTGTCCATCTTACCTTCCAGAGTTTTTTTGAAATGCTCGCAGGTGAAATGAGGTGTCCAGGGTTTGTCTTGATTCCTGACAGGCATATCGAAATATGCCTTGTCGGCCTCACACATCTTAGCAGATGCTTCCACAGAGGACTTTTTCGCTCTTGTCTTGATAAATTGGCCGCAGACATAGCAAAATGCGTCTGCCGGATGCTTGCAGCCTCTTGATGCCATCTCAGAAATATGCAGATATGTATCCACGTAGGTAGCTGGAACTAAACTGAACTGGTAGGCTTAAGGCCTCTGCATTTATACTACTATTTATATTATTTGAAAGTTCTAGAATGCTCTAGAAGTTACTCCAAGTTTACTCAGCACTGAATCTATCTGGAATGTTCTGGAAAATAGGTAAATTTTAAATTATCACTGTCCTGGTCACAAAAGCAAAGTTTGTGGGCAATAATAGCCATTTTCTGTACTTTTGAGGCATAAGCAATTAGAAAATAACACTTACTACCCAGGAACAAAAAAATTTGTTACACAGTGTAATTACAGCCATTGTGTCGTGTAGGTAATGGTGGTGATTTAACCATACTTCACCACACCGGTCAGTGCAGGTGGGTGAGGGGGTGTAGACCAGGATGGATTAAGACATCAAATACCACCCACGGATGTTAGCCGTGACCGGGAATTGAACTCGGCTTCTTTGCGCAACGTGCGAGCAATTTCGCCACGGCTCCCTGTAGGAATAAGAATCGTGCACAAGTTTCTTTAAATCTGTCGACTACGTTGTACCACAAAATGTCAGCCTTGTTTTTTTGTGACGCCCTGCGCGGCCGCCCGCCCGCCACCCACTCAACCGCAAGGGAGCCCCTCGCTGCCCTATGAGCTGCAGCATCATCAGCAGCATCAGCAGCAGCATGGGGGAAGCCGCTCGGCGTGGCAGGGCCCTCGTGCACGGGGAAATTCCCCGCCGCTTGCCACGGAGCCGTGCGGGCGGCGTGCTTTGCCAGGCGACTGAAAGTGAAAGGTCGCACTCGTCTTTATGACGATTGCTTTTAAAGTAAAACTGTCGGGAAGGGTTGCGTGTTTCTGGTATCACTTCTGGTTTTCCGTGTCTCTGTCGTAATTGCCTGGCGGCTCTGGCACGCGCCCCGCCGTGCCAACAACACCGCTCGCCTCGAGCGCGTTGTCGCGACATCGTCATGCCGGGAGACGGGCAGCAGCGATGGGTGCGGAATCAAACAAACAGCTGTCGCATCGCAGCAGAGATGTCATGCCACACCGATGCATTTCAAATACTATCATTACCGTTATCTTCACGCTCTTTGGTCATTTTCAAATGTTGCCCTCTGATGATTATTACAACGATGCAGTTTCACGCTCGGTGGCATTAAAATTGCCGTTCATCACAACCCGATGCCCTTTAAAGTGTAACCTTGCATCATCGGTTGAGTTCAACGTATCCTGAACGTGAGCGCGCTCTCTGTGTGTGTGTCACACTACGGCATTCGTCTCACTATATCAACATTGGCAACGGTGTTTCTCAACGAGCACATCACATGTGGAGTTCACGTGTTCTCCCTGCACCCTCATCAAAGCCCAGCACCAAACAGCTTGCCTCCCAAGTGGAGGTAGGCGGCTTCTAGCAGCCCCGGCTCCGTCTCCTCCCTCCCGTGTCTCCCTGCCCTGACCCCGCCGTGCCGCCAGCAATGTCCTCGTCAGACTGAACACTTGGGCTGAGGCGTCAGGGTCTCTCCCCAGCGCGAACACGTCCAGCAAGCGCCGCCATACCCAGAGTCGCGCGTGCCACGTCGGTGTCGTGTTCGCTACGCGTCAAACGAAAGTCAACTGCGCACTACAATAATGGGTTGTGACCACTGTAGCAGGGTTGTTAACACAACACCTCCACATTAACTTGTGTTAAGTGGAGATGCTAGAATTGATAATCCCATTATGTAGACAACGCTGTACTTTATTGGAATAGAATCAGATGACAGAACTACAGCATTTTGATGCAGAATTCTAAGTCAGTCCGCTATAAGTGGACTTATTATAAAGAGCGATGGAAAGCCATGAGCAGACGTAACGACAGATAACAAATATCAAATACGTATGAGGAAATGGCCACACTGTTTACAGCAGGGCAGAAACGGAGAGGTCGAGCACAGATGTCTGACACTGAAATTAATTTTAAAAAGGCTTCGATCCAAATTTAAACAGAGGGGAAATGCCTGCGCTGTCACAGAGAGAGATAATCTGTGAGCGTGTCGATGCCTCGTCCCGTCGTGACGATAGGACCTCCGCCTGAGAGTCGAGTGAAAGCAAAAGGGTGCTGGGCACGTTGGGTGCTAACATCGCCTTTCGAGGCGATGACACATTTTACTCTGCGGTATTTCCATGGCCGCAACGCTTGTGATGACATGGTGAGGCTGAGTGATGCGAACGAGCGAGAGAGCCGCATGCGACAAGAGGTGTCAGGGCCAGGGAGTTCCCCTGCTCGCTCCCCCCCCTCTCTGTGTGTGAGAGAGTGAAGCGGCGATTGCCGCTCTCACAACAAAGACACAAAGATGCCCCCCGTAGTAGAGATGGAACAGACTGTCGGGGCAAGCGCTGTTCGCGAGCAGCGCCTATGAAGGCCGATATGGCACACGAGGGGGTGGGTGGCCAGCACCACGCCCGGCCGCCTTTGTCTCCCCGGTGGCGATTTTTACACATCCTACCAGGTACTCATTTGTGGCTGAGTCGACCTAGAGGATGCCCAGCATCGATTCAGATAATCGTCGCTGGTTTCGGCCGTGAGCGGGAATCGAATTCGGGTCGCCGGTTTCGCAGCGCGCTCACTGTTGCAACTCCCACCCCCCACTGCCTTTCTCACACGCATGCCTCTCTCACACACGCATGCCTCTCTCACACACGCATGCCTCTCTCACACACGCATGCCTCTCTCACACACGCATGCCTCTCTCACACACGCATGTCTCTCTCACACACATGCCTCTCTCATACACGCATGCCTCTCTCACACACGCATGCCTCTCTCACAAACACATGCCTCTCTCACACACGCATGCCTCTCTCACACACTGCCTCTCTCACACACGCATGCCTCTCTCACAAACGCATGCATGCTCATACGCACGCGTACAACCAAAATAAGGGCGTCGGGTCGGTCGCTGCTAATGCGAAAGTAATTTTTCAAAGAATCTTTTTTAAAAACCCTGCTATTTGCACCCCTTTGTCAATCCCCTGCTGGCTGAAGGCTTTCCCCCACGCCCTGTCCTTCACGTGTAACGATAATATCAACAGGCTGGCAATACCATATCGACACCCTTCTTGTCCCTCCACACGTCACATCAGAGTTTCTTTGACGCATCCCATCGGCCATACGGATATCTGCGAGTGCGCTATTTCATCAACATCGGTTCAACTCTGCACACCCAAAAAGAAGGGCCGTGTACCTGACGGGATGTGTAAAACGTGCGCTTGCTTTTTGGCGTGGAAGGACAGGTTCGTTGGACCACAACTGCTCACCGCGCTGAGGGTTTCTGAAGGGAATGGGCCCAGAAGCAAAGGTCAACTTTACAAAATCAATAATAGGAACATAATAATCTGCAGGATGAAGTTATTTCTGCACCATGTCCGTTTTGATGGTAGTTTAACCGTACTGCAGCACGCTGGTCGTTGCGGGTCGAGACAGGCGCAGAACCGACTTCGCTTTATAGCACTCAAGGTTCCAGGTTCACGGGGCACTGAATTGCAGTTGGGAAGCGCGGCCGTGAGCGACCAAAAGTAGTTGGACCTGCTTCCACGCTTCAATACTGCCTCTCAGAATGCTGGCGTTGTGGATATGGAAAGAAATTGAATGACATCTTTAACCTGTGTGTATGTTCCCTAATCCACGTGTTCCTCGTGGCACGTGTTACCCGTGCTAAACCCTCAGGCTGGCTGTGCGGCGAGTGCAACAGTGTACCGCTCCTGGCGGGCCCACACACAGACACTAACAGAGTAACTCCCGTAGGTGCAGTCAATGTATTAGGGGAAACCCTGTGAGCCATGCGGCTCTTGACTCGGGTGCAACCGCAACAAAACAAAAACATGAACAAGAAACATCTTAAAGTGACTACACGCAACAGAAAAATCCTGGAAAAAAACAGAAGTCTTCCAGAAAAAATACCGTATTTCAACGCTGTGTGCAAAAATCCCAGTGGGATGCAAGTCAAACAATAACAACCATAAGACAATTTAGATTAAAGTTATCAGGCTAACTCTGTCGTCAGCCTGACGTGACTTCTGCGTGAAGTGTTCAAGAGGAGAATTCGCTCGGAGCATCCATATACCTAAATGTCGATGCAGAATGTGTCGCGAAATATAAAAGGTCACTTTTCCCCACTTGCATAATCTTTTCTGCGATTTGTCAATTTCGCCTAAAATATTCTCAAAATTGCTGGAGAAAGGATGATAAGTTACATTAAAATACCCAGCAACATCGGATGTACGCAGCAATGGCCAAAGTCAAGAGCTGACAATGTTTGGATGGCATCCTGATCTGGCTGGCATAGGGTTTTTTGATTCTCTACACCAGATATGGCCAGCGGAGAGGGTGAAGCTTCATCAGCTGTACGCCTTCAGAAACGGTGAGTGCGATTGGTTTTCTGGAAACCCCACAGTGTTCAGTGAAACCCAGATTTCCCAAAAAGAGTTCACTCAGACGAGCTGCAGTCAACACAGTTGAACGAGCGAGGGTTTACTGACACGGGTTTAGTCGTTGGGCTGAGCGCAAAGTGCCGAATTATTGAAGTAAAAAGCCAGGTTATTTGCTTTGCGGTAATCTGGGTCACGAATGCCCGAGCAGTGGAAAACCCCGAATCCGATGAGGTGGTTAACCCCGTGCTCACTTCAAGGCAATCGCTGTAATGTTTCTCTTGATGTGTGTGCAACTTAACGCCGGTAAAACCTCACTCCTGTAGTGCTCATCAACCCACGATTTGAAATGTCCACGCATGTTGTTTCAATACAAAGTAGACGGGTCACATACGCCGAGTGAGATGGCACTTCGGACTTCCTGGCTTTGAATTCTGGTTTCAGTCAGGCGTGAGTAAACCGGATTCTTAAGTCGAGTGAGATGATGATAATGCTGCTAATCTCATCCCAGTAACCGATGTGTGGACTAAGTTATACGATTGTTCCCTTGAAACTCCTAATTCATGCAAATACTCGATAAACATGATAACAACAGCATCTGCATCGCCAGTAACACGAGTATTTTTTTAATGACTGCTGTGTGTTGCCGTGTTTTGCCGAGGACCTTAACAAATGTGTCGAGAATGTTACTGTGCCCAGAATAATAAATATGGCATGATAATAAAATAAGAAGAATAAATAGTGTTCCCAGGATCTTAACGCAAGTGTACCAGAGGCCCAACAAACGTTCCGTCAACAAGCGATTTAACTGTGTTCACCACGTGCAGCCTCGCTCCACAAAATATCCTCCTAATTGTGTTCTCCAAGTAGTCTCATCCAGGTGTTTACAATACCGTGGCAGGTACAATCTTATGCAAATGATCAATGCAAATGAATTGGTATCCAACCAGCGGTTGCGTTTCCCTTATCAAACCGACCTCACATGGGCAACTTGGGAAAGTATATCATCAAGTCGTAATTTCGGTCTGCCCCCGGGTTCCAGCAATACAGCGGTGAGGTTTTCTGGAATTAAAATGCTTTCTTCAGCTGTAGAGGTGAAACAATTTACAGACTCTGTCCCAAAGCCCGCCCGGCCCCCTACTGTGATTCAATTTCACATCGTGATTGTGGGTCACGATTCAACTCAAGTGTTTATTATTTATTAACATTGCGGTTAATGTTAAACGTGACTTCAGAATGTCACGTGAACCTATTACGCTCTAAATACATGTCATTTGTGAGGTATGGACTATCCACTGCGATGCCACAAACCTTCTTGCTCCTGCACGTGACCTGGTCTCATTCTTTGGTCGTCATTACTTCACCGCTCCGACTGGACATCAGGTGAAAAAGAGCTTCATAGCTCATCGGATTTCTCCAGGAAAGATAAAGATTCTAATTCTAAGCAGCCAGCATTCCTTCTCGAGATATCATCTACCGAAGCCCACTTTTCTTAAGTCATTATGATCTTCCCAATGTGCGTTTGTTCCCTAATCCACGTGTTCCTCTTTTGTATCGCTCGGTGTCATTTCAAACGTGCACCTCTCTGTGCATCTTTGCGCATTTGTTTGGATGCACTGCTCCATCGCCTTTGTCCGCGTCTAGGTTTCAATTTCAAATATCGAATGTGGAAGTGTGAAATTATTTTATCTGAGTTTCTTGGGCCACATTACAACGATTGTCATCAGCAAAACTGTTTTGGCTGATAATTTCTCAAGGAATGCCTTTTATACATCTACAACTTAATCTTTCCGAGAACTATTTTCGAACACCAACAACCTTGGTAACAGTGTATCTCTTTGTCCTATTAATCTTAGGAAATATATAGCTATCCTCCGTGCCATATCATCGCAGTGATCCCTTCTTTCAACACGGGTTGGATGGCCGTTTTAATTTAATTGTATCTCTCCATTTACGTGTCTTTGGATCGAGAGTTTGGATGACAGCTTCATTTTCCATCGAATCAAACGCCCGTTTAGAATTGATAATAGCTACGGAGCTCTGGTCTTTGCCACTCTATTGCATCGGATCCTATTGACGAGCTCTGCAATGCGAATTAACTGCAGGGGTCGCAGTACTCTATATATTGTCTGAAGACATCGGTCCGTGAACAGAGACTCCTCCTGCACGTTCGTTAAAGTCGTACATTCCAAAAGGCGTTCACTCACAACACGATACCTCTGCCATCAGATAGAGACACAATACCACGTGCTTTGTGAACAGCTGCGGCGCCTGCCATGCACTGGTCGAGGCGATGCGTGCAGCAGCATCGCGTTGGCACGAGACGATCCGAAAAACAACATTTTGCTCAATGTCCTTCATATTACGTAGCAAATATGCACGCTGTAAATCGGGCATTGTTGGGAAATTATCATCACTACCACGGCACGACGGTCGGTTTCTCGTTACCGAGCGCGGTCTCGCTGGATCGAGTGTGCGTGGGGGGTAGGGGGGAGTGCTCGCGTGCAGTAATGATTTAGTTTGCTAAGTCGGTTGGTATTTTCCCTCTTCAAGCATTCGCAGAACTTTACGTGTCAGAACGCTCTGCGTGACCTGTTTCACCGTCGCCTCGACACCAGCACTTCTCAACCCGTCCGGCGCGACAGCCTTCCAGCAAGGGGGGTGCGGGGCTGCGGCGTGGATACCGTGCAGGAGACATTTCCAACGCACAGGAAACGTCTGCGCCGCACCTTCGGCGATATCAACACGAACACCGTCCACAATGAAGACGTCGATGTCGTGCTCACGCAACAGACACACCAATGCACGGCATGACACGCATCGCCTACTTGCCAGCGTGTCCGACGAGAGTGGTGGACACGTGATGTGTGTCTTGTGGCACGAGTAACCCGGGCGAGGGGGTGCCGCGGCTGGAGTGCGGGGGGCGCAGGGGGCCCGTGGGCTTGGTTTGGGGGGGGACGTTTTGCCAACAAGAGTTGAGAACCTGCACTGCCACACACCCATCACAGTCACGCGCGTCCAGAGGAGACGTTGCATTCCCAACACGGCGTAGGGCTGTGAGGCAGGCGATGAGCAGCTCAATGTTAACTGGAGCAGGTCATCACTCGAGCCTCCTGAACACGCAGCTCATCATAAGCCACCGTCACCTATGGTCGATCCACTGCTGGATGAAGGCCTCCCCCAAGACGCCGCCACCTTTCACAATCCTGCAATACATCACCCATCCATCCACACAAGTGCGACAGTTGTTGAATTTCTCTTCACTGCGTTCCTCCGCTCTATTCGTTTTGCGTTTTGCAGTTTTGTTGACCCAGGTCTTCCTTGCGAAAGAGACTTAGCGTGGTCTCGTGACCCTGCTCACACAAACACACTCGGCTGGACCAGGATCTCTTTGCTCCGTCTCCTCGGGAGACGTCGCCCGTTGCCATCGCCGTCATCACCATCATCATTACTGTGATCCATCAATCACCAAAACGTTATCATTCTTAGCTGACTGGAGAGGTGTTCATCCTCATCAGCCATGGACGATCCACTGCTGGATGAATGCCTCCCCAAGCCGCCGCCATCCGTCACGATTCTGCGATGTAACGATCACCCCGCACGCGCGTTCCACTCCCTTATTTTGCTTGACCGGCGTCCAGAATCCCTTCAGCGTCGACATCGTGTTGGTGATGTCCCAGCCTCCGCGTGTCTGCGTGAACCTGGGCAGCGCTCGACATCTCCACGTGATAAGACAATTCGTCGGGCTACCATTTGTGGCCAGATGGCTTCTGGAAAAGAAGCCAATCGTGGACTTTACCTGGTTGAATAAACATTTGTTTTAGTGAGTTTCTTACCTTCACCTATACTTTGCACTCCTATCGTGTTTTCGTTTTGTTTATTGTTGTAACTTTCTGCCCCCCCCCCCCCCTCTTGCTGGTCATTCGTGACAAAGAGCTTTATAGCTCATCTGATTCCTCCAGCATCAATAAACATTCTGATTCACTCACAATCAGCCGGGTCCCCCTTCCGGCGCCATGCGCCCCCCCCCCCCCCCCCGTGAGCGCAACCAACTGGCACGGCAGCGTCGGGGGGCAACCCGCGCCTGGTCACGTGCTTCATTGCGTTCACTTTAAACAGCCAGGGTAGCTTAACAAAAATGATATCGCCGAGTTCTTCTTTTAACATGTTTTTATTGGTGGTGTTTTTCATCACGTAACTCGTAACGAGCGAAAATTCCCCCTTAAAACCACTGAAATGTCAAAGTGATTGATTCATTTATTGTTGCGCCCCCACCCCCCCTGGGAGAGAGGGGGAGGGGGCGGTCTACCCCACCCACGCCCCCTCCCCCCGAAACACGCGTGGCCTCACGCGCCTCGTGACGTCCGCCCGCCCACGGCCGAAAGCTCCGCCCTGCCACGCCGGCGTCGACCAATCGACGATCGGACAGGTCTCGCGTTCTCGCTGTTGATTGGTTGACGGAGTGTCTAGAGGCGGGGGGGGTGCGGGAACCTCAGTGACGTCACGGAGTCTATAAAAGGACCGCGAGCGCGCGTGGTTCATGAGAGGCGGCTGGAAGCAGGAGGCTGTTGTTGTTGTGGTGGTGTTGGTCGGCAGCTGCTGCTGCTGCACTCCGCTTGCTGTCGCCTTTGCGTAGCTAAGATATTTGTGCGTAGGGGCTTTGTCCATCACAATGGAATATCGCCGCTTCGGTGAGTCTTCGATACGGTGCTGCGTTGTTCGAGGAACGCGGATGCATTGCTGATAATGCTGTTGTTTTAGTTACATGGTATAGATTTAGTTGACTTTGATCAATATAAGTTGTGTACTAATTGCTGTGCAGACTTACATCGGAAATTGTAAACGTTAATGTTAAAAAATATATACTGTAATGTACTGTTTTCATTGTTTAAGTGTTTGTTTCTGGCACTGTATATTTGTTTGAAGTGATTATAATTATTATTGCAAATGTTGTTACCACAGTTGCTATGTTGAATGCAACTATATCTGTCCCGTCAATGTACTAAGCCGACATCACCGGTGCGATCTCGGAAGCTCAATCAAGAGCGAGCCAGCCTGGACAGCACTTGGCACGGCAAGGCCCTGTGAATAGCAGGTGTTATAGGCTGCTTGCTGTTGCCAATGAGTGGATGCGAGAGCGCAAGCACAAGTCGGTGTTGTACTGCACCTCAAACGCTCCCTACCCTCCTTCTTCACCAACCCTCCCTGAGCGAGCGTGGTGAAGTATGGCCGAACGACCGACACGATGAGGCCGTCGTGCATGAGCGGACTGCAGGTGAAAGGTGCTGTGGTGCACGTGGCCAGCTTGTGAGCTGCCTGCTGATGCCCAGTGTCTATAGGGGCACGTGGCCAGCTTGTGATGCTGCTTGGAGCACGTGGCCAGCTTGTGATGTTGTTTGGAGCACGTGGCCACGTTGTGAGTCTGCCTGGAGCACGTGGCACGCACGGTGTGTCCGTGCGTGCCGAGCGAGTGAGCGAGCGCCGTGCTTTCTGACCGAAGTTGTTGCTCCGTTTGTTCCGCGTTGGCGGCGTTGCTGTGCCCCCCCCCCCCACACACACCCCCCACCGTGGCCTCCGTCGTGCGGGACTGTGGTTGGGACTGTGGTTGGGGCTCCAGGTGGTAGCAGGCCGCCGGGTGCGGTGTGTAAACATCGCCACTGGGGAGACAAAGGCGGTCGGGCGTGGTGCTGGCCACCCACCCCCTCGTGTACCGTTCCGGCCTTAATAGGTGCTCGCTAACAGCACTTGCCCCTACAGTCTGCTAAGGCTATACGGGGGATCTTTGTCTTTGTACCTGTGCAGCACAGGCACACACACACACGCGCGCGCCTGCTTGTTCTTCGCGGAGGTTGTGTGGATGTGTGAGGCGAGGAGTATTAGATGCGAACAGCGCGCGCGTGTGTGTGTGTGTGATCAGAATGAGCATCTTTATTTAGACTGGAGGAATCCGATGAGCTATGAAGCTCTTTTTCACCGGTGTCCATGTGATAGAGGAGGAGAAGTCGTGTGCCTGTAAAGGAAGGGGCAGTATTGAAGAATGTAAGATGTGGTAGAATCGTGTGCACGCAGGAGTGTGTATGGGTGCCAATGGGAATGTGTGTTTTGTGTATAAATGTGCGTTTTGTGTATAAATGTGTGGTGTTTGTGTCTTGTGCGGTAGTGTAGCGGTTAGCACTACGCTGCGTTACGAACCTGGTGACTCGAGTTCGATTCCCGCTCGCGGCCAACACCAGTGACGATTAGCTGAATCGGACCTGGACCTCCCCTAGGTCGACTCGGCCTCAAATGAGTACCTGGTGCAGTGTAAAAACATCACCACTGGGGAGACAAAGGCGGTCGGGCGTGGTGCTGGCCAACCACCCCCTCGTGTACCGTGCCGGCCTTCATAGCTGCTACTTGCTAACAGCACTTGCCCCAACAGTCTGTTAAGACTATATGGGGGATCTTTGTGCACAAGACGTACAGAGGGCGGCGGCAGTGTTTGAGTGGGGAGGGTCTTGACCTGGACAGCCTTGACCTCACTATTCACCATGTGCTCTGAGGACAGCGCTTGGCACGCAGCTCTGATGGCGCGTCGCTGACAGAGCCGAGCACCACGTCTTGGGCAAGAGCAGCCCCCTTACGGTGTTGCTCGTTGTGCCTGAGCAGAATCCCGCAACCAATGTGCAACGATACTGGCAGCATCTGCGGAGGCATTGCGTAATGCCAGTGGGTTCGAGTTCAGGATTGGATCCGGCTCCCCAGTGGTGACAGGATAATAATCATGGTCATCATCGGCCATGAAGGTATCCCAAGGCCATGACCATCTCTCGCAGCCAAATGATGCAGCGATCCATCAAGTGCCACACACGAGCTGATGGCTACCGACTCGGTATTCATCATTGTCTGTGTGGCAGTCTACTTGTGGTGCGAGTCATCACTCCCCCCACAGGGAGCAGGTGCATCTGTTGTTGTTGTTGTTCAGTGTTAGGACAACACAGTGTTGGTCGCAGTGGTTGGAATGGGCCCTGTAAATGTCCGTACCCCTCTGCCTAACCCAGCGCCTTGACCGCCGCGACCCGCGGGTTGTCGCGCCGTTTGCACGTTGGGTAGAGCGACGCCGCTGTGGTCGTGGGTCTCTGGAACCCCTCGAGCGCAGGGAGAGTTCTGCTTCCTCTCTCTCTGCTGGGAACTTAATCTCGGCGCGCCACTCCGGGAAGGCTTCAATGCGGCCGATGGCATTGGACGCTGTGCTCGGGTGTCTCGGCGCCGCGCTCCTCACTTCTCTTCCCCATCCTGACGAGGCGGCGTGGGTTTCGCCCCGGGTGAGCCAGCGCGTGCCCTCTCCTTCCCCTTTCGGCGTCCCCCCGCATCCCGTAAGGGCAGCGGAAGCGCCGCCGGTTGTTGTAAGGAGCTACGAGAAGCCGTTCTCACGGTGTCGACTTTGACCTCGGGGTATTCCCGTGTGAGATGGCCGAGCGGCGAGCTAGGAAGTGATGGGTGGCCCCTCTGCACGCTCCCCACCTCTGAGCGCTTCCTGTGAAGAGCGTTTTCTGAGAAGGAACGATTCCGCGTAGAGGGCGTTTTATTGTCGACTATGGACTCGAGCGGAAGAGGTGAGCTGGGTAGACGTGGGTCTCGTGTGGGTCGGGACTCAAGATGAACTGTGTGTTTGAGCATCGGCTCGGCTTATTGTTTGACCAGTCGGTAGTAAGGGGGCGTAATTTACATCGTCTTTTGAATCAGCGTCTCAGCTGACCCACAACCGTGAATTAATGAATGAGCAATTTTTTAAAAAATATTCAAATTATAAACCCTCGCACGTGCTTAATTACAATCCTAACCTTAATTCAATCCCAAGCAAAGCACAATTCAGTATTTTGATTCCAAGAAAACATACGGCTCGCTCTTAAGCAAGCGGTAGGCACCGGTGTCGGGTCAGGATCAGGTGCAGACAGAACGGTTGGCGCACATACAGATGCAGCGTCAGCGAGGGCTGAGATACGCCGACGAATACCTGGAACACATTTTCCGAGAAAGAAACTCATCTCAAGTTCCTCTTGAGCAGCCCGTGTTTGTGTGGCGGGGGCGGCGGCTCAAGCAGCGCCCACGCGGCCTCGCGTGCCCCGGGCACCACGGGGCCCGTGACGTCCGGCTCGCGGTCTCCTCCGGGAAGCCCTGCGTGATGGTTAGGAAATGAGTCTCTCTGTACTTTCCTGCAGCCTTCTTGGTGCACGTACGCTACTGCCGCTCTAACAGGGGGGCCTGTTGTCACTGCGGAAGACGATCTGGCCCCCGTAATGAGCTCGCAATATATTTGTCCAGACGGCGCTCCGGTTTTGGCATCGCGCCTGACTGATGAGAAGAGGGAGTCGGGGATCGACTCACCCCACCATCACTTTGGTGTCGATAAAATAAATGCATTGTGACAAGTCAATGGTGATGGAGCCATATAAGACGGGCATCTGACTTGAGAATGTGGAGTTCGTGAAGATGGCACTTTTTTCACTTGGAAGTGAAAACCACTTCTGATCTGAAAACCACCCCCGCCGCCACAAACCAAGTGGGATGCGGTAGTGAGCAGTGGAGGTCGGCGAGAGAGGGGACACAGCTTGCTTCGGAGCCGATCGGTTCAACTGATTTGCTGCACGAGTTTTTCGGAGCTGCGGTTTTTCCCGCTGCATTTGTTCACTGGTTCTAACTTGGCAAGTGTTGATTCGAGCGCTGAAAACATCGGGATGATATCAGCGGCAATCCACCAACCCCACATCCAAAGTCGCTTGGTGAAAACATCTTCAATACTTGACATTTAAAATAGTGCACAATGGATACTGCAATAACTGCCGTTCATTCAAAGGGTGTAATTTATAGGAAAATGTTCCGTGTTGGTGTTGCGTCTGCACGACAGTACAGTACACGCGTAACCACATTAGTGAGACCAAATGTTGACTATACCGACTACACGAACTCTCTTGCTGGTGGCGATGCGTGTTTACCCAGAGCGGAAGACGCACGGCTGCGTGCGCGCAAAGCGTACGCATCTCGTCGCCGCTTGACAACAACCACAATAATGAGAATATGAATTGTTTCTGGTAGAGCGCCGTTCACGCCGGCGCGTACCACCGGGGCGCTTGACACGCGATTAACGACCGTTCGCACGGCGGCTGGAGCGATAAACCGGCTCGTAAACCACGCCGGGGCCGCACGATGCGACTCCACCGCAGCTTCCTCCTGCGGAGAAGGGGAAGGAGGAACCTCTCTCGCACCTTCTCTTCCGCCCAATGTCGAGGCGCTTTGAGATGCAGTAACCTCGCGGCTCGCGGAGTCTTAAAGTGCAGAAGCTGCAGCTGCTGAGCTTTAATTCGTCAGTCCACTGCTGGATGATGGCTTCCCCAAGCTGTGCTGGTCGTGCGGGTTATTTGACCGTGCTTCACCACGCTGGCCCGAGCGGGTTGGTGATGGCGGGCAGCATAGGTGTGGGAGCATAGAAGGACGGTGATGGATTTTAAGGTGCGAGTGTGTGTGAGTGTGTGCCACGCAAGGGCCTACTGCGGCTGTCCGACTCGAGTGAGAATTGATAACTATTTTTGCATCTCATTTGTAAACGATATACTGAGGGTAACGTTTAGCTTCGATTTACAAATAACGGGGCACAAAAGACAAGACAACAAAGAGTCTTCTGGAATTGAGTCTATTTGTGACAATTACTTTACTTGCCTGGGGGATGAATTGTGACATTGCCTGCTTAGTGACGGCACAATCGCCATTGAGTAAGTCAGGCTGGTGTTCAACCACAAACAACATCTAATTCCATTTAAACTAAACTATTTATTTACTTAACATATAAGGCCCACTGTACTATATAGCTCGACGAAGTGGCTGATGTAGAAATGTAAAGCAGCCAAATACTCTAAACGCATCACGTTGATTCTAAATGTGGAGGGAACAACTGGAGAACCCCGAGAAAAATCCCCGCAATCATGGGGAGAGAGACATTCAAAGTCCAAATACACAGCAGCAGGCATCAGGGTGGGGATTGAACCCACGACCTCCTGAATACCAGGCGAGGTAGTTAACATCTCTCAGCCACCGATTAAAAAATCTGTTGTCAGGTCTCCGATGTCGAGCGACGTCGATGCATCACTGTCACGGGGCGTTGTGTTGCGTGTGGTGATCGCGGCCGTGCCGCTCTCCTCTCGCCGCGTCTCCCAGATCCGGCCCTGGTGATCGTGGAGGAGCCCAAGCAACGGGGCATGCGCTTCCGCTACCAGTGCGAGGGCCGCGCCACGGGCAGCATCTTCGGCGAGCGCAGCGATACCAGCACCAAGACCTACCCTGCCGTGCAGGTGATTCGCCAGTGCCCGCCTCTCCCCGTCCGCGTCCCTTCTCTCGCCTCCAGCGACACCGCGGGCGGGCGCCCTCTCACGAATATAACACGGCAGGCAGAGCGACGCGGCGCTCGCGCGACCCTCGGCTTGGCTGATACTCGCCTCCCACCATTTATACGATGGAGGGGGAAGCCCATTAACATCGACAGCTCCGCCAACCCCCACACACTCCCCACATTAACGCCACAACGCCTATCCCATGTGTGATTTTGAAATGGAGCTGCTTCACGCACCGGGCTTTTGTAATTGGTATCGAGCAGATAGGCAGCGCCGGGGCCGATAAGCGAAATTGTCTGGTCAAAGGGAATTTTTTTATTCGTTGTCATCCGCTGGATAAACTACACATCGCAGGCTTTCCAATGACTCGTCATTCATTGAATTTGGTGGAGCGGGTCTCGGAGAAGTTCTCTGAAAAATTCATGCAAACGTACCGATTGTCCTCTTCCACAGTAGACGTCACAAGACATCCACCCACGGACCCCCTCCCCCTACTCTGCAATCTGCGTCGACGTGAATCTAGTGGTGACGCGGCGTTTGGCACACTGCACGATGAACCCAGCCAACCGAGCCTGATTCACGGCCACGGCTAACATCGGTGGCGAGTAATATCGCAATCGATCTCGGCTCCGTACCCCCCGCCCCTACGCCAACCCACACTGACCAGCGTGGTGAAGTATGGACAAACAACCCCCATGACCCACGCTGTTGCGGGGGGGAGGCTTTCATCCAGCAGTGGATCGACAATGGGGCTGTATGCTATTTTATATGTATGTTGTTCTGAATGGCGGAGACGATCGCTTTACTTGAATGACCGCAACCATTGGGGTGCCAAAGCCGATTGCCGCTCGGGTGCCAGTCCCAAGACACCCGTGCCCATTGGTGAACATCGCTACACAGCGCCGTGGGTGTGCGGGTGTGCGGGTGTGTGCGTGTGCGGGTGTGCGGGTGTATGCGTGCGGCCTCCCCCGCTGCTCTGGGCAAAGCTTCTCGCTGCCCTTGGTGGTCAACTCCGTTGCTGGAGGAAGGCCCCCGTCCCCCGCGCCGCGTCGCGTGGTGCAACCCGCGGGGGGGAGATGTGAGCGGTGGCTGTGAAGTCGCCTCGTGCGGCGGGCGCCCCGTTGGAACCGACAGCGCCGTGAATCTGGCACCGTCAAAGAGAGACATTTAATCCGGCCGTGGTTCATCGGTCATCATCATTGTCATATCGGTGAGGGCTCTCGTTTACAGAGGGACTTTTTATAGACCATTAAAAGGAGTTTCTTATCTGTGGAATGGCACTCAATTTTTACATCATGCTGGTTCTAGTAAAAACAAAGACATCTATGTATACACGTACGCACACATGCATGCAAGTGTATAAAGCTGTGTGTGTATATATCAACTGTGCGTGTGTGTGCTTTGCGTGCCATGTACTCACGCGTGTAATGCACCTGTGTTCACCTCTGTAGTAAGCGTGCGGTTTAGCCCTGCGCGTGCGCGTGTGTATAAATGTGGATGCCAAGTAAAGTCTTGCTGGTGATAAACGTACTCCACCGGGCGTGGCAGAACATCGTCTATTGGTGGACGAGGGCTCCCTCTTGAAAACTAACACCGGGACGCCCATCCTCCTCTGCTACCCTTTAAGTCTGCAACTCCGTTCCCCCAGCAGTCCTAGCTGTCGACTGCCTGCCTGTCCCTGGTCACGTCCAGGCTCCAAGATCTTACTCTTTCTGCCTCTGCGTACGGCTCTCGCTTTCGATAAAAACAAACATGCACGGTGCATTGAGATGCACTCGCATTCAGAAGCTGTGCAAATCCAAATTGTCATCTATCATGTATTTTAAGTCCCCTTCCAGGACCATTTTCTGAGAAAATATTAAAATTCATATTTTATAATTCATTGTCTCATTATTCGAATGTCTGCCTCTCATGAGGTGATGTCAATAACACAATTGTAATGTATGTCCAGAATACATTATGGATGACATTGGTCGCGAAAGCCTACGTGTTAAACTGTAATATACATGTCTGTCGTTGAGTCAGAGGTAAATGCGCCGAGGTGGCCTGGTGTCCCGCTGATCAGTCACCGAAACAGCGCCTCGAAGTTCCTGGGTTAAAATCCAGGTTTTGGCTGCCCGTGATTAAATGGGGTTCAAGTTGGTGATCTCAGCTCGGTCACCAATCACTGCGCAAAATAAAACACCATCGCATTCATTTACCTTTCCTGATTTGGTATTCCAGCTCTGAGTAATACCGCAATAGACACGTGACGAACACTGCAGGGCAGGTGCAGCATGTGCCCCTTGTGTGGATAGAGAGGACGACTGAAGCCACTTTAGCGGTAGTTCCGTGACCGTTATATTCCACGGCTGCTCTCAAAGCGATGCGCTGCTCTCCATAAAAGATCCAAATGTCCATTTGTTCCTGCCGCGCGTGCGCACTGCAGGTGCAGAACTACAGCGAGCGCGTTCTCCTGCGCGTGTCGCTCGTCAGCAAGGAGGAGCCCTACCGGCCTCACCCGCACGCGCTCGTCGGAACCGACTGCAACGACGGCATCTTCCAGACGACGCTCGAGCCACCCGACCTCCGTGTTCAGTAAGGACTCGCACCCCCATCGCACCCCCATCGCACCCCCATCGCACCCCCATCGCACCCCCATCGCACCCCCATCGCACCCCCATCGCACCCCCATCGCACCCCCATCGCACCCCCATCGCACCCCCATCGCACCCCCATCGCACCCCCATCGCACCCCCATCGCTGCCCATCTTCGCAATGCCCATCGCCACCATCACGGCTCATCTCCCTCATCGTGAGCCGTCACGGGCACACACGCTGATGCACGGCGTGCGCACGGGCCGGCAGCATGGAGGGGAAGGTTCAAGGATGCAGGGTCTGAGTTGCGTGTTGGCGGACAACGTTGGTTTCCGCCTGTAATGCGTGCCTTTGTATTTGTTGTCCCTGGACCCTGCAGACAGTCTGTTTCAAGTTTAATTTGTTTAACTATGTGATAAATAAGAGAGCAGACTAGTCTCATTTGCAAAAGTGACTTTGTGTTGAGAGACCAAAACTCCTGCTGAGATGTGAGATGCAAAATGTCAGCACAGAAAGTGGAATATTTCTGCGATGGCTGTGCACATTCTTGAGTTGCCCCTCGCGTATTTGTGTGATTTCTCTGGGCACTCAGATTTTCTCCCAACTTGTCAAATACAATATTCTTTGCCATTTTGGCCATTCTCCACTAAAGTGGTGCACGAGTGGCTTTAGTGCTCAACACGCTGCTGGCAGAGGCTTCCATCCACAAGCAGAGTTTTGTCGGTAAATATGGGAAACGGCTCTTTAATTGTGGGAATTCATCATTTCCTGTTAAGTGCTCCTCTGGAAGAATTCTAGGTATTGCTTTCTCTCCAAGGCAATTCGGACAGGACGTCCGTCGATGTGGAGTGTTCACTCCCCCGCCTTCCTTCTCCCTCGACTCTTTGCGGCGTTTCAGCAAAATGGGATTCTTGCTGGGAAAGGCCGAATGATGGAACAGCTGTGGGCTTCGGTGCAGTTTTACGGTCGTGGGCTCTCGACACGGATTTTTTGGCAGCGCTGCCCAACGCATCTGCGTAGCGCTGACCTGAGTTCGGGGCTGGGGGGTGCCTCGTGCTCAAACACCCACGGACCTTGTTCGGAAACACGAGGTCGTGCAGCAGAAGCGGCAACAGCTCTGTGCAGTCCAATGCAAGCGAGTTTTTGCTGAACTCGCAGAAACACGACCTCTCCGTGATGGATTGCCCGAGTGCATCTACGCATGAAAGTGGCCTAAATAATAAAGCTTTGATATCTATACTCTGCAAGCAGTCAATATTATTGATGTGGCACTCTAGAAATACTTCTGTTTGTAGATGGCATACTGTGAATGTGTTCTGATACTACACGACCCCAAGCGCCACCACAAGCACCGTGCTCGTCCACACAAACGACGAGCCGTGCCACAAACAGAGAAGCTTCATTGCAAGAATAACAGCTTCTGTTTACGTATTGTCGAATGCAACAGCATCTCACGACGCTCTGCATAAGCGAAAAAACGACGTGAGTGCAGAGGGGGAGATGGGGGCAGAGACTTGCTGGGGAGGGGAGGGCAGTACCACGGCACGGCCTAGGGCCTTCAACTGAATTCGGAAGTTGGCGATGGCTGGCAGCAGCCCGGCAGTGACAATGGAGCAACGCGAGCCGCACTCGGGCACTCCGGACGGTAGAAGAAGTTTGGAGAGAGAAAAGAAGCATAAATAAGTACTTTTACATCTTAATTTTAAAGGTTAAATTAAATCAAAACCAACGCGTAAAATCTCGTAAGCCTCCCGGACCACAGTAGAAACTTTGCCTTATTAATGTTCGTCGCTTATTTTGCGGCATCAGCTCCATCGGGGACGAGAGTCTAGCGTTACCACTGCTCACGGTTACCAGATGACACGTTTATCCTTGATGGAGCGGCCTCGCATTTGTTGCCCCCTTTGTGGACGATGGGATCTATCGGCACCGACAACGTCACAACGCCGCTCTCAAGGCCAACTTGCAGCAGCGGCGCGTTTATCGGCCGACCACTTAGCAACAAATGGATTGCACTGCAGCGAGTTGATAGGTTAATGATGGTGGGGTAAAGCGTGGGTACACATCTATCTCTTCCATCGAGAACAAGCAAGGTGACATGTCCCTCGAAAGAGTGAGAGAGAGAGTCCTGGAGCACTCGTGCCCGCCGTGTTGCCACTGCGTTACTTCTGTTGGCGTAGCGCCGCTTGTCTGACTGCGATCGTCTCTGTTATTACCGTCACTGCATCTCACGGGGAATGTCCGTAGACTAAAATAAACAGTCTTGAGTGAGGGGCACGTTTACAATAAATACCACAATCGCCGCTTCGTAGGCAGCAGTGTAAGCGCACGCACGCACACACACGTACCATGGCACTTTGCACAAAAAAATGCTTTTAGCAACAAAAAAAAAATTGCTCTCGCTGCCCAATTCCACCTCAAACTGCTAGAGAGCAGACGCTGGGCACGTGCAGCAGAGCAAAGTGGTGGCGAGGGCAGGGGCTCAAGGGCGGGACCGGACCGCGAGATCGAGCCAACCGGGCCGTCGGCTCGGTTACACAAAGGAGGGGCCTGGGCGCCATAGCATTGCGGTTGTCCGATTGCCCGTCCCAGCCACCCGTATTTATCGAGGGACTGGGACACATTCAACTGAGAACGTGAAGGTGGCGGCGCCACTTTTATCGTTTTATTTTAAGTACGCGGCGTCGTTATCTCAGCGATCTGCCGCGTTTCATTCGTCTGAAGTGCTGCGATCGTCGCGCTCCTTGACGGGCCTGTGCTCTTGTCCGCCCACGCTTTGTGACGCCAGATTCCAGAACCTGGGCATCCAGTGCGCCAAGCGGAAAGACATCATGAGCGCCATCCGAATGAGGGTCACCAAACAAAAGATCGACCCTTTCAACGGTGAGCCTGCCGAGCGCGAGTGGAGCGATGACGACACGACGGGAATCGCCTTCGTGGTTTTCGCCAGCAGCTTCTGAAACAACAGTTCTGCAGATGCATCCTGATGCACACGTTGCCCAAAATCGTATTGCGTTGCCTTAATTAAGTTTTTTCACGTCTGGGCTCTCAAGAAATTCCATGAAATCATAAAATTCCAATGAGGTGGCATTGTCTACATACTTCACAGCCGCTCAATTGCAGATTTTATTAAACGGTTCTGATCATGTCTGGCCCTTTCAGAGCGGAGGTTAGCATGTGAGTGCATACTGAGTAATAATACTTTGTGGCGGTATTCATTTATGTTTTTTTAAAATCATAAATGGCATCGTCATGACCACAGGCATAATACCCTGGTGATTTATAAAACCAGACCAGGGTTGGCGTTTCTGACCGGAGCGGGGACATTTCCAGACCTGTGGCATCGCGCCCATTTCCAATGAAGGTTGATTTGCCGAGTCCCTCTGTTATGTTCCGTGAATATCAATCCACCGATGCTGATTCCGATTGACCTGACATGTTGCTCCCTGTGTGTTTACCGCCCCGTGTACCCCCTGTGTGTGTACCCCCCTGCATGTACCCCCTGTGCTCACAGTGGGCGGGCTGGCATTTGAGATGGAGGGCCTGGACCTCAACGCCGTGCGGTTTTGCTTCGAGGCCTTCCTCATCAACTCGCACGGCTCCATCGTGAAGGCCCTGCCGCCCGTGGTCTCCAACCCGATCTACGACAAGAGTGAGTCGCTCACGGCCGCTCCTCCTCCTCCTCCGCACGCCCGCTCGGCGTCTCCCTGGAGGCCGTCTGCGGCCCCTGGTGCTGCCGGGTGGCTCCTCTGGCCGAGCATGAGCCAGGCTTAAATCTGCTGAATTGGTGTTGCCTTGAGCGAGGTTCAAGGCTCCATCTCCGATTCATCACTTGGAACAAGAGCACTTTGAGATGCTCGGCTCTCGTGCGGAAGGCACCCGGGGGGCATTTGCCTTGTCAAACGGGCAAGGACGATACTCCTCTCCATTAGCATCCCTGAGCCACTGGTGGAAATTCCACATTCACATGGCAAGGACAAGGCTGTATTTCGGACAGGCATTGTCAACTTATCACAACGTATAATTTTGAGCCGTGCGTCACGATCACTTGTGTGTGTGAAATATTGCACACATTATAAATTGGATTACTGTTGCATGATACATTTGATGATCAACCCCCAGACGGTGTGGGTGACTTTCAATAATAGGAATTATTGACATCTATTTTTCATCGCACTCAGTATACGTGCTGTACGATTACAATAAGTCGGCTGTTCTTCGATATGACCGGATTCTCGATAATTGCGGCCAAAACCGAACACGCGGTTATGTATCGTGATGTCCGATTACAGAGAAAAAATTACAAACCTGGAAGTGCCCACGCACTTAGCGATATTTACCGGCGTCGAGGAGGGCGGCAGAGAGGGAACCTGGCGCCCGTGGGCGTCGTTATCGCCGATCGCCGCATCATCCACCGGGCCCGGCACGCACCGTCGCCGGGCCTGCAGGGCGACTGCCGCTGTCCGCACACGCCGCGGCTTTGCTTCTCTGCTGCGCGCGAGCGCCTCCTTGAACGCCGGAGCGCCGCTGTGCACGTCGTGTGGCGGCACCGCGCGGAAATGTTCGTCTGAAATGTGTGATTTGTTGCCGTGCAATCTTGATAACTTCGAAAGCGCTCATGGCCCCATTTAGTCACTTGCCGGAATTCCACTGTGTGGGTATATCTCGGTGTACAAATGAAATTTCTGAAAAGGTGGCGAGACCGACACCAATAACAACACGGGGACGAAGCGGAGGCGTGTCGCGGCGTGCATCTCCACGCGCTTTTATCGCCGTCGGAAATGTTCGCGTGGATGGGAGGCGAGGAGCGTGCCGTGCTCGTGTGTGGGGCCTGTAAGCAATTGTGCGTTCAGTTTGGAGTTTGGGCTCAAGGAGTGTCGCTCTTCCAACAGTTTAGGAGGGGCTTTTGAAAGCTTTTATATTAATAATTATATAAAAATTTGCACAGTACAGGCTGCTAAAGAAATCACAAACGCCACCGTTGACAAACACGGCCATAAAAAGAGGAGTGGTGTTTTCGTGCAGGTGGTTGTTGTGTTCTAGCGGTGAGTTACTGCTCGCAGCGTGTCAGTGCTAGTGACGTGTAGCAGTAGGAATGTGTTAGAAGGCTATAATTTGAATTTATAAAACGTCTATAAACAGCCATGGAGGAAAATGTCACATCGTGTTTTGAAACCTGGTTAGTGCAGGCGAGGTGCTCTCGTTGGGTGATTTCGAGGTGCTGCTCGGCTTCGTGCGGCCGCAGACCTCAGGTCAAAGAACCGTAGGTTGCTGTCCCTGATCCGAAGCGCGGGTAGAATGCTACAGGCCAGAGATGGAGTCGAGGCCACGTTACGGCAGAAAGTGCAGATGGAACGCTCTATAGGAGGGACGGGCAGCCGCAGGAGCCGGTTTCGCCGGCGGGAGCAAACGCCGCACCGCGCGTGAACGGGCGCGTGAACGGGCGCGCGAACGGGGACGTCAACTTGCCGTGTGGCGTCCGTGTGCAGAGGGGTGCAACACCTCGGAGCTCAAGATCATCCGTCTGAACGAGCACTCGGGCTGCGCGGCGGGGGGGGACGAGCGCTACATCCTGTGTGACAAGGTCCAAAAAGGTGAGACCATCGCTCGCTCAGCCGCTCAGCCGCTCAGCCGCTCGCGTGAATCTCTCTGCACAGCCGAGCTACGGGTCAGCCAGATAACTCGTTCCAAAAATGCATGTCAAACAAAGTCGAGTTGCTGCACGCGTATAACGTTGCAGAAATGACGAGTTCTTAGAAGCGCTGCTATGAATGTGTTTTTATTTACACTGTAAAAACATTTACCGCAGTTTTCCGGTGAAACCCTTATCTTGATTCATTTGCTACCGAGCGGCCTGCAGCTATGCTATGTTTCAACTCTGTTAGTGAAGGTCGAGCATTAACAATGATCACCTCCAATCCTACAGATGCTTATAGCTGATCTACAATAGGAACATATCATAAGAGTTACGAGTTATGATTTACAGCCTCTTTGTCAGGCGTCTGCTGGCCGAGGCCCGCGCCATGGCAACCGTGGAGTTGTTTGACCGTACTGCAGCGCACCGCACCGCACCGCACTGGTCAGTGTGGGTTGGCAGAGGGAAGTGGGGCCCAGGATTTGTTGAGATATCAGCGAGTGACATCTGAGCCGGTCCCAGGCCCCCCCCGTTGACCAACCCCAAATACTTATCAGTGTAGGCAAATACGGTCAAACTACCCCCATAACTGACACGGCATGGGGAAGCCTTCATCCAACAGTGCATTGACGTAGAGCTATAATTTACATGAAATTCTAGTTGATGTATCCACTTATGCATCCCTCTCATCTTATTTCGCGGTTTGTGTGCGGTGTGTGTGTGCGTGCGGTGTGCGTGCGGTGTGTGTGCGGTGTGTGTGTGCACGTTGTGTGTGTGTGTGTGGTGTGTGTGCACATTGTGTGGTGTGTGTGTGTGGTGTGCGTGTGGTGTGTGTGCATGGTCTGTGGTGTGTGCACGCGCGCGTCGTTGGCTCCCTCCCGTAACGCAGAGGACATCGCGGTGCGCTTCTTCGACGAGGACGCCTGGGAGGCGCGGGGCGTCTTCTCGCAGACCGACGTGCACCGGCAGGTGGCCATTGTGTTCCGCACGCCGCCGTACCGCGACGGGCACACGGCCGCGCCTGTGTGCGTGCGCGTGCAACTGCTGCGGCCCTCGGACGGGGAGACCAGCGAGCCCTTGGAGTTCCACTACACCCCCGTCGACACCGGTGAGGGGGGCGGGGGGGCGGCATCGACACGAAGGCCGAGGGTCGTGCGAGGACCCGACGCCGATGTTTGCTGCGCCGGAGGCCGAATTACTTCGCGTTGGCAAGCCTGCGTCTCCGTTCCGACCAATTTTCTCCCTTCGATTGCAAACAAAGTCTTTTTAACACGCTGCACGCGCGCTCGATGATTACCAAAGGCGTCTCACGTTTGACGTACACGTTAAGGTGGAGGCCTCGAGTGCGTCTCGCTCGACTTTGACGGTGCTCGTAATTTGTATCGGTGCTGTCCACGTCACGCCAGGATGCCGTCTATTGATCTTGAGACATGTGTCGTGCGTGGCGACCTCATTCGAATTTGGCTGGGGACGATTGGTCAACGTGGAGTCGCGAACCGCGATGGGTCACGAGCACTGGTTTTTGGGATAGTCCCCGGTCTGCAGCACGCCGAGGAATTTCGCGAGCCAGGTGCTAGACTCGGCAATCCGTCACGGAGCCTCGGGCAAGCACTGTGGCGGCAGTGGCGGCCATCTCTTTTAGTTGGCCCTGTGCCAGTGGGGCAGCTCCCTCCTTATGTCATTGTTTATAAACTCCACTCCATGTGACCCACCACACTAGTATGCACATTCAGCCACTGAATGCATCCGACGGTGGTCATCATAGAAACCTGTTTCCCGTGGGAGTAGTCGTGAGGTTGGGAAATACCGCTGTGGGTGACCGTGATTGCGCAACCGAAATCGAGAAATGCGCGTATTGCTCTTACCTGTGAATCAAGTATCCATATCGGATGGGGAAATCCCAGTCGTGTGGCGAGAATCCCAGCCATATAATCCGTACAGATTTTCTACTCACTTGACTATATAGGCTGAGAATTGCATTTCTGCGTGGGCCCTGTTAAAATAGAATTGAGTCAAAAATTCTGAATTCCATAAAATTTCTGGGCCCATCGGTTCTGTCCCGACTTTCCCCAGCTGCTGGTATGGTGGGGGGAGGGGGGGAGAGGCGGGGGGTGGGGGGCCGGTCATCGTGCGTCTAGCCAGTCGTCGCCCCCTGCACACGCGTTGGCCTCGTCTTTCGTGTGGACGTCAGAGAGGAGGGCAACTAGACCGCATTTGAGGAGGCCGATGTGGAAACAATTGGGCGTTTGTTCTTTTCACGGCAAGCAAAAGGGGAAGTGACCGGCGATGAGGAATTCGCCAGGGTGTATAAATGGTTCTGCTAATGCCAGCAAATTTCATTATCTCTTCACAGCTCTAAATACCATTGCTGATTTAGTAAAAAAAAAAAAAATTGCCGTACGTGCAAAGTGCATACGGACGCTTTGCAGAAATGAGGTTGCCTCCTGCACTACAGGCGGCACCATTGTTCTGCGTCGTGACGGCCGCGGTGCCATATATACCCATACCGAGGACTTCTTTTTAAAACGTGTCTTATATATTTTTTATTATTTGGGATTTTTCATGTGCCTCTTAATTTGCTGAAATCGCATATCAATCACTTAAAACACCTCAAAATTTCAAATCGCAGATCCTCACCACCTGCAGCAGAAGCGCAAGAAGAAGCATTCGGCCTTTCAGAGCTGCGCTGCGGAGGCCTCCCAGGGAAGCTGGTGTGAGCAGAACGGTGAGTTCCCCCGGCAATCACTCGACTCTCCACTCTGATCGCGAGCCCCACGGGTCGTCAATATGTCGCCGAGCCGAAACGCCAACTTTTGAAAAGTTTTCTCAAACGCCCCGTCAGAAGCGATTCTTATCTCACGAACATTAAAACTTAAATTCGCCTCTGCTTTGCTGTCGAACCCAGGAGAGTCGTCGGTGGCCACGTGCAACGAGACGAGACGCCGGCTCAAAGTGAAGCTGCAGCAGCACAAAGGTAGAGCGTCGAACGCGCGCCAAGTCTAGCGACGCACGCCAGGCGACGCGCCGCTTTCACGACGGTGTTGTGTGTTTTTTTACGCGACCTCGACGTCGCTTTTTCAAAAGCGTTAAAAGAAACGTTCGCTTCGTCCTGCAGAGCCACGGAAGCCGGCGGAGCTCGCGACGTCGCCGCCGACGCCGGTGAAGCCGGAAGCCATTCCGGCGTTCGTGCCCTACTTCTACCCGGCATCGCCGGCCGGCTACGGCACGGCGCCCACGGGCTGCTGCCCGGCCGGCGAGCCCGAGCCACCGCTCGCCGCGCCCACCTACCGGGGCAGCCTCTCCCTCTTTGGGCCGGACGCCACGCGGGGAGGGGTTCCCGGCGGCCACGGCGGCGGCGGCGGCGGCGATGGCGACGGCGACGAGGGAATCAACGTCCTTGACCGGGCGCTCGCGACCATCGACGCGGCGCTCAAGCGCACGCAGCCCGCCGAGCAGTACGGCTGGCACGCCGGCGCGGCGGCGCCGACGTACGCCGTCGCCTGCGTGCCGCCGCGCCCGCCGCTCCCGTCGTGCGCGCTCGGAGAGGAGGGGCCCGGCGCCAGCCTCGCGCGCGGGACGCCCGAGCGTCCGCAGAGCGCCGGCACGGAGACGCCGCACGTCTTCCGACAGCTTCACCATCGCCAGCAGCGACCGCACGAGCACCATCAGCACCTCCAGCACCACGCGCAGCAGCACCACGTGGGAGAGGCGTTCCTCGGCGGGGGCAGCGGCGTGTTCCACGCGAGGCCCCAGACGTACACGGAGCTGCTCACGGGGCAAGTGCGGGGGGGCTTCGCCTTCCAGGAGCCGAGCTCAGCGCCGCTCGACATGCCCTATGGGCTGTGCGTCGGCGGCGGCGTGGACGTGGAGCACAGCGGCTGACGGCGCTGGGTGCCACCACCGGCGTCTGGGCGCTCGACTTGGCTGTGCGCTCTGTGTACACAAACGTATTATTTTTCAACTTTATGAGTTTTTTTACTACGTATGCGGCTTGAATGTAATTAGCTTTTGTAGAAGTTTTTACCGTTGGCTGCACGATTTCTGCGTAGAACGTTGAGGGGGCATTTTTACTCGTTTCTGAGATGTCGATGGGATTTTGGTATCCGCGCGAATTCCACTGGTGCATATTGGTTACTGGTGCGAGGTTCTTACCAAGCCGTCCGGTTGAAGGTTTTAAAAAGAATCCTTGCTGCAATTACAAGAGTAATATATGTTCGTGTTTTCATTATGATTACCATAAGTGGATTTTAAAAAATGTACGTGTATTTTTACCCGTTGCTTTCAAAGCAATCCTGATTTACCGTTATTCAGTTACTGAATTGTGTAATGTGACATCCTTGTGCGATGAAGCTCTATTGAACAGTTGTGTGTTCACGGTGGTGGCGGTGGGGTGCCGGGGAGGGGGAAGGGGAGGGGGCGCTCGTAAGCGCCCTCTGAGTCACGAGTCACGCGCTTCGCGGTCTCTGTGACGTCGTGGAAACGTCCATTGCTGCACGGGCGGGTGGGGCTTTCAGAGGAGGGGGGCGGCTGGGGGTTGGGTTACTTCTCATTTTGGAACTTTAACTTTGAAAGCGTTTCTGTTTCCTGAGCCTGATGTTGAACTAATGTTTTACTCTGAAACTGAATTTTAAAGATGTACATATTGTACTGAGTAAAAAGTTGTTTTTTTTCCCTAATACAAATGTTTGACATTTCGACTGCGAGCTCTATCCCTCTGAGACATGCCTGCGTTTGGTGCAAATTCAGTCCGAGGAGCTGAAGCTACACTCACAGACAATTTATACGCTTTCATCAAAATCAAAGCGAAATATATGCAGTGAGTCAGGTAGTTTTTATTCACGATACGACATTCAGCTCGCTGGTCAATTGTTTTTATTCGCTGGTTTTATCACGAGTGCGGTGCGTTTTGGAAATGCTCGGACAAAAAACAACACACGTTTTTTTCACAACAGCTGTTTTACGTGTTTATTTTATATTTTCACCATAAATTTTTGCACGAATGGCTCCATTTTCACTCTAACACGCAGCAGGCTTCCACGACCAATATTATTTATAAAGGTTTTTGGGTTAGATCGTGTAAGTATAAGTGTGTCGTAATCCTTCACCACCCTACACAGCCAGTAAGGTTTGTCACATAAGCAGAACGCGCTAATTACTAGTGTAGTGTATAGTCGTATATAGTGTGGTGTATAGTGTAGTTTACTACTTTAGCCCACCGGTGTGTTGGAGACTAAATCCACAACATTTACAATTCGAGATGTACCGTGACGGTTCGCTGGTAAGTCCATCAGCCAGCACCATCGGGCGATTTGCCAGAAGAGTGAAGCCATCCACCTGCTGCTTCCGGTCTTAAAGAGAGCGGCAGCAGCAGGGTGACCGTCATCGCTGTGAGCCAATCAGCGGAGGAAGGCAGAGAGGTGTTTATTGTAAACCTACATTATGGATGACCACTGTCATCCATAATGTAGGGTTTTTTTGGTGTTAAATCGCCTAAAAATAAATGCGTCATTGAACCTGCCACCACTCGACACAGCCAATTAGAAAGGTTTGTAACGTAAACAGAACATGCCAATTCGTTACGAGTACAGCACACCGGTGTGTTGGCGAGTAAATCCACAACATTTGTACAAGTTTAAATGTGAATCATTGTAAATGTGTATTTGCTCTCCAACACACCGGCGTGCTGTACTAGTAACAAATTGGCGTGTTATATTCACGTGACAAACCTTACTATTTGGCTGTGTCGGGTGGTGGCGAGTTTAACGACACATTTATATATTTACGTGATATCAACTAAAAAAACGTGTATTATGGATATACAACCATAGATTGTTAATCACAGTTGATTAGCATGTGTTGCATTTACAAGGAATACAATTGTAAGGTGTATTAATAATGCGCTTCCAGGCCGCAATAAGCCTGGAGCTGTCGGAGCGGTTAAAATTGTTTATATTTCTCTCAATTTCAATAGATTCTCGAATTAGTCTCGGCCAGTAATTAATTATTAGTCTTGCACAACACTTCAACGTTATCAAAATCAATTGAATGACCTTGTTGGCAAGCATGCTCTGCGACTGTAGAAAATGCTGGAGGGTTACGACACATTTATACCTACGCGATCACACCCAAACCCCTTTAATTATCCATTTTCACTTGTTAGCAAAAGTGATGGGAAACTTTGGCCCATACAAGCATCGTTCGTAACTTGTTGGGGGCGGGGGGTTATGTTGTTGTTGTAATCTTTGCGACTGTGCGCAGCTGTGTGGCTTTGAGTCTCAGTGACCTGAGCAGTGGACGCGGCTGGTGCTGCCGGAGCGGCCGTCCCCAGTGGGGGGGGGGGGCTCGCGTGCGGAGAGCCGCGTGCGGAGAGCCGCCTCCAGGCGCCGTGCGCTCGACGCGAGGCGCTTCGTCGCGTGCGCCCAGAGAGCGAGACGAGGCAGGAGGGAAGAGGACCCCCCCCCCCCCCCCCGCGTGTTTGTCCGCAAGGCAGGAAGGAGGTTTCGTAACGGACGGCTGCTGCGTTAGCAGGGCGACTGTTTTCTTGACGTAAACCATTTAAACCGCTTGGAAGTGAGGTCCGAATTTAACGTGAGAGAATCTGGTTGCGGTAAGAGTAATGTTATGTATATCACTACAGGTGGGAGATCTTGCCATTTAATGAAGCCATTCGAAGAGAATGTAGTCCAGCAGTGGCCAGCTGGTGTCTCCTGAGCCACATCTGGCTCTTTAATCCACCACAAGCGGCTGGAAATCAGTCGGTAGATATATTTAAGTCTGATTTGAAACCCCGTCTCTTTAAAGTGGCCTTCCCTCTTTCGTTTGTTTGGTTGCCCTGCTGGTTCTGTTTTTGTTTTTTGGCTTTACATGCATTGCGCATTGGGATCCTATGATGGAATGCGAATTCTACATTTGAATTATTATCGAAGGGGCTTAACGTAGAACTATCACGGTAGCAAAGACTAATGTATTCCGCGGTCTGACGAAAACTGTATATATATACACACTTGCCTCTTGCAGAACTCCAGGGTCCTTTTTGACTCTTGGTCTGTTACAGGTTGGCTACCCATGATGTCGAACATGCGGAGGGTGATGGATGGGGGTCGTCGTGATGGATGAGAAACGTTGTGTGCATGGGCCTGAGGTGGGCATTGGGGTGGCAACCCCAGGGGGTGGCGCTCGATTGGGAGCCCTGAACACGCGACGCGAGTCGAGATGTCGAACCTGCAGCAGCAGGTGCAGGGTGTTATGGAAAGCTGCCATGGGTTTTGTGGCATTAATTGAATTTATTTTCCTTTGCCATTGATGTAGAGTCTGAGCATTAATTGTATTTACGTCAATACCTTCAGTGTTGGCCGGGAGGGCCTCAACTGAGTGTCCACACGTGTCAGGAGGAGGGCTTTGTGCAGGATATTTGACAAAGTGAGTATTATCGTTATTAAACTGCGCTCTGAGACACGCCGTTACGCGTTGTGGGATCGGCAGTGTTCGTACTATGTAATACATCATCGTCAAACTGTCATCACGCGAGTTCCCGAATGCCGTCGCTATCTACCTGAAACCACGCGATAATCGCGGATTCGGCGACAACAAGTCACCACCGCCATACCTGATCCTGCCCACGCTACCTGCATACGTACGACTCGGAGGGGGGAAAATCCAACCAGCATACGCACACGGCTCGCATTTTGGTGCATGAAGTCACCGTGCCCAAACCGTGAACACGGAAACCTTTGACCATGGGTAGGAAGCGGGTGCCCGCCCACGCGGCCACTCGGCCCAGGCACGCACGAGCAACGCGCCGTGTTTGCGAATGCAGCCCTCGTCACCTGCGCCTGCAGCGTTCGCTCAGAAACGGCAGACCGGTTGCCGCCATGCTCGGCAGCGCATGGCACTTTGAAAAATAAGCATTCTGAAAGACGTGTGTACGGGAAGTGTTTAGACAAAGTGTAATCTGTCCGTCTGCCAGGAATCCGTGTGGGGTAATGTCTGGATCGGGGCGCCACGGTGGTGAGATGTTAACTACTTCGCTTGGTATACGAGAGGTGTAGTGGGTTCAATCCCGACACTGACGCCTATACATTTGGAGTTTGCGTATCTCTCGCCGTGCTCGTGTATTTTTCTCCGGGTCTTCTGGGTTTTCCCTCCACATTTAGAATCACCACGCGTTTTGAGTATTTGGCTGCTATACATTTCCACGTGAGAAGCCACTTGGCAGGGTTGTTTGTGGCCAGGTCGCGTCTGAAAACGAGCTGTCTAGCTCCGTGGGCCCCTAACCTGGTGAAATTGTTTGTCGCTCATTTACTCGAGTGTGGTCCCAGCTGTGACCGTTCAGAGCGAATGGTGTGGCCGTGATGGGAGTGTTCACGCCGCGATGTCGCACCCGGAGCAGAGTTATAAGAAACGTCGACGCCGTTTATTTTACAGTCGCTGCCTCGAGCACACTCGTCCACATCGCCGGGGTTCGTTTTCCCTAACTATGTTTTGGCACTTTCAAATCTGACGACACGATGCGATCGCACAGCAAACCTGACAGCGTTGCCGTAACAATGACAGTTCTACTGTTCGGTTGCGAATGTTAGTTCAGTCACGGGAATGCAATGACAGCTAATGCGCATTATTTAACTAAATGTGTTTTATTAAATCACGGGTTGCAATACAGTACTCACAAGGCATAGTTTACATTTTGGTACATGGCCAACACAGGCGCGTTAAAGTATTCACCGTTGACGAGACATCAATGCAGGATTATTGCCCCTTCAAATCGATGCGACGCTTTGCTCTTCTTTCCCTAACATCGTCACACGGACCTCGTGTCGCCAACTCCAGTTCCGACCTTGCCCTTCACTCATGCGCTTGAATTTGAATTCGCAAGCTGACTTCATCACCACTTGCAGGTAATAGGCTCCCATATAAATGATTTGTATCACCTGTAGCTTGTCAGCTTCACCACGGGCATGCCATTCCTCCACGCGTCAAGACTTAAGGCTCCAACTATGAACCCGTGTTGTGAAGCTTTCAGTAGCACAGGCGCGAGCCTTGCAACTCGTGAAAACATTTCTCGAGATCGCAGGTTATTTTCATCAGCCCATCTTGAGATGTTATCTACAACAGGAAAACATTTACCCCTGCCATTATTATTGTATACTCTTTAACACAACTGTTTTGGACTTTAAGTTTACACGCTGACAATGTAGTTTTTTTTGAGCCAGTGCAACTTAAATGTTCTAATATCCGCACTTAAGAGGCATGTGGCTATAAATGTATCTAATGAGCACCTGCGCAGCGATGTTGCCTCTGGCTTTACGGGCGCCAGGCAGCTCTCGCTGTCTGATAAACGCTGCACAAAACCGGTTCTGCGTGGGCTGGTGAAAGTGACCTCATCTCACTCCGCGACGCAACGCCTCAACCCGACACGTGACCGGCACTTCACAGAAGTGTATCGCCGTCCATGAAAACCATTCTCCGACTACCTGCATGCAATTATGCCAATCAAGTCGTCCCGACAATCATTTGCCGCAAGCGTTTCAGTGACAATGGAAACGCTTGGCAGATGGCAGCCGGTGGCTTTGCGACGCGTGGCTTAGAAGATGCGACGCGTCGCGAGAGAGCCCTCCGTTTAATTCGTCGTGAACAAACAGAGCCATCTCAAAAGAGGTGCCAAGAGCCCCGATAAGATGCCAACGTGATTGTGCAGTTGGGACGCTGCGCTTCTCGGGCGATGGAGAGCAACACGGGTGTCGGTTTTTTTTTTTTGTCCAAATTGCATTGAACGAGGCTTTGGTCAGAAAGGAAAAAAAAACCCGAGTCGTGAGTACGCAGTCCCAAGGCTCAAGACGTCCACCCACACGCAGCGGACATGCCGAGCCCACCCAGCAGCCCCGGTCGGCGGCAGGTGTCAAGCGCGACGTGGGAGGAGTGGTGGGACGCCACCGTGAATAATGAGGCGCGGTTTCGTCGTATTTCCCCCACCACCGACCGACGTCACAGCAGGCCACCGCGTGGGCCGGGCCCGCGGCTGCCTGGGCGGACTTGCTCCAGCGCGGCGGGGAATTCCCCCACGAAGTATTTACGTCCGCGAGGCTCGGGCGCAAATGAAGCGCTTTGAAGTGTGCAGGCGCAGTTTCATTGTTGACGTTTGCGATTGTGTCATCGAGGGCGACTCGTGCCAGGTCTACACCGTGTTTGGCACGAGTCAACGAACTCGTATCGGATTTGTTTTCATTCAAATGTTCCACTTGCCCTTTCCTGATTAACATCGTCATTTACATAACTCAAAAACACACAAGGCAAATCGTAAATCGCCGTGTATTCTGTTCGCCGTTTCGCTCGTAGAAATAAGTGATACAAAAAACCAAACACACGCCGATCCTGCTCCACCTCACAACGTGTTTAGCAAATCGTAGCAATAAATATTGAACGAGATTTTAAACAGGAAGGAAACGCTAATTCAAGTCGACCGAAAAGGTCAAGTTTCACAAGAGACGTTGGGGTTGATGTTGCAGGCAGGCGGGCGGGCGGGCAGGCGGGCGGGGCAGGCGGGCAGCAGCAGCAGCCTCACGCCCAGAACCCCCCGCGCCCCCTACACCCCCTCCGCTTGCTCCGGACTGTCCTCGTCATCCAGCGGGGGCGGCCAGGCCACGTCCACCGACTGGAAGACAGCGCACAGCGAGGGTGACCGTGCCCCGTGGGGTCAGCTCGCCCAGCGAACGGCGGCCACAACCAGTCGCAGGGACATCACAAGGCAGTGCTCGTCCACCATGCAGGGTTCTCACCCAAATCAACAAAACGTGGCAAAGATGGCGCAAGACAAGTGCTGTCCTTCACATTCACGTGTCCTCCTCGCGCCGTGATGGCAACGGCGTCAAATCACGCACAGGTCGTGCAATGTGTTGTGCCGAGACCAGCCTAAAACAAATACCATCCACGTGTAACCAAGTGATTTCACCGTGACAAAAGATCTATGTTGGCCTACACAGTTCACAGATAATTTTACAACATAACCAGTTTGAGCTAAAACGAGTGTGTTAAGTATTCTTCACTTTGAATGAATTTGCACGTTTTTCAACTCGTGCTGAATAACTTGCTTTCGTTGGAACTCGCACCACACATTGCCACATCCTGCCTCGTGCCGACAGTGTGCAGGACAGATGAGCCTGGGCTCGCGGGGTCGTCGTGTTCATGCCGGCAAACGGCCCGTGCCGGCCCCCCCTCACCTCCACGTCGAGCTCCAGGATGTCGGTCTGCGTGCCGAGCAGCGAGCCCAGGTTGGGCACGGTGCGCCCAAAGTCGCCGTGCACAAACTCCTTGATGTATCTGCACGAGGCAGCACCGCCCCAGTTAAAGGCTGTAAGCCGCACGAGTCGTATCCGCCGCACATTCGACACGACGAGACTCCTGCCCCCGCCAGGGTTGCTGAACATCGCGAGCGACGGAGGTTGTCTGCGAGGCCGGGCCGTGTACCAAAGCGCATGACCGTCACCCCCTGTGATCCTCAATTCCAGCCCAGTCTTGCGACAATCAAACGGGGAGCAACTTCGAATGTTGTCCTTCGCCCCCACACCTCCGATTAGCACGGTCGGCTACGTACAGTGCGAAGAAAAATATTACAACCTCTATGGCCTCTGCAAACACAGATCAGGTAAAGCATTATCGATCCAATATTATTTTCGAAGATCCCAACCTTGGGGAAAAATTAAGCAGCCACAGAAAAAAAAAACGACCTCAAGAGCGCGCTTTTAAGGGGCTATACATTTAGTATGTACGCATGGAGGGGGGGTTAACCCAAATGCGTTCGCTTGCGTATGGGGGTCTACTGTACTGACAATGTGTGCATAGGAAACGGGGGGGGGGGGGTGAAGCCTCGATAACAATGTCTACATTGGCCTTCAAATGAGTTAGTCCGGCGGTGGACTGTTTGTTTAAACACGTTAATATTATTAATCCTTGATCGTTTCTGCGTGGATTAAATATCGCCCGTTCTATAGGATTGGGGGAGGGGGGGGGGTGTAAAAAGTCCGCGTGCGTACAGGGAGGGGGGGAGGGGTCGTGTCGACAGATTTTTGCGTCCCGACTCGACGGATGGCCCCTTTCTCCACGGTCAGCGAATTTTGAAGAGGACCGCGTTTACTCCAAATACAGGCATTCTGCAGAGAGCAGATACTCGGTGTGTCTCGAGAGAGAAAACTCTAGAGAGAGACTGCAGAACCTCAATGTCCTCATTATAATCGACCTCTTTAACCATCCACTTAGGGGACATCCATTTAGTAGGGACACAAAAAACTCAAAACTTGACCCCTCCCTGTACGCACGCGTACTTTTTACACCCCCCCCCCTCCCCGAATCCTAATGAAAGACCGATATTTTATCCAGGCAGAAACGATCAAGGAATAATAATATTAACATGTTTAAGCAAACAGATAGTCCACCGCCGGACTAACTAATTTGAAGGCCAAATGAAAAATTATCGATGCTTCACCTCCCCCCCCCTCCCCGTTTCCTACGCTTACATTGTCAGTAGACCCCCCCCATATGCAAGCAAACGCGTTTGTGTTAAACCCCCCACCCTCCATGCGTAAGTACTGAATGTATGGCCCCAAAATGGGCTTGTATTCGGTGGAAAAGAAACCCTCCAAGCATTGTGTCATGTAAATGAATAACAGTCGTTTGGTTCATGTAATAATCAAGCATGCTTTGTGTCAACTTTGCTCCATTGCATCATGCTTGTATGATGTCACCGTGGCCGAATGTAGCTTTTATTTTGCCAACGTTTGCACCGACTACGCGCCGGTGGCACGTCAAGGTGCAGACACTCCAAAGGTCGCGCGAACAAGTCCAGCGCTCCCCGAAGGCTCTCGGCTTGTCACCGACTTGTACACTCTGACAGTTGTGATAGTCAACCTCCGAGCGGAATAATTGACGAATGTTCAGGTTGGATGTTTTTCAAGTCGGCACAGCCTAACTGCATTGTTCTATGCCAGGCCTTGTCAGATGTCAGAAGCAACGCAGCGTGAAGCCAGGATGGTGCTTGGATAGGTGACCACCATGTAAAGCCGGCTGTCGTAGGCTGTTGCGGTGCCGTGCAATATTCCGAGCAGAAAGGGGAAGTGAATAAAGATCCATTGTTGTACGCTACAACTATGCTCCCACGTCTATCCTTCCCGTCTTCACCAGCCGACTCTATCAGCATGAAGTGAGGTATGGTCCAATGACCCAGACAACGTGGGGGAGGACCTCTTACAGCAGTGGACTGATAAAAAGAAACATACATGCACATACGATACATGGGTCAGACCTAATACATCAATACATGTTGATCGACAATACATCATATTATATACGGTTAATCCTTTACATTTAGATGCAGTTTAGACCACGATGGGTGCAAAAGACAAACAGAGGCGGAGTGAACCGCAGGAGAGGTGCGTGCGGTCGCAGCTGTATCGGCGGCGGCGGCGGCTTAGGCGGAAGGATACGTCCCAGCCTGCGTGCGCAGGTCGAGGCGGAAGTGGTGCGCGTTGCACAGCTCGGCGCGCATCGTGTGGATGAGTCGCGGCCGCATGGCCAGAGGGCGCCGGTGCAGGACTCGCAGGGGCGTCGTCTGCTCCAAGCGCAAATCCTGAGTTTTGCGGTCATGCAGGAAAGACTTTTTTTTTGCTTTTTGCAATACAAATTATAATGAACAGCGCTGCCTGCGGAATGTTTCGTGAACGCTTTCAGTTGGACTCCACACTGAGCAGTGCGTCACTGAATACTATGCAGTAACCGCAATAGCCTTGCTCTACACTTTGGGCATCATTATATGCCAAACTGGAGGTAAGCAAAAAACCTAAATAAATATTGATAACCAGGCCGAGACCATCAACTCACTGCAGATGAGTACCAGATTCAAAACCAGGAACTTGGCAGTGACGGCTCAATCACTACTCGGAAAACTCAATCATTTTTTTTATGAATCGCTAAATCCGGCAGCGTGGGGAAAGGCAAACGCAGCCCAGCACGATACCACCGTGACGCTCTCCCTGATGGCCAAGAAAGCAACAATAAGCAAAGAGAAGCCACCTTGCAAGACCTCCATTGATGTGCGTGAGTATTGTCATGGCTTTTCAGTCGTCTTTCATTTATCCCGCTCCAGTTTAAATATAGAAAATCACAAGATCACGTTTTAGTCTGATGTTTATTGTCTGGTGTTAAACAAGTGCAAAGGAAGCATCTCACATACCTTCCTTCTCAAAGAATATGGCATCATACAGAAGTGTGATTATTTATGAGTGACCCCCTTACACGCGTATGTTTGTAATGTACTTTAATTTACGGCCCTTTGTCTATTCACTGCTGGATGGAGACCTCCTCACGCCGTGTTGGTCAAAGGGGTTGTTTGACCGTACGTCCCCACGCTGGTCAGTGCGGGTTGGTGATATCACACGCAAGGAATGTTAGCCATGGCTGGGAACTTTATTCAGATCACGTGGTTCATCGTGCAGGGTCGCTCACCACTCCACCCCATGTTTGTAAGTATAACATGAACCGTATTAAAACGCAAACGTTCATTAGAACACAGTCGCAGTCTGACTGTTCAGGCCTGTGGCCGGGAGGCGGCTCCACTCACCTTAATGTCCCGCAGGAAGTCCAGGTCGCCAGGGACCAAGGCCTTCTCGCTCCACACGAGTGCGCTGTACGACTTGGTCTTCTCTTCCTCGCCCTCCTTCATGTGGGCCATCGCTTCCCTGTGGCCACACGGGCACCATCGGTCACTCTCTACTCCACCCCACGCCTGCACACCAAGCTCCCCATCACCTTCCTCCTCACTGTTGTGTCCGGGCGGTTTACTACTTTAATCTGCAATGTTCACACTCTGGATACGGGGTGACATTGTCACACACTGTCTGCTGCTCAGCAGCAGGCAGTGTGTTTGTGGAGTTCGCCATGTGATAATTGCCGAGTGTACGAGGTCAGGCTGCCCACTTAATAACAGCTGCCTTGCTTACGCACTAATCAGAAGTACGGCAAACACACCAACCACGGGGCTACCCAGCAGCGAAGCAATTGACGGTGCTAATAAATGGAGAAGTGCTACACCAAGCCTAAGAAGATGGGGCGCCATCAGAACCACAAACAGGGCTGTAATTTTGGGCTCATCAAACCTACGAGGCCCTCTCCAAATATTATTTTCATGCCAAGCTTCCCTCCAGGAGGTGCTCATCACAGACAGCTGGTATCAAAACTCAGGTGCAAATTTGATAGAAGGGCAATGGGTCGATCAAGAAGGCGTCATTGTTTGTTTGATGGATAATCGTTCCATTCCAAAACAAAACGTCCGTGAAGAAAAATTACAGCATAAAGCCTCACCGACTGACAATCTGCAGGTCCCGCACTGCTATTTTGTCCGACGAATTGATCTCCTGCAAAGTCACAGATTAAAAATAATTTTTACATTGGGTTAGTCTCAGCCTCGCAAAGAATCATTAACATGCATGACAAGAGCATACGACACATCATTATAACACAAAGTTTTTGTTATTTTATTTTTATAAAAAAAACATGTTTAAGCAGATGCCACTTACTTTCTGCAGCTGCCTAAGCTGGGACTGGGAGAGAGCGGCTCTGCGTGGGTTTATCAGCTCCACTGCGAAGGGCCGGCCTGGTGCACACCAAAGCGCGAGGAAATCAGCTCGCGCCTGACAGCTCGCTTGTACCGAGAGCACGAGGATGTCAGTTCGAGAGTAAAACCCGCGTGCTGGCGATTGTTTTGTTTTGGAACATTTGTGAAAAAAGCATAACGCTTTAAACAATACCTTTTCCAAGGGTCCGCACATCCACATCCTCTCTTCCAGACGAGGAAAAGTTGAAACCTGGTGAGATACGAGGAAAATAATCAAATGGGCTCAACTCAGCAGCTCTGATGAGATTTATAGGGCTCGAGAAAAACCTGCTAATATCAGAAACGACAGGGAGGGGGTAAAAGACAAAGACATGAAATTGTTACGATTCCGCTTCACGTTTCAATTGTGCGCGGTCGTGCACACGCGAGCACGGCGTCCAATGAGACGGCTCCGCTTGTTGCGACTGCTCGTGCAAGCGAATGCGGGTTACGAAAACAGCAGGGCACACATCTGTGACGCTGACACCGCCTCCGACGGGAAGCGAGGAGGGAGACAAGAGGGAGGCTGGCGTGCGCTCGTACCGCTCGCGTGAAACGCGAGGACCAGGATGTTTGCGATGAGCTCCTCAACGGACGACTCCATTTTCCGCTCGCCGTCGATCACCCACGGCGTCTGCGGCAGCGTGCGCGAGTACTTGTTGTAACGTCCTAACGGTCGGGGGCGGAGGACAACGGGCAGCTTCTCCGTAATGTGGTCACTGCCTTGTAAAGTTTGGGACTGTGGGGAGTGCGCATTCAATGAGGAATGTGCAAATATTCTCACGTCTTATCTTACGACTGGATTACGCTCATGCAGCTTAGCGCTTTGTGTCTTACGTGACCCAAGAATGGCTCCTGTACAATGACATCAGTGTATCCAAGAGCACGGTTTCAATAGACCGCACCTTTCCAATCACTCTGACATCAGAATCAGGAAACAATTAATCCCAAATGACTGAAGTGGCAAATAACTTCGGTTTAGTATGTATATTCAGAAAACTCCACCATTAGGCAATGTGCGTGTGAATAAATGACCATAAATCCAACAACTAATTAGCACATCCGTGCTTGAATATTGTTTCACTAATTCCAGGCGAAACGTCCACCACACCTGCGACAAAGACGGGCCCGTGAGTGCACGCAATGTCGCTGCACAAGCACGTGCGGCTTGGCGGCGGAAGAGGCCATGGAAAGTTCCTGATTTTGAAACAGAAGTGGGAAGGGAGAACAACGCATTGACACCGCCGCCGCTGCACCACGAACATCTCGCTCGCCGTACCCACGGATTCTCCCAACCCCGCAGCGTCAGCCCAATTGCCGAAGCCCGAGACAACGCCTTCAGCAAACACGTGTTATGTGCGTGTCCCTCGGTCGCGAGGGCATTCGATGGCACGTAAACAAAACACAGCAACTGCACCGGTTCCCCAGTTTGCAACCACAATGACGTCCAGCAGTACAACATGCCCTTCCCCCACGTTCTCTACCAATTGAAGAAAACGCCATCAGCAACATCTTCTCCCCTTAGGTTATATAAACGAGAAAGGGAAATTCCATTGAGGGCATTTTTAAACAACCGCTTGAGGTCTACAACAGCCCGCAGGCTCGCTCAGCACTCTACGGGCAAATGAAGACACGTCTGTATGCACCACACTGACAAACCTGAATGTCAGAGTTCTATATTTAGTGCATGACCATTACGAAATCAGGCGCTGAATGCATTCCATCTGCATTTGTTTGTTTCATTTACAGAGGAAAGTAATTATCTGACAGTAAAGTGTCCCGGAAATTATCTGAATTTTTTTAAATATCTGCAACTAAACTGCTAAATAACCACCACCTTACAATCACACTTGTCTGGGTATTCCTTATGGTTACCACATTCTTATTTTGCCAGAATAAATATCGTCCCAAATAATTGTAGTGACACATATATATCTTATTTAATGTTTAGTTATCGCTTGAAAGTTAATGTATGAATTGTGGAGAAATGTAATCTCAGCAAGTACCCCAATTACAACAAAAAATACTTTCAAGAAATGGGAGTGTCAGTTTAACACATTGGCTTTCGCGACCAATATTATCCATAATGCAGATTTTTGGGTTAGATCGCATAAATGTAAATGTGTCGTTAAACCTGGCACCACCCAACGCAGCCAATTAGTAAAGTTTGTCACGTAAACATAACATGCCAATTCGTTACTAGTACAGCACACCGGTGTTTAGGAGAATAAATCCACAACATTTACAATCTGAGTACGACGTTTTGCCAGTAATTACAACGACACACCGGTGTGGTGTACCAGTAATGAATTGGCACGTTCTGTTTACGTGACAAACCTTACTAATTGGCTGTGTCGGATGGTGGCGGGTTTAACGACACATTAATATTTACGTGATCTAACCCAAAAAACCTCTATTATGGATATGGGAGTGTGAGGGCAAAAAAGGTCAAGCTCAGAAATGCCATGGCCACACTGCCGAAATGTTTGAAAACCAATCATAATTATTACTGTCGCTGCTGTACTTTACAAGCCAACAAAAACACGAAGGAAAGAAGTAATTTTACGAACAAATTACAAGGATTTCGATTTAAAGCTTTCGTGACTGCAGGGATTCATCTTCTTGGTTCTTTCGGTAAAGTCACGTAGAAGGGAAGTAATAAAATAATAAAAATAAAACATAAAATTATTCTCACGACGTTTCGGCCACAACGCAAGTATCCGTCCTCAGGTGAAAACCAGGTCTGTCGAGGCGACAGCGTCTGAATGAAACAGCACACGCGCTTGGAGCAGATGCTGTCGCCTCGACAGACCTGGTTTTCACCTGAGGACGGCTACTTGCGTTGTGGCCGAAACGTCGTGAGAATAATTTTATGTTTTATTTTAATTATTTTATTACTTCCCTTCTACGTGACTTTACCGAAAGAACCAAGAAGAGAAATTACAAGGAGTGCCCATTAATATCCCGCCAAACGATTGGCATTGGCTTGAGGCCAGTGCACACACACACACACAGTACTTGCCTTCTGAACTGGTTGTCGGGGATTTTTTCCAACGCCTTTGAAACAGCTGCTCTAGAGAACAGAGACTGCAACAGGGAAAGCCCAACAGTGTCTGAATGAGTGGGTGGAAGATGTCGATGTCTCCGTATGAATATGTTAATTGTCCAATGCGCACAACTTTATCACAGTTTTGTTTTGAGCCTGTTAATTTTAGATCCAAAGAGGAACCACCATACCGCAAATGTAATAAAATAGACATGCAAATATAGCAGCCAGCCACAGATAAAAGGGTAAAAGAACAGGCAAGTTCAACAAAAAAGTAATTTAAATTAAATGAAGAAATTAACAAAATGTCTCACTTGTTTGTTTTTGGATGGTTTGAAACAGTCTGGACAAGCAGATGCCCTGCATAAAAAAAAAAAACAGAAAAAATAATTAAAAATAGCAAAACAATAAAATTGTGCATGAAAATTAACAACCCCCAATGTTACTTCAACTGCCAATTGAATCCAAGAGATGGTTGACTTACAAAAATCGGCATTCGCTGTCGGTTTCCTTGTGCGTCAGATTTAAGCTCACTTCAAAAGGACTCTGCAAAGATGCACACAAGGTTGCTGTTATACGCCCGGTCAGCACAAAACACAAACAGCGCAATATCCACACTCACACACGCACTGGGTGTCACTGAACATGACTTCAAAATGTTACCGACTTCACTCTAAACCTTAAAGCATGAAGGTGAAAAGAGGGAATGTATGGGAGGCTCATGTGGCCACAACTGGGCACTTTTTTTCGTAAAATATCCCATTAAGAGTAAACATAAAACCCAGAAGCCAAATATATACGAAAGAGGAATATTATGATTTTCTATTCTACTTGAATCTTAGACTCATGATGAATCATGCACGGGATTATTCGTTTTTTTACAGTTAATGCAGATGACATTCCAAGAATAAAATTAGGCTTACTGAACAAACCAGTAGAGGGAAGACAGAAAAAAACATAAACATTCAAACGATATGGTAAAAATAATATAAGAATCCATTGATGAATTGTGACCCTAAACGGTGACAATCCATCGAATCAGTCGGCAATGAATCATTCCACGCCCAATTTGTGAACTTAAACGTGGAATTTCTCAAGCATCGGGAGAAATAATAACGTGGCACAGCTGAACGATCACCCCACCACCCCGCACCCCACGTCGCTGGCACCTTGCCCTCGACGGGCACCCTGAAGCGCTTAGCTAGCGCCGGGTACACGACCCACTTGTACGCCTCCTTGAGCAGCACCCCCGTGCCGCCGCCGCCGCTACCATCACCGCGTTCCGAGCAGGCCCCGCGCGCGCTGGGCTCCAGGGAGGATGAAGAGGGAGGACAGCGGAGGTTAAGCAGGTTAATGAGCCAAACGCCAGCTTGCAACGGAAACTCAAGTATATATGCACAAAGAAAATTAGAGTGAGCCACAGTGAAATTTTCATCACTAGAAAACAATTATTAAAATATGAATAACACAGTCAACAAACTGCTCAATGAAGGCATTCCCATTACATGTCGGTCATGGGGGTTGTATGACCATACTTTCTGGACACCACCGGCCTGAATCGACCATGGGAGGTACGCACGAATGATTCAGAAATCACTCGTCACTGATTTTATCCGTGGCCGGAAATCAAACTCAGATCACCACGTCCATAGTGCAGTGTGCAAACCAGTATACGCCACCGCTCCAACCATGCAGTAAGTACATGCACAAAAAAGGTATATATTCACATTTGGAGATTTCTTTTACCACGTTCCACTTAGCACAGAATGTTATTCATGAATGTCTCACATTACTATGCATCTATGCACATGCATTCAGCTCAACCATCAGTGAACAGAGGATACTGCAAAATATTTCAGAGTTTACACCATTGACAGAAGAGTAACCGTATGTCAATATTGAACAGACTCTGATTTGAGAATATACATGCAACAGCTGGAAAATATCACCTGGAATATTCGAATGTAAAAATTTTACACAAAATATCTACAATTCAGGGCACAGCTATACAGGTATAAAAATCGCCACGTCACTTTTTTTTTATTCCAGAGTGAAACATCCCACAGGCAGTTCACACAACTCAAACTATGAATGTTTCGTTTGTACGGCACCACTGGAATTCTGAAATGCGGTGCAGTGACTTTTATTCTCAATAAAAAAATATAGGAGTGAATTATTTACCTTTCGTTTTCCTTTATAGCCAGCCAGGCAGCATGCTGAAAAAAATACCCAGACCACAGTATTATTGATAAAAGGCTGTTAATGACACGTTGGCATTCAAAACCAAAGGGCCTTAACCACAGAAGTTTTTCCGCACAAGGAAAGCATTACGGTGCATGTTGGGCATTTAAAAACAATGCGTAGAATTGGCTCAGGTCAAAGATTATAACGTTATGGTATCCGTATGAATGTGGGGGGTGCTAGGTGGATCATTTCATTTGTGCGTATCCATTAAAACGTTTGCACGAATAAATGTGGACAATATGAATTATCTGAAACTTTCTGTTTGTATATATTTTATCTATGCAAAAAAGTTAATGGGTGAATTTTCCATCACTTTCAGATGACTGCTTTATGTCTTTGGGTAGCAAATACAACAGGAAGAATCGATACATGGCTAAGATGATTTTTGACAGATTGATTTGAGGTGAGGATATTCATAAAGGTGGCAAAAACAAGAGTTATGCTGTATATAATCCATACAAGACAAAGATGCCCCCATATAGCCTTCAAAGACTGTTAGGGTAAATGCTGTTAGCGAGCACCTATAAAGGCCGCCACGGCACACTAGGGGGTAGGGGCAAGTGGCCGACACCACGTCTTTGTCTCCCTTGTGGCGATTTTTACACATCACACTAGGTACTCATTGGAGGCCAAATCGACATGACTGGTTCAGATAATGATGAGCGGGAAACGAACTTTAGTCACCAGGTTCGTCATGCAGTGCGCTAACCACAGCTCCACATACCGTGCACAATATTCAAAGACCACCCACTCACACATTTTCTTTGAAGTCTCATTCAACAAAAGAACACTTTTCGAGTACACACTTAGAATATGAAAGTTAGAATTCAAAACTGCTGTACCAAAGGTTAGAGTCCTTTTTTCTTCTAAAATGTTTACTCGAAAATGTAAATTGAAATATATATATATAATGGAACCGAGCAAGCTAACACCCACAAGCTACCTTTGATATACACACTTCTATTCAATGACAATGGAATACAGACACACACTCACCTCCCGCACGGCGAGCTGCGGTGGGAAGGAGGCGGACACCAGCATGCTGCTGAATTGGTAGTCAGAGTCTCTCACCTTGTTGCACATCTGAAGATGACCGAATGCATTAAAAAAATTGGATAGCTTTTTCATAAGAGGGAAATGCACGCACCTGGCGACACGGCTCAGGTCGCCCTCGAAAAAAGGTCACAGCGCGCTCAATGCACACACACCTTCGCTGGATCCAGGTTTCACTCTTAAGACTAAAATATACAATAATACTACACGGGGTGGATAATAAAAGTGACTTTGTATATTTCACACTTTCATTGATGTAAAATGAACCCGATTGTAAATTTCACTCAAAAGATGTGAGTAATAACAGGCACATTAGTCAAATATGGCTCTGCATAGACCACACTGATTGTAAGATTAGGTAATGTACGTAAGCAATCCTAACATGTAAATGAGTATTCGCTTCTGAATGAATTTACAATAAACTTGGATGTAAAATTTTACAAAACACAAGTCATCACGGCATGTATCAAGGGTATGTAAAGTATGTCTGCACATTCAGTATGTTTTATTATAAATATTATTTGAATTTCCTACTGCTCTTTGGAATAAATGTAGTGGTTCATGAGAAGGGTTCAAACATTTCATCTGGCCATGTGGATAGCAGACAATGCAACATTTAGTCCAGTATATGGGAATGACGGGGTAAAATGTTGATAAAACTATTGGTATTGAACCTCTTCAATGAAGGGATCCTCGCACAAGCGCTGCATGACCCCCAGGCACACAGAGCAAACGGGCACTTTGGTCGCAGCTCTGTTCACATCTGCCGCCTCCTGCTTCTCAGACTCGGCTGAGCCATTCCTTTCTCTCCGCTCCTCACTCTCCAAAGGGCACTGCACATCGTCGGGCTCCATGCCCATTTGCAGCAGGTTGTCAGTTTTCATTTTTTTCCTTGGCCGCTCGTCCACATCGCCACCATCCGAGGTCTCGTGTGGGCTCCCTTCTAATGCCGTGCTGGACGTTAGCTTCTCCAGCTGCCTCAGCAGCTCCTGCGTGGAACGAGGGTGAATCAAAGAGAAAAAGCACAGTGAGTCCCCAGAACGTTGGTTTGTGGTGGTGTCAGGGCATGGGGGAGAACTGGTTAAAGGTGCTTGAGGTGAGTGGGATGGGTGGGTTGAACTTCCGACAAAAACGAATTGCCAAATATCATGCCTTTTACGTCAGCACCACAGCTGCAAGAACAGCTTCCTCCTACTCCTGGTGACAAGCGGTCACGCATGTCACGCCACCCGCCGGTGACAGGGTGATTCGCAGATTCCTCAGTGTGGCTACAATCCACTGCCAATAGCATGCCACCGGCTAGCAGGCAATGACGTAGCTACCAACGTCAAATTAAATCCATCAACTGCAGTAGTTTCCAGCGCAGCCACTTCCTCCTCCTTCTCACTCAGCCCACAATTACATCTAAGCCAGGATGAAGCAGAAGTTGACTGTTTACTCCGCCCAAGAAAATATGCCTCCCTTCATAAAATAAAATGTATTTGTGGTCCATTGCTTTGTGGGCCTTCAGCACCAATATTTGCCAGCAGCATTTGTTCAAACAGGAAAAACTCTGGACCAGTTTCAATATTCTGAGTCTATTTGGCATTCAGGCCCTGTTAAGAAAATTCCGCTGTTATCAACGATGATATACACCGCCAATCATAGGAATACATTGGGGGCTGTTCAGCACAAGGCACAGCTAAATCTTTTCCACATATAATAATGTGCCGTGACAGACCACAAACGTGTCCCGAGTCAAGGTATCAAGAGGGCCGCGGCGGCCGGCGTCCTACCATCTCGGGTTGCTGGTAGACGGCGGGAGCGGCCACCCTGCAGAGGCGCAGCACGCAGCGGGGACAGCAGCCCCCCTTCAGCAGCATGCTCACCACGGGCGCCCAGCGCTCGCCAGGCAGCTGCTGCAGGGCCATGCCCCTCGTTGCACGCCTCGCTCCAGCACCTCCGTCCTGTGCCCTCACGCTTCAAGATTCACACCAAGTCCAGACATTAACGTACAAGAGGGCAGGAGGACAAAGGCTGATATCGGGTTTTTTTAGAACTGCACTGGATCAGTGTCGAGAATAAAGATTGCAACCCGAGCTCGCCTTCGAATTTAACTTCAAGGCCTCTCATTGAAGCACCTGCAGTTTTAGTTTATACTTAATTGTTCCAACGTGTAAGTGTGAACGAGTGATTAAGTATTTTTTTCAGATTTAGCTACGTAGAACCTAAGACTCTTGCACACATTGCTCTCACACAGCTGATCATGCCCCGGGTTTGCAACGTCTGTTTACAGCAAACGGTGCTGTAATAAGGGTTTGACCTGATTAAATGAACAAACTCAACACATATATCAATGCAAAAAGAGACATTTCAGCTGCCTGTAATATAATTAACAAATAACTGGAAAGATTCAATACCACCTTTAAAAACGTATTACAGGCAACTGTTTGGACACTGGGCCTTCTTCATCGTACTTGTAAATTAGGTTGCCGTGTGTGTGTGTTTAGCTTATGATATCACTGCTTCAACCAACGACAACTTTGGTATATTCAGAATCTTGATTTATCCTGGAGAAATCCGGCACCGGCTCATCTTGATTTAATCCCAAGACCTGACCTGGCGAATTAAAAATACTGTATAAATGTATTGCCTCATTAATTCGTTCGTTAATCCAAAGGACTTGGCCAAATCTAACGTAGCACACCTTATTAAATCAAGGACCGGATTTGATCAAATACTTTAACTCAAAAACCTAAATCGATCTACAGTAGTTTGAAATAAAGTATCTGACCGAGTAAATCGAAAATATGATCAGACTCAACGAATTAAACTGGTTTCACCAAAGCCTTGACCTTCTAAAATCAAGAACCTCGTCTATTTAGGTCAGGGGTCGGCAACCAAAATAACAAGAAGAGCCATTTCTTTCCAATTCGGTACAAAATTCAGTATTTCAAGAGCCGCAATGCATCTGAGTACATACTGTACTCACCGTCAAGAAGCAGCCCGTAAAGAGCCGCATGCGGCTCCGGAGCCGTAGGTTGCCGACCCCTGATTTAGGTCAACACGAAAATTGATCATGAATCTCAGCGGCCTCCTAGGGTCGTATTAACCGATGTCTCATGATGGGGAGAATCCATATCACTGTAATAGATTCTAGCGACGTTAAATTGAATTACTTGCCAATGCTGTAGTAAAATGATACGACTGTCGCTTGATGGTGGGCGATGGTCAATGACCGAGTTGGCTGCTCAAGGAATGGCCCGAGAGACGCTACAGTGAGGAGATGGAGCGATGCAATCAGATATTGTGAAGGTGCTATGTGGATTGTGACATCGCGGGATGGAAACGACTTGGGGGGGGGGTAGGGGCAGGTGGTGGTGGGGACAGGCATTCACCCAGCAGTGGATTCACAAAAACGGATCCGTGCCACGCGCTGGGCACCCCGTGCACGTGGCCCACAGAAGACCACGAACCGGGGGGGGCGGGGGGAGGGCACGGCGAACTCTGTTCAAGGCTCAGTTCGCATCCCACCCCGGGACGGTTTTTTAAACAACGCCGCTGCCCCCCACCCCGAGCGATACCGCTGCACTGCACCCTGCTGCACTGCCCCCCAGCTGCACTGCCCCCCCCCCGCCGCGCTGCCCCCCCCCGCCGCACTGCCCCCCCCGCCGCACTGCCCCCCCCGCTGCACTGCCCCCCCTGCTGCACTGCCCCCCCTGCTGCACTGCCCCCCCCCGCTGCACTGCCCCCCCCGCCGCGCTGCCCCCCCCCGCCGCACTGCCCCCCCGCTGCACTGCCCCCCCCCCCGCTGCACTGCCCCCCCCCCCTCTGCACTGCCCCCCTGCTGCGCTAACCAAGTGCCCGTGTCTAGCAGGGGGCTCGAGCCGACTTGGCTTCCGAGCTCGGGCCCACGGGGGCCGATTGCCGTCGACAAGCCGCACCGAGCAGCCGTGGCGATGGTGGCGGCCAAACAACCCCCACGACCCGCACGCCGTGGGGACGGCGGCCTTCGTCATCCAGCAGTAGAGTGACAAAGCTGCCGCCGCTGCTGCCGCTGCTGCTGCGTGAACACCGCGGCACGCAGAGACGCCGTTGCCTCGACACAGGCGGCAGCAGCAGGAGACACCGCGCGTCCCAATCGGGTACCTGGCACTTCTGCTGCAGGCGGGTGGGGGGGGGGTGGTTTCTCGACGTTTCTGTCGCTTTAACGCCTCAACTCCGACACCAAAACAACTGCGACACCAAAACAAAACAACTGCGACACTAAAACAAAACAACTCCGACACCAAAGCGGCCTCGCCACGCCGGCACGCTCAGCACAGCAGAAGCTCTCGCTGCACCACCTGTTAGATTTCCCAGCACGCACGCGCCCGCCTCCCCAATGACCCTCGCCGCTATTGGTGGGCCCCGGCTTTGGCGAACGCCGCTCCGACCAATGAGGAGCCGCACCCCGCCCCCCAGCACGCGCGGGGGGCCTAATGCGTTATAGGAAATGTAAACGGCCGTGCCTCGGTTTCTTTGGTTTCCCAGCACATGGCGAGTAGCCCCCGCGTGTATTTTTTTAAAACGATGTTTTGTTATTTTCCAGCTGTCACACGCGCCCCTCTCCCTCGGCTATAGAATGACGTTCTGGCGTTACGATAGAGGCAATTTGTCAAATTCATTACCCATTTTTATTGCATCAAAAATGACTTGAACACAAAATGATAATGCAAACTTTTAATTACACACATCGCCGTGCAACATATCAGCCACTGCGATTCGTTTACTGTAGTAATATCTTGTAAAGTATCTCAAAGTAGTCATCCTTAAATAAAAACTCAAAAGATGATAATTTCAAAATTGTATCATGTTGGTGATGGAAGGTTCCAGTCCGCTTATTGGCGAGCAGTGGCGGCAATGTAGCCCCACCTTGTGGATAAAGCCACGATAAAAACAAAAACATTGTAATAAATCCATGGCATTTAAGTTCCTCAGTACATAGAACTAATAGCATTAATATGCAAAAATAAATAGCGCTTTGGTGCTGAACTTCATTACCTACATCTGAAGCCACACCCTCAATGCTGGTGAACATTTGACTATTAAATTACCAGCTCAGACATTTAATAGTCTTTTCAAAACTGCACAAAACTGTATTTGAGGGTTGAAAACCCCACAAACTCAAAAGAGTGGGGCCTCAAATCAAACGTTGGGGCAACTGAAACTGACAAAGCATCGTTCCACCCTCCCATATCGCCAGGAAGCATTTCATGATACAAAGTTACAAGGAAAAAGTTTTAGCCTCCATTTCACTTCCTCAAATCGTCTTACAAATTCCGCAGGATCCACCTCACTCGTCGCTGAACTTGCGCGTGATGCGCGAACGGCGCGGCGTGCTCTCCAGGTCAAATTTGCTGTCGTAGATGGTTGGGCAGAGACCCCAGCGGTTGTTGCGGTAGATGCCCAGGTAGGTGTACACATCCGGCTTGTACGTCATCCGTGCCTTGACGCCCGTGGCACGGATGGCGGTGTCCAGTGCGTAGACGTCGTCCTCGCGCGTGAAGTCGCGGCTGTAGACGCAGATCACGTGCTTGCTCTCCTTGCCGCTGGGGTCGTGCGGGCTCACCTTGGCCATCGGAATTAATCCCTCGGCTACCGCCTTGGCCAGGCCCCGCCAGGCGTGGTCCACCTGTACACGGTATGGTGATGTTTGTTACAAGATACCTGGGCTTTAATACACACATAGTAGGAGAGACGTAATGTAAATGCCAACAGAAGCCAAACTAGTCGTATATCTTTAGCAGTAGTGGTTGTAAAAATAATCACAATTGACTTTAAAGAACTTATGACTAAATAAAAATACTCCGTATGCACCGTTATGTATTTATAACTTATTTCGAACCATACGTAACCATAACTGTCAACTCCTTATCAGTGCCCCTACCTTATTACAGACCAATTCAGACCGTATTGGTCACCTCGTGCTCTTATAAATCTTAACGTTCATCCTACAAAGTCCCATTACAAGGGAGAAACACAGAAAACAAATGTTGTCCGTATTGAAATGGCTTTACGCCATATGGACCTGAAAATAAAATTTCCCTGTACAAGAATACGGCTAAACCGTATGGGTTGATAGATATCCGTAACGAACTTTGATAAACGGAGGTGCGGAGCATCGTGGGTGAACAGATACACTTAAGATTCGTCTCTCACATTTACATAATTTGTTATACTTTCTATGCCAGCATTATCAAGCAGCATTTGTTTTAAAAAGTTCATTTTATTATGCAGCAACACATACGGCTATTTAATATTGGTCTGAAAAGTCTATGCATCTGGTAGGCTTACTAAAATGTTATTTTTACGTAGAAAATAATAAAAATGTTAAGTCTTTTTTTATTTAATTGCTCATCAGCGGTAACTAACTCTTCACAGAACCTGCCAAGTCTCCAATGACAAAGCTACATATGTTCTTGATGGGCTCTCACATAGTTTAAAATTAAAACCTAAAACCCATGAAAATATATGAATGAGAGAGCTCACAATCCACCTTAAAGCCAGACTCCATGTGGATGAGCCACTTCCCAACGAGGCAGCCGTGGTCGAGGGCCAGCCTGCGCACCATGCCGAATGTGATGTGCTCGCTGCAGCTGGTCAGCTGCTCCCAGGCCTCCTGCAGCCCGCACACGTCCATGTGCCTCGCTCGATGGGAAGCAGCTGGGGCCCTGTACGCAGATCCAGCCCACGGGCTCCAAGCCCTTGCTGGCATCTCCGTGGCGGATGACGACCGAGGGGCGGTTCGTGTCAAGCCAGGCGTCCAGTGTACCGAGTGGCCTCTTGAGCGAGTTGAACGTCTCCCACGGATCCATGTCGGCTGCCATCGCCTCCGCCGCATACTCTTCCGCTTGGAACTTCTGCTCCGTGCCCAGATCCTCCACCTCCATCATCGCGGCAGCTGTGCCAGAAATAAATCGACAATGCAAATGAGCCCTCTCGGTCGGCTTTTAGATGTGTTTTTGTTAGCTTCAGATGAAGGGTGCTGTTATAGGTACGTTTTATGGTTTCCCAGTTGTGGGTTTTCTTGCACCGCTTTCGCTATTTGGGTGCTCTGTCACGTCTGTACTGAATTGTTTCCACTTGTTATTTTATCCACGGTGTTTTTTGGTTGCGTTCGTGACCCCATTCTAGTGTCCGCACTTGGGATGTACTGCATACAAAGACAAAGACCCCCCGTATAGCCTGTAACAGACTGTTGGGGCAAGTGCTGTTAGCGAGTAGCCCCTATGAAGGCCGGCACGGCACGGCACACGAGGGGGTGGGTGGCCAGCAAAAAGCCCGGCCGCCTTTGTCTCTCCTAGGGGAGGCCCTGGACCGGTTCAGATAATCGTCACTGGTGTTGGCCGTGAGCGGGAATCGAACTCGGGTGGCCAGGTTCGTAGCGCAGTGCGCTCACCGCTGCACCACCGCTCCCCACAAGCGCTGCACACGCTGACACGCACACACACACATTGATAGACCATACGGGGCCGTTCCTCAATATCTCCACTAAGCAGCACACAGCTTTGTTTACCCAGGTGCCGTGCCCTCCTACCTCACAACGTTCAAGGCATTGAGTTCATTTCAACAGCCACGACACAACGACAGAGTTTGTAAAGGACATTGACGCTGGCCAAGTGCTACCATTGACGCAGAGGGACAGCACAGGACGACCCCCTACTAGTCCCGGTTCTGTCTCTACCTACGTGACTTTACCGAAAGAACCAAAAAGTATATAGTACCGTAGAACATATTGAGTGAGTTGGCTGACGATAGTGGGTTAGTATCACGACTGCACAATAACGACGTGTCTATGGATTTAACCGCAACTTCTGTGCACATATCACGCGCACGGTACAATGTAAACACAACAGACTTTGCCCAAAATGACAAACGCTTAAGCCTCACAAGGCATTGGAGCGAGATGTCTACGCCGACCCTGAGTTCCATCTGTGCAAGTGGCCGAGTGGAGGCTGCTGCATGTTCAGCATCCACAATCCCGGCGTGGGGATTCGCGACTGACTCCAAAGGCTGCGATAAAATACGATGTCGCTCTGAATTGGTGACCATTATCAACATCACGGAGTGAGGTTCTATCAACGGGCTCGTGAAAACAACGCCCGCTCGCGGTATTGTCCCACCTGTGTTTGCTCGGTATGATTTCAAACACGCGCACACGCAAACGTAGGGTGTTTCAAAAAGATGGACCCAATTTCAGAGATGTAGCGATTTCAACTCGGGTCCATCGTTTTGAACCACCCTGCATGTTGTGTGTGTGTGTGTGTGCAAGAGGCCCCCCCACTCGCACTGCGTGCAGTCAATGTCGCGTTAACCCGCAGCGAAGAGCGCAAAGCGTTGCGCACCGAAAGCTCTCACCGCACGACGAGCAGCAGCAGCAGCAGCTGCTGCTGCCCGCCTTTGCCTGTGCAGGAGGACGATGAGTGAACGTCTGCCGCAGACGTCGCTGTTTGTGAATTGCCACGATGCTCCGGTTCTTGTTTGTTCCGCTGCTCGATGTTGCTGCTGTGGTATGGTCGTGGGGCGAGGCGTGGACTGATGACGAACCGCGAGGCCTGCACCCGTGGTGCCAGCTCAGAGGTTTTTGAACCTCTTATTGGCTGCACTCTATGAGATTTTATGTCAACAAAGTTTGCGGATGAATATCTTATTTTAATTATTATGACAGCCGAAATTGCTCTGTGTTGATATTAATCATGCAATGTAAACGTTATTCATGTAGTGTGCGCATACATTGACTGCTGGTGATAACTTAAGAAATAAATGATATCAAATGCTCTTCAAAAGATTTATTATGGTAATGCTGAATAATTTATAAACATTTACTGTGCAAAAAAATACCAAACTCTTATCCACCGTGGGAGGCTTTCAGTCTGTAATATCAAGTCACTAAATGCAAAGCAAACATTTACTTTTAAACTGCGCATTACACCGTTAATTGTGCTAATTCCACAGAATACAATAACTAGAGATACGGGTTTCCAGAATTACGAAAAAGTACCAGATGCTATTTCTGCATTTTCAAAAAGAATGTCTGATTAAATGTTTAATTTGTTAGATCAAAGCCAATTAAATTTGCATTTCTCAGCAGTCAGCACAACAAACACCCAATGATCACACCTGTCCCATGCTGCCAGGCCAGCTGGTAATTTGCACCCAGGAATGCACAGCGAGGTTTCTCATAACAAATATAAGCTGTTGAATTGTTTCAGAAAATTAAAATATGTCTCATGGCAACGTCTCACGTGACAGTCCTGCAAATGCAGGTTTTTATCTTTCATGCGATATTTAAATGCCATTACATATCCTTCCCTTGTTTTAACAAAACATCAAAATACATAGCAATGAATGTTCAACACAAATTACGATGTTTTTATTTATAAGAGGGCATATGAGAACTAAACGGGAAAGATTGTTTTATTCATTTACATTAAAACCCACAAAATTCTGATAGAACTTGTTTTCACAAACTGCTTTTACCATTTCCAGATTGGTATATTTCAAATGAAATGTTTTAAAATGCAGCATATGTGGTTTAGTTTGGTCAAAATTTCCTGCTACATCAGTGACTTTCAGAATGAACATAAGTGATACAAAAAGTTAAGTGTTTCATTGCTTCTATGCTGATTTATGTTTCCTCTTGTTGGCTGTTATTTTGTTGTTTTACTGGGAACATCACCATTGTGAAAACACTGACTGCTATTGTTTTCACAGAGGAGCCAAGCTCCCTGCTGCTGCCTCAATCGTCATCCTCTTCCTCTGGCTCATCTTCCTCCTCCTCCTCTTCTTCCCCATCCTCCTTCTCAGGCAGCGCGGCGGGCCTCCTCGTCATGGTAAGCCTGCTCCTCCTCCACACTTGGGTCCTTTTCTTCTGCCACCTCCGGCCCGCCCGCGTACTCCGAACAGGGCATTGGCACCAGGGCAGGGCTGAAGCCGCCCGCCACGTATTTCACACCCCAACCCATGTACAGGTTCTCGAAGATTCTGTACGCAGTGTACATGCAAGCACATTGATTAGACCATGGGGATCATGCTCAGAAGTGCATTTCCTAGACCAGTACACTGTGACTGAGATTTGCACATTTACCATGTTTTTTCATTCTTCAGGAGATATGACATTTATGTGACAAGTTGTAATAATTGGTATAGACAAATTATTTAACTCAAACAAATGGGAAACTGAACATAGGGACAATCTATAACGATATAAATACATGTATTATTGGAGATGAGACATATAACCAAAGTAAACTATGGATGTATAGAATTGCAAAACTGTTGTAATATGTTTTATAAACGAACTCTGCAGCACAAGAGCACATGTTGCAGAGGCTGACACTCACTTCCCCTTGCAGTAGGCATAGGATCCAGGCCAAAGATTGGAGCGAAGTACAGCAAAGGCATGCTGGGGCACAGCGGTGCTTGACAGCCTGGCTGTCCATGGTGCTGTTCCTTCAATCTCTGTACACAGCAGACAGCGGTGTTAACATATGCAACAACGATTCATGCTCGCAATATAATCACCTGTACGACTGTCACGAATCATGGTCTCAGTGCAGGGGCATAGTCAAGACGGTGGATAGCTCGAGAATTGCCTTCCTTTATTGTTATAGGGCCCAAACACGATACTTTCAAACCAAGACGCAGTCTGGGGAATACAAATGCATATCTATTTTTATAGTAATAGCATTGTGCAAGGAGGCACAATATTCAATAAAACCTCACGAAGCCAAACTCGGGTAAACCGGGAAGTCTCACGCTCAATCTCTCGTTTTTATATTCATTCTACATCTAATGGCGACATCTAGCGGAGAAATAAATTACTGGACACATACAGAGGTAACAATAAAAAATAACCAGTCTTTCATCTCACTAATCTCACTAATGGATCTCTTTATGTCTCAGTGAGCCAGAGCTTGGCAGGCCACTCCAAGAGCCGTTGAGGGTCACATGTGGCCTGTGGGCCGCCAATTAAAAAACCCTGCTGTACAATGTGTCAGGAATTCAGTGTATTATATAAATTACTATGACGACAGTGATGATGAAACAGAAGTGAGAACTGGCACTTACCCGCATCCTCTGAAAGCGGTGTAAGGAGGGGTGGTCCCACCTCCGGCTCTGGCTCATCTGGGTCTTCCTTATCTTCTTCCTCCTCCTCCTCCTGTTCCTCCTCCTCTGATTCCTCACTGCGTTGCTTTGGGTTGATCCAAACGCAACGGCCCTGGACGCACCAACCACACCACACTTTATTTTAACCTTGTCGGGTGGCTCTCAACCCCGAACCAGAAGGTCTCTCCGTTAACGTGTTCTAAGCCAAGTGAACACCTGACCAATCAAGTACTCAATGAACAATGCTGACTCTCTTCTCGTAATGGATATGGCTACACACTATTAACAATGTAATGTGTTGTGTTGCAATCTCCTGCTACTTTGCAGATCAGTAGGTTTTTGGAGTTTCACTAATTTGCATGATGTCCTAGCCTCCAAAGCACTACAGAGCAGGTGTGTGCCTCTACAGCCAGTAATACAATGACAGCTACAGAGCAAATAATTACGAGCTTGCAACAGTGGCTACTCTGAACATCATACAATTTTAGTTGCACTAATTTCGATGCGTTTCGTAAAATAAATTATTACATCTGTCAGTCAACAAGGTAATTTATTTTCATATATCACTCCTCATTTACTTGCAAAATAACATTGACACTATATTAAATAAAAAGAGATTGAATTATCACATCAATCTTAAAAATACTCTAATGGTTACACCCTTTTACGGCATCCCCTAGGCCAGGGGTTGGCAACATATATAACCAGAAGTAGAATTTTTGCTCGAATTCGAGAAAACAAAAACTAAATATTTCAAGAGCCACATTGCATGTCAATGTCACGGAGCTGCAGGTTGCCGATATCTTCCCTAGGCGAGTGCCATTCGTACCTGTGGCAAGATGTGCTGGGTGTGGTGCACCCAGTTAGCCGGGTTGTCCACCAGCTCCCGCACCGGAATGCCTTCAAAGTCGGGGTTCTCTATGCAGGTCTCGCGTCCGCCTGCTGCATCCTCCTTCTCCCTCCTCCTCATCTTCTTCAAACTGGTAGAACCCCAGCGGGCTGACCTGCGTGCCCGCCGAGATGCGGGCGATTTGTGCCCGTAGCAGGTTGGCCTCGTTGCCCGGGAAGGGTGGGTAGGAAATCACGGGCGCGTCCAGGTGCCCCGTGAAGAGGCGGCGAATGCGACGTGCCGTCACGATTTGAGCCGGAGTGACCCACGGCAGCTTCTCCCATGGCTTCCCTGGCTCGTTGGTCACAAAGTATGTGTACCTGTGTGGGTTGCGATCAAGTTACACCTTCCCTGTCAAGTAGTATATTGGAAATTAAAGCAGTAGGGATAATTGCGAAGTTTTATTAGACGTGCTCAATGCTTAGGACTAACGTGTGATGGCTGTGATGGCTGTTTAATGGTGTGATGGCTGTTTAATGGGAAGAGGAATTAAATACTCATGAGCTTGTGTTCTCCACCAAAAACAACTCAATTTATGGATTAGAATAAGTCCCTTATATAGCATTTATTGCATATACTGAAATGTTTTTTTTATGATTTTAAAAGCAATTTTCCACTCAAGGGCAGTGCAACTGAGTAATAACAGTGTTCCCCAACTCGACCTCACCCTGCAGGTGTGCACCCTCTACACGCCCACCTGTTAGCACCAAAACGCGTAGCCTCTCGGGGGGTGACGGGAGGCGGCTTGTACTCGGACTTGGGGTAATCGTCATCTTCGGCTGCCCCGTTCCCTTCGCCTTCGCTCTGCCCGCTCGTGCTCTCCCCCCTGCCCCGCGACGTCCTGTCCGTCTCCTCCCCCCCTTCTTTGTTCTCGGCGTCAGCCTCCTCCCCTTCCTCCTCTTCATCCTCGCCTTCCCCCTCGCGGAACTCCACCTCGGCCACCAGGTAGGCACCTTGCGTGGCCAGCACCTTGCCCCAAAAGCGGCAGCGCTGCAGTGGCTGCTCGTCCACCAGCTGCTTGAGAGCGAGCAGGATGCGGAAGGTCTCCTCCCGGCCCAGCCCTACGCCGGCTTGTTCCCAGTAAAAGGCCTGCTCCAGGAGGTTTGGCAGCGGAGACTCCACCTGCATGGCACAACCAACACCATATTCACTGCAACCGGCTTGTCGCACCTCTTTACAAATTATATCCTACAGCTGCCACATAACCAGGTGAGTACCCCAATGGGATTACAGATGTATGTATGTATGTATGAATGAGTGATTAGCCTGAGTACCATCTCGTCGTCAGGGTCGTCGTCTGTCTTGTCATTAGTGGCTGGAAAGAGGCCTCTCTGCAGCTTTGCGAGTTCATCCTGAGCATTGGTTGCCCGCTCGTCCCGGAACGTGGTGGCCACGCCGGCCGTGCGCGAGCGCTTCACTTCACGGCTCAGCTCCTCGAACATGCCCAGTGCTCCATTCGGCCTCTCGTCCAGCAGACGCGATATGAGGCTCGCCAGGTGATCGTACCTGCATCAAGGTGCAATCAGTGGCGATGGAAACTATGGGGTATGGCTGCATCCACGTTAACGTATTTATATTTAACAGTTTTTCTCCGCATACTTTAATACTATGGCATATGAACAACATCATGCATACGTGAGTTATTTCCTACACAAGCTATTATGGTAGGTAGTTTGCTTTAAACTACATTTACAGGCACTGTTCGCTGTGCTGGTCAAACACACCGCATTTTTACATGAAATATTCATACCTAACAGAGAGTTCAAGCAGAGCACTAATGTGAGCTATAAACAGTAAAAACTTTCCTACAACTCAGGCATTACAGGAAATGATGTCTGCACGTGGTAGCGCTTGCTATGATGATCCAACTTTGCAGAAACTGTTGGCATCCGAAGTTGTTTGTACAATTATACTGTACTGCACTCTTCCTGGGACATGCCCGATAATGACTCGTGTTATTACTCCAGCATGTCAGCAAATCAGCGGGCTTGTGTTTTATTTCTTTGAACCAGGGAGAAATTCCAGAACTGTAATTTTGTTAAAATCGAACCTGATTGGTGGGAGTGTTTGGTCAAATGCATACATGTCAAGCTGCAGTACTTATCAATCACAAGCAGGAATGTGTGCGTTGGCTGTATCCTTCCAGAGAGCAATACAAGCGACTCCTGTGGAGTATGTATGTCTGTTCAACGTCTTTCCTACCGTACGTATTCAAGCGTGCTAATCGGAGGTGCAGTGGAAGAACAACGAACTAAACACAAAAAGCAGTTCTAAAGAAACGATTCGCCTATTTAGTTACGTAATCTAGACGATTAGCATCCTACCTAGCCTTTAGAACAGACCTTCGTGCGGAATGGGGAACCTTTAGTGACATGGCCAGAGAGTGCCGTCTGCATCATGACTAAACAATCACTATTACCAGGTGTGGTTAAATCTTAATTTTAGAACTTTCGTGACTGCAGTAAATGATTATTTGGTTCTTTCGGTTAAGTCACGTCTAAAGATAAAATAATAAATTAAATTAAATAATAGCATACTTAGTTTATTTAATTTATTATTTTATCTTTAGACGTGACTTAACCGAAAGAACCAAATAATCAGGTGTGGTTAATTGAGACCGTTGAAGTGGCTATGGCTGTGGTTTTCACCTCGTCTCGTTTCGCTGCATTTGCAATGATATATCACAAACCGAAGCAGACAGCAAAGCTACCTCCAACGTATTGGCAGTTTATCAGCACATCAAAGCTGTGTTAATGACGTAGATTTTAAAAAACCGTTGTTAATAATACAATGGCATTAAATTTGTTGACAATGATAGCGCTGCCAAATGTATTATGCTGAAATTATCAAAATACTGTATTAAAATGCTACTCTACACCCAGTGTCCGTGCACCACCAATTAGAAGGGTCGTCAGTGTCAGACCAGTGATGCATGGTGAGTGATGGTTAGCGTCTTGTCAGTGTCATTGTTTGGTGAGTGCGAGTTGTGAGTGTTGTATCGGGTGGGTGGTACGTCTGGTGAGTGGTGATGTGAGTGGTGAGTGTAAGGGGGGTGGTATCGGGTGGGGTGGTATGTCTTGTCTGGTGAGTGGTGATGTGAGTGGTGAGTCCAAGGAGGGTGGTATCGGGTGGGGTGGTACGTCAGGTGAGTGGTGATGTAAGTGGTGAGTGTAAGGGGGGTGGTATCGGTGGGTGGTACGTCTGGTGAGTGGTGATGTGAGTGGTGAGTGCAACGGGAGTGGTTAGTGGCACGAGGCACGTATTGACACGAGCAACGCTCGTAACCATGACAAATATTCTCTTGTTCATGATACAGATTTTGATGATAATGTCGACACTGATTATGATTAAGGTAATTTTGGAAATATTCCTGCTGAAAATGTCGATGGTCCTGCTACGAAATGACTTCACATGCACCGAGAGAAACAGGGGAACAAACACCAATGACAGCGATCACGTGAACTGTTCGGACAAGCGGGATTGGGCAGGACACGTCGCCAGCAGGGAATGACGGTGGGTGGACGAGGCTGGTGAGGGAATCGCAGCCAAAGGATGGAACGCGCCCAGAGGAGACGCGATTAGATGAACCGCGGCACCACAGGGGGAGGGGAGGGGAGGGGGGGCTTCACGCAGCAGTGGATAGAACATGGCGAGTAATCTCATCGATGCAGGTGATGTTTGTGCTGATGATGGTAACCGTGGTGGTGGTGGTGGTGGTGGCGATGGAGCAGCCCCTGTGCCCACTCACAGCGAGGTCTGCGCGCCGTCGCCTCCCGCCTTGAGCAGGAACGCCTTGGCGCTCTCCTCCGCCACGCCGCGTCTCGCCGCTCCCTCCGCCGCGTTCGCGTCCATGGTGCCCCGCGCCGATCGTGCGGAGACGGCGACGAGCCCAAAGCCTCCTCAAAGCCTCCTCAAAGCCTCCACCAAGCCTCCTCAAAGCTCCACGCGGCTCCGCGGGGGACGGAGTTTTGTGGTGACGAGAGTCGCCGCAACCTCCTCCTCTAGAGCCGCCGCCGCTGGGACGCCGTTGCCAGGCGACCGGCGCGGCCGCGTTCACATTTCCCAGCGCGGATAGGCGCGGGGCCGTCGTCGAGCGCCGCGATTGGCTGCGGCGCGCGTGCGGTGGATGACGTCAGCATGGTTGTTTGTGGTCGAGGGGGAATCCGATGAGCTAAGAAGCGCTTTAGTCGCACGTGGCCCAGGATGGGCACGGGGTCGGGACGTTACAGCGATAACAAACAATACAACAAACACGATAGGAGTGCAAAGTATAGGAAAGGTAAACAAAGCACTTACAAATATATACACAAATAAAACTAAACTATCTTTATCTTATTCTTGGTTCTTTCTGTAAAGTCACGTAGAAGGGAAATAATAAAATAATAAAAATATACTTTATTATTTCCCTTCTACGTGACTTTACCGAAAGAGCCAAGAATATGAATCCCTGCAGTCACGAAAGCTTCAAATCGAAATATCTGTATCTTACCAAATAAGGCTTTCGCGACCAATATTATCCATAATAAAGGTGTTTATTATCTTTATTATCCATAACAATCTTCATTGTCCACGTATTGTCTTTATTATCAATAATAAGGACAATGCTGGCAAATGGCCTGATGAAGCTGGTCGTCATCACCAGCGACGCGTCACAGCTCAAGTGGGCAGCGTGGTCGCGGGCGTGCGGACGCAGTCGGCAACTGGCCACGTTGTGTTTGCGTGACAACGCACACTCATTGTCCATACGTGATCTGACCAACAACAACAACAAATCCCTTTGACGCGATGTTGACGCTCCGGATGATCGTTGCAAAGTAAGATCTGTGTTTTGATTTAGTGTGCTGATCTTAATGGTGCATTGAGAAATGTTGATACTCCGACTGATGCTCCTGCTGTTGTGGAGTGACTCATGCAGCCAGCTATGGCTGCAGGGTTTGGTGGTACATGTTGTTTATGTCGTTTGTGAAAATTCCGTCACAGTTCCTATGATCACTGTCTCATTGCTTTTATGGCTTTATTTTGGTGATTTTCGAAAAGTTTTTTGGTTTGGCCATGTTTGTTTGTTGTAGTACGGAGTTAGACTGATGGCCTTAATCTAAGTTGTCTTGTGGTTGTTGTTGTTGTTTGACTTGCATCCCACTGGGATTGTTGCACACAGTGTTTTTTCTGCAATATTTTGCTGTCTTTTCTTGGATTTTCTGTTTGCACTTAGTCACATATTCACTTTAAGATGTTTTCTTGTTCATGTTTTTGTTTTTTGTTTGTTGCGGTTGCACCAGATTCAAGAGCCGATTGGCTCACAGGGCTACACCTAATACATGAACTTGAAACTTCAACTTGACTTGCGGCGGGGGGTAGGGGGTGACGTCACGTTTAAAGGGCGCCCCCCCCGCCCCGCGTGACGCGGCCGCGTGGTGGCGCCCCCTGGCGGGACCCGGCACCGCGAGCCGCGCGCGGCTCGGACGGGGAGAAGAAGAGAGGGGGGAGGGGGAGGAGGGGAGGAGGGGGAAGGGGGAGGAGGAGTGGGGGGAGGGGGAGTGGGGGGAGGAGGGGGAAGGGGGAGGAGGAGGGGGTGGAGGAGGGGGAGTGGGGGGAGGGGAGGAGGGGGGAAGGAGGGGAGGAGGAGGAGGGAGGAGGAGGAGGGGGGAGGAGGAGGAGGAGGGGGGGAGGAGGAGGGGGGGGAAGAGGAGGGGGTAGGAGGAGGGGGGATGAGGAGGGGGATGAGGAGGGGGGAGGAGGAGGAGGGGGGGAGGAGAAGGGGAGGGAGGAGGGGGGAGGAGGAGGGAGGGGGAGGAGGGAGGAGGAGAGGAGGAGGAGGGAGGAGGAGAGAGAGGAGGAGGGGGTGGAGGAGAGGGAGGGGAGGAGAAGAAGGGTGCAGGAGGAGTAGGGGGAGGAGGAATCCAACCGGAGGAGTTGGGAGCGAGGCGCGGCTGCGCGTGGACCTGACAGCCCGCCGCGTTCGGGACGCCCCAGACGAGGAGATGTGAACGAGAGGAGAGGGCGATGGAGGCGATAAACGAGACGCCGGGGGTGAAGCGGTTGTTTTGGTTTAATTCATGGGGCTTATAACGGGGACTTGGGAGGAGCGCGGTCACTGCGCAGTCTTTGAGTCAGAGGCGTCATTGAGCCCTTGTTTACCAGCAGCAGCCGCCGCCTGCTCTCCGAGTGTTCGCCAGCTCCACCAGGAGGGGTCACCACAACAACCATCATCAGCACCGACTACACACGCCGGACTCCGACCCTCCCTCGAGCCAGCTCGGACATCCAGCCCTGGACCGGGCAGCAGCTCCGGACAACACCACCACAACAACACCACAAAACCATCACAACACCATCACAACACCACCACAACACCACAACACCACCACAACAACACCACAACATCACAACACCACCACAACAACACCACAACAACACCACAACATCACAACACCACCACAACAACACCACAACATCACAACACCACCACAACAACACCACAACAACACCACAACATCACAACACCACCACAACAACACCACAACATCACAACACCACAACACCATCACAACACCACCACAACATCACAACACCACCACAACAACACCACAACAACACCACAACAACACCACAACATCACAACACCACAACACCATCACAACACCACCACAACATCACAACAACACAACAACACCACAACAACACCACAACACCATCACAACACCACCACAACAACACCACAACAACACCACAACACCACCACAACATCACAACACCACAACACCATCACAACACCACCACAACATCACAACAACACCACAACACCACAACAACACCACAACACCATCACAACACCACCACAACACCACAACAACACCACAACACCATCACAACAACACCACCACCACAACAACACCACCAAACCCTGACTGCGACACGGCAAGCAGCCCATTCCTGCGGCTCGTGCCTCCAGCCTGGCGGCTCTGCACAGCCCACTACCTCCGGTTCCCGGACCTGGGGAGCGAACTCACCGCCGGGACCATGACCCAGCCACCTGCTTAGACCATCGCCAGGTCAGGACATAGACCTGCCCAACATTCCCTCCATCACTCCAGAGGACATTAACCTAGCCACCCCCATTACTCCTGAACCTCCCCCCCCCCCCCAACACACATCCATCGGTTCCTCCAAGAGTCCGGGAACCCACGTTCTCCACCATACGTCGGGAAACCGAACCCAGTCTTCGTGCCACCTGCCCTCCGACTGCCCCGGGGTCGCGTCGCGGCCCCATGCTGTCCCGCAGCGCGGCGCGCTGCGCTCACGACGCGATCTGCCCACCGAGCGAGGTGGTGAGGGGCCGCTACGTGAAGCGAGGGGAGCCCGGCCCCATCCCGAGCGGTGAGTCCCGGGGAAGAGATGCAGACGTGGGTTCAGCATAGGGGGAGACAGACGGGGTGTAATAAAGCGGAGAAGAACGGGAACGGAGCGAGGGTGGGGATATGATGGCGCAGGACTGTCGACGACGGGGATTGGAGGGAGGATGACACAATGGCAGGTGACACAATAATGAGCTAGAGTTGATGCTGTGGCTAGAGAAGAATGTGAGGGAGGGTAGCACAGGCGGTATTAGAAGACAAGAGGAGGCATTAAGGGAGAGAAGATACGAACTGGACATGCGAGAGCAGGATAGGGCAGGGGAGGAGGGACGCAATGGGACAGAGGCTGGAATCGATTGGGGAGCAGACAAGGAGGGTCAGAGCGAGGCACGGGGAGGCGTGATGGAACAGCGCAGCGAGAATGGGAAGGAAGACAGCAAAACAAAGGGAGAGATACGAGGACACACGACGGGACAGAGGAGGGCAGGAAGGGGGACGATAGGGGAGCACCCGGGGTAGAGGGGGGCCGGGAGGCGGGACAGCTGTGTTTACAGGGGTGGCTTTCCGATTGGGGTCAACTGCCTGCGATTTCGAGTACATAATGATCCAGATTATTCTGTTGTTTGATTGTGTCGTTCTTACATAATTTGTAGTTAAGCCTTCATCAGTGTAACTGGAGCATTCATTATACGACATGAGACAGACCGATGCGAAGTCACACACACTTGGGAAACAGGCGTCTCGTCCCAGCTTGTCTGGGGCGCTACATTCCTCCTCCCACGTCCACGATGTGTTGACGCGATCTGAGTCATCAAAGCAGGTTTCATTCATTCCGGGAGCTCCACGCGTGGCTATTCTTTCACTTACATTCGTTAAAGTTCGGGACTTTTATATGCGCGGAATCTGGCCCACCCACGTGAGAAATGATTGTAAAATTACGACTCGACCACGTGATTTCTCGGCGCATTCTCTTCAGCCGCATCGCAGGGAGTGGACTTGTTGTTGTTTTAGAATTTATAAAAAAAACAATGTACACGCATGCGATGGAAGGGGGGAGACTGCATCAGAAGATTAGGTGCAAAGACATTGCATTCGTAAAGAGAAACCATCCCTCATTGAGTGTCCCACGAATGCAACTACAGGACCAATACCTTTTATGTTGAAATATCTCACCGGGAATATCCCTTAGGATGGAACAACTCGTCTGCAAGGGTGTCTAGGGTGTGAATTGCCGCATACACAGCAAACACCGAATAACGCATGTGTTAGTGTGTCTCTTAACTTATCCATATTTGTTCTTGGGTTAGGCCACGTAAACAAATATTGATCATTGTATTGGCTACGAAAACAACCAACATTGTTTGTCTCGCAACTCAATACAGCGGGCATGTATGAGGACACACTTTGACTAACTTAATAGACTGACCTCTCAGTTACACCGCTGATTAATGAATAACATTATAATATGAATTACAACCCTCAAAAATCCTCTGCTGGATAGAGGCATCCCCACGCCATGTTGGTCATTCGACCATTCTTCACACTGGCCACTAGTGCGCTGGTCAATGCGGGAAGCATAGATGTTGGAGCATAGTACAGTACAACAGTGTATTTTGTTGCGCTGCCACCTGCTCACAGCAGCAGCAGCAGACAGCCGCCGTTTAGTTCGTGGTGGTCACTCAACGTCCAAGCGCTATGCGGGCTCCATTCTGCTCGGCTCCTGAGATTAAGTGAAATGGAGTGCATTCACGTTGATTTGATCATTGACAGGTTAAATGAAGGGAATGAGTGAAGAGTATTCAATTATGAATGTCTCCTCTCACCATTGGTGCAAACTTAAATATTGAAAGCCGCTTAAGTACGTAATACATTTTAAGTAAACATAAGGAAATTCAAAAATGTGTTAATTTAACAGGTATTGTGGTGTTACAGCAGAGCCCATTTGTTATTGTATCGACAACAAAAACCAGTTATCATTATTCGCCTTGAAAATCCATTGCAGACAGAATTTTCGAGACTTTACAAGATGGGTTTATCGGCGGCTTCCTCTTTCCAGGCTTTCTAAACTCTCTGAAGGCTCAGAGCCCCGCGTCGCTCAACAAGGAGGAGGGCCGGGCCCGGGGTGGTGGGGAGGTTACCAGGGGCAGGGCTCCCTCCCTCTCGCGTGACACCACTCACGCGGCGCGATTGTGTCGCTGGGCTTGCTGCTTCACCCTGGAGGGAGTCAATAGTCATTGTGTGCGAGGCAGGAAAGTGTCCGCCCCATTGCTCCACGACCCGTCACGCGAGCCGCTGCCAGAGTTCTAGTGCGCCCCAATGGAGGTGACAGCTCAGAAGGTGTGACAGGGACAGCTTCTTCTGCCTTCTCACGGCAAAGTTTCGTAAAACTGCGGGAAAAGTAGGGGGACCCCCCCCCCCCCCCCCCAGCGGTTTTGTTCCGCGGTGCCACTCCGAGTTCTCCAGCAGGACGCGCGCAGTGATTGCAGCCACCGCTATGCCGACAGGTAAACGGGTCGTCGTGGTCATACCGAAATAGCCCGCGACACGGCGAGCGATGTTAGATAACGGTGGCGTCGCCGTTGAGGCCGTGGTGTTCTTCGTACGGCTGCTGATGTCGAAGTCGAGCAACAATTGTGATTTTACTTTGAAGTGGTTGATGGGCCACATGAGCAGCGGTGTGCTAATAATCCTTCGTGTTCGTGAGTCGGGCATTGAGTATGTTCCATGGTCGGTGCTGGGTGATCAATGTCGCACACCGGAGAGTTTTTCATTGATGTGCAGTTTGTGTTGCATTGATCAACGGAATGAATGTGTCATTTTGAACTGCTGGTATGACGAATACTATAGCATTAAGTAGTTCGCGTTCATTCATTATATGCAGACATAATTAATGACAGGATCATATCTGTCTAAATATGTTTTGAAAGTGTCCTTATACAGAACCCCTCTTATCCGCGAACGTATTACCCATAATCCCTATTATCCGCGATATATTCGTCCTGTTATCCACCGTCATCTGCAAAGTTAATTGCAGAACGGCGTCCAATTATCAGCAAAAAGAATTATCCACAAAGTGGAGTGAATTCGCGGATCGCCCCGCGAATACGAGCCGTGATTTTGGTCCCCCGCGTCGCCGCTGTGGACGAGAGGAGTGAGTTCTCCTGCACCTGGCAGCTGTTTTGAAATGCACTTCGTTTACAAGGGACATTGGCAGTGTTCAGAGCACAGGATTTCACGAAGCCTGCACAGGTTCCGCAGATTGTCAGCAGCCGTCCCAACGCACCCATACGCAACACCATCATTGTGCTGAATACGACATTGTGTAGGATGATGCCAGAGTTTAATAAGCTGTGCTGACAGATGTACTCCTGTAATGTATTGTATTACGATCAGCATTATATGTGTTAATTGAAGTGCCAAAAATACATTTCGGAAAATGGTAAAAAAATATTTTGGCTACTGCTCTCCTTCGGAATTAGCAAGCAATGCCGGTTATTTATTTCTGAGTTAAAGTACGCGACAGCTATGGATGTTCAGCATCAACTTACCGCAACATTGTGAATTAATCTGTCAAAACTTATAGACTGCCCCTATAAAAAATATAGCCACGAGTCCTGTGGCTTCTGGTTCTTGGAATAAGCAGTTTCCATCCAACACCAGTGTGATCTGAAAGTCACGAACAGCAAATCCATTCATTATTTAAGAACAGACATGGGCCGAAAAGTTAGTTTACAGAGATAGAAGAAGCACGTTATTATTTTCGTGGTAAACTAATATTTGTCGACCTAAATGAATAAGCTATTTTTACCAGAGTCATAACACATTTGCATAATTGCTGAACAATTACTACAATGGCCAGCATGTCTGCAGCAGAATTCCCAGCGGACGCTCACAATGCACACATGCTGAGCCGTGTAGGCGGGGAGGGCCCGGGTAATCCGGGCCGAAAGTGCTGCGAGACGTCACTTGGCTCGCCTGACGGTCGCTGATGGGACACGCGCGTGTGTGCGGCCGCCCGCCAGGCCTCATGGCTCCACTGGGTCACGGGAGGCCGTCGTCGTCACCGCGTCTCGGCCGCGCCGACGCCGGGAGCGACGCCCGGAGCCGGAGCCAGGGCCTTGGGAATGGAGCGCTGCCCGTGGGCCCTCGTGTGCCGCTGGCTAACGGCGCGGCGGCAACGGCGCACGGGCCCGGCCAGGGGAGGAGAGGCGCGCTGGCACCGAGGGAGAGGCGGCAGCAGCAGCAGCAGCAGCAGCGCCTGCCGGGGCCTCCCCACAACCAGGGCTTGCTGCATGGCTCCCGTGAGTACCAGGCACCACGAGTCAGGATATTTCTTAATCTTGGCCAGGTGGCCACACGATGGCAGGGCAGTAAATGGGTTGGTAACCCGTGGCGCTGCGGACCTCTGAGCGGTATCCCCTCATATGGGCTGTCCATTATCTGTGTGAACGGAGCCACAGCCAGAAATCAAACTGAGTTTGCAAGATTAGTAGCACAGTTAGCTAACTACTGCAGCACCACTCCTCCACCATACACTTAAGAGTACATGCAATTAACGTATATAAAAAAAGTCACATACCTTTAAAATAAAAGTCTATTTTGCATTATTATAAATGCATTTATTCGTATCGAGCAAAACAATCCGTGAATAACGTAAAGCTGCTGGACTCGCGCCAAGCGGTCACGTTTTACAGGTTTGTTTTACATTCACAAAGTCTCCTTTGTTGCCTTTGGATTTCTCACGAAACTCCGTCTAACTTTTGACGTAACATTTTGTCAGTCGTCTGCGATATATGCTTCGCGTCACGTGCCGCGTGGCTGGGCAGGCGGGCTGTATTGTTCGTGTCGTGGCGCGTTACGCTCCGGCGAGAACGTTCCCCGATACGATCCAGCAAATGTGCGCGTTAACACCTTGCTTCCTCAAATTGTGGTGCCGATTTCCTCTTCATTGTTACTCTCGTTTTCCAGTTAAGCCTGGGAAAATAAACTTTTACAAAGCAACGCGTCTCCATGCTCCTATCCATTCGAGGTGCTGGCCCAGTGGTGTAATGTACACATTGTGATGGCAGGGCCATTCGTCCCATAATGACAAGTTGACTGTTCTTCCACACGCAGTCTTGTTACCGATAACATTACGGGACCAAATTCCAGGACCGTGGAAAAACAAAACCAGAATCCTGACCTTACACTGTTGACAAAACAGAAAGTTGTGTTTGACGAATACCCCAGCCGACAGAGTGTTCGCCCTGGCACCGTGTTCACTGTGGTCCTAGAGCACAGAGCGCTGTTCGGCAGGAGCTGGAAATAGTTGGAGGTTTTGAACGAGCGGAGTCGTCCACATGGAAACGCGGCCCGGTCGACAGCCCCGTGGCCCCTTCACCCCCGCTTCTCATTAGCCCTCCCCCCTCCCTCTTAGCACCCCCTTCAACCCCACCGGGGTATGGCCACGTCCGTCCACCGCGTCTACATCAACACAAAAACAAGGTCATCGTCAGGCCATGCCAATGTCACTCTTTTTTTTCTCTCCATCGTCATCATTATGATGTAAGTCCCAAGGCGGACGGCTACTCGCCGTGTGCTCATTGCGCATTGTGCGTTCGCCGTGGCGACGACGTTCCCAATCCTGCGCGGTGAGAACAACCGGCTGGCTGTAGCCACATGAGCGGCCGGGTTCGCGGCGGGGCTATTGACTGAAGACAATCGGGGGGGAGGGGGGCACCGCGTGGCGTCAGCGCTGCACCTCGACTGGAAAGAATGCAAACTGCGATCGGCTCTAGGAATCTGGGGACCGGTGGGGTAACTCCTACTTTCATCGTTTCAAAGAGAGAGAGAGATGGCGTACCTCCAAAACAGCTCCACCGGTGGACATTGTAATATTGACAAAGGCTGGGAATGCCTCGAGAGTTATACATCCGTGGAGGTGTGCGGCGCAAATGTTCTCGCCGTGTCGAGCCAACGCAACGACATCGCGTGGCTGCCCGCATCCGTCTGCGCGTTAGTATCTTTTTCGCGTCCCTTTGCTGTAGCTTCACCCAACGTTCATCGTCCGCTCAAGAATTCGCTCCCTTAGACTCGCGTCCAACTTGCCCGCGGCACGCGTGGTGGCCGTAAATGGCAGCAGCCCGTGTGGGCACGGCCCTGTGGACACCGTACGCGAAGTCGTTGACCGCGTCGCTGCAATTGTCGTGGACACCACGCCCGTCTCCGGCCCCAACCCGCCCCAGGCAGGCCGGGCAGGTCCGCCGATGGGCCGGGCGGACGGGCTGGGTCTGATCGTCCGGGCGTGCTGGCCGCAGCACGCTGCTTTAATTTAAACGGCGGCTGCAAGCGTTTAAATCGTTGCTTAATCGCTGGAGCAGCTGGGCAAGCGGTTGAGTCACGGTCCCGCAGTGCTGCGAAGCTCTCTGCCCCGGACAGGGGGCTGGGTGGGGGGGGTAGACCCCAGGATTTACTGGGGGCCCCGCGGCAGCGCCAGGTAGAAGTTGTCCACAACGAGCCTCTCAAACACCCTTCACCAAGTACACTTTTGTTGTCACGTTATGGAAATATTATCGTTGCCCCACCTACCAAGGGATTAACAACGCATTATTAACATCGTGTGTTTTTTTACGCTTAGGATGAATGCATGGAATTTCAGTCTTGAGTACTCTATCAATGTATTTCGATTCATGCAGATTGTATGAAGATGATATGCTAATGTTCAATTTAGGCTATTGAGGACAAAATGGTACAAACTAGACAAACAAAAATAAGAGAAAGCACAATGAGATGGTCAAACCTCTGAGGGTTCAGATTTTACAATCAGTGATATACTCTAATTGTATAATACAGCACTTTGTAACTAAAATAACTGCAGAAATAATAACTGCTGCTGATGATGATGGTATTGCTGCTTCTGTATAATTTCCCAGATCTCCCTTGTAATAATATTGGGATATCATTTGGTGTTGTAGCGTGTGATAAAAAAAATGTCATTTGCACGTGTCAAATTTATAAACGATATAAACTCTGATCTCTTTGCAGCCGAGGCATCGTATGTAAATTGATTCCATCCTTATAATTATAGGATGATAGATCACTTTGAATACGTGTTTGTATTTTTATTTAACAAATGGGCATTGCCTGACAATGCCCATTTGAATTTCGCACTTCTTTGTGGCGTTCAAAACCACAGTTAGGTTCACCAGGGGGGCCGGGGGGCAGAGGGGCGGTGGCAAGAGGCGGCTGAGTGGCCCGTGCCGGGGAGAGGTAACTGAGGCTCTCGCGAGAGCCAGGGGAGAGGTAACTGAGGCTCTCGCGAGAGCCAGGGGAGAGGTAACTGAGGCTCTCGCGAGAGCCAGGGGAGAGGTAACTGAGGCTCTCGCGAGAGCCAGGGGAGAGGTAACTGAGGCTCTCGCGAGAGCCAGGGGAGAGGTAACTGAGGCTCTCGCGAGAGCCAGGGGAGAGGTAACTCAAGACACTTGGCACAATCCGTAGCGCAGGAAAGGGCTCCTGCTACCTGCTGCGACGTCGATCGGGCACAAGCCTGTTTAAAGTTTAAAGTCTCGCCGCCGCGTTGCGTCTCGTTAACACAATTATCCCACGAAGGATATGTAACGGCTCGCAGCTTTGCGGGTCATTTTAGCGGTCAAGTGGCCACGGGTGAAAAGTGCGAGCACAATCCTCCTCGTGGCAGAAATTCTGGACTTACGTGACATCGAAATCTGAGCGCGTCATCAGATGCTGTATGGAAGTGCGACATCTGCCATTTGTATGAACACAGTGCGTGTGAGCAAAGGTAAAACCCAAACACTGCCCCCTCCCCCCCACGCCCGCGTGAACTCGAGAGTTGAACTCGAGGTGTGATTGTGCGCCAACGGCGAGCGCAGTTGGCGCACGAAGCCAGCGCCACCCAAAGGCTACAGCCGTCGAGATTTAGCATCGGCCAAATTTGCTTCATTTTCCTTGGCAGCGTTAAGCTCATAACACCAGGTTCAGCAACAATTCCAAGCTCCTTTCGTGATTTTATAAAAACCACTTCACGACGACCGCTACTGGAGCCTGCAGCGAGCGTGAATCAATAACAAACGTCAGTGGCCGCCTTGGGCGACTTTCTCAATGATCGTTCCCTTTGATATATCCACCAGAGCCTCGGCGAGTCTCTCTTTGTTTCCATTAGGGTGCTGCCCTGGGATGTTTGGCCAATTCTATTCAGGAGTGTGTGGCAGGTGGAACCAAACCAGAGTACCCGGAGAAAATCACACGTGAGAGGAAAGCCACTCAAAGCCCCCACACAGGTTAAAGGGTCCGTTGTTGTCCCACATCTCCTCGCCACCCCACAGCCCAAGTCGACAACAGTCAGAATTCACAGGCAGTCTCCCATGCGCTTCCTCACGAGGCTGTTGACACGCTGAGCTCCTGACGAGACTGGGCACATTCAGGGTGTACAGTATTCGTCATATTGGTTATAGTTGATGAGTTGCTGGTGGTGGGATAAAGTGTGAGTGCTCAAGAACTGTGGGATTTGTAAGCTGCCTCTTTGAACCTGAGGATATTTGCTCTTGGCAGCGAGGGTCCTCTGCCTGCAGTACGACGAACACAACGTGCAGCGACGATGACCTTTTGACGTTTACGAAGCGGACAACCAGTGACGCGGTCGTTCCGCAAAAAATACGAGTTCCGTGCGCCCTGCTCCATCCTGCCCCATCCTGCCCCACCCTGCCCCACCCTGCCCCCTGCCCCAACCTGCCCCCTGCCCCACCCTGCCCTGGCGGGTGCCGCGCGCAGCGCCGAGCGGAGAGGACCGTCGGCCCGTGGCGGAGGAGCCGCCGCTGCCCATCGGCTGGTCGGCGGAGCGCACGGCGCACGGGCGCCGCTTCTACATCGACCACAACACGGGCACGACGCACTGGAGCCACCCACGCGAGCGCCACGGCCTGCCCCCCGGCTGGGAGCGCGTGCAGTCGCCTGAGTGCGGCACCTACTACCTGGACCACGCCAACCGCCGCGCACAGTACCGCCATCCGCGGGCACCCAGGTGAGCCCACAACACAGGTGAACCCGTCAGTACCGCCACCCGCGGGCGCCCAGGTGAGCTTGCATGCGGACCTACACAAGTGAACCCATGACCCAGTGATAGGCGTGTTAATGGGCACATTTATGGCTGCCCCATAATGTTTGGGTACGAAGCGGTGGACAGGGTTGGAATTAGGGGTTAGGGTTGGGGCACTATTTGTGTCAGCTCGTCAGCGTTGCCCAGGTGATCTCTTCTGTAGCTTCACCCACGTGACCACACCCAGGTGAGCTAATCGTGTGAGGTCTTGCGCGGCTCTGCCCAAGTGAGTCTGTGTGTGGCCCCGCCCAGGTGAGCTTGCCCAGGTGAGCTTGCCCAGGTGAGTGCATCCACGGTGCGGTGGCTCTCATTGAACACCACGTGACTTAGAACAACAAAACGCCCCCCACTGTGGCCTCGGCGTCTGTCCACGTCAGTGACCGCGTGCGCCCCCCCACCCACCCCTGCCCCCCCACAGTGAGCCCCACTACGAGGAGCCCCCCCCGGCGCCCCCGCTATCGTCTCCGCCCCCCGCGACCTCCGGCCCCAGCGCGACGTCGCGCGGGGCGCGCCCCGCCGAGCGGCGTGCCGCCGCGCTCGTCCCCGCCAACCCGTACCGCGAGGCCAGCGTGCCCGAGTGGCTGCGCGCGTACGCACGCGCCCCCAGCAAGTACGAGCTGAGCCACACGCAGCGCATTGCACGGCACTCGTTGCACTACACCACACTGCATTGCACTACACCACAGTGCACTACACCACACTGCATTGCACTACACCACAGTGCACTACACCACAGTGCACTACACCACAGTGCACTACACCACACTGCATTGCACTACACCACAGTGCACTACACCACAGTGCTCTACACCACACTGCATTGCACTACACCACAGTGCACTACACCACACTGCATTGCACTACACCACAGTGCACTACACCACAGTGCACTACACCACAGTGCACTACACCACAGTGCACTACACCACAATGCACTACACCACACTGCACTACACCACAATGCACTACACCACAATGCACTACACCACAATGCACTACACCACAATGCACTACACCACAGTGCACTACACCACAATGCACTACACCACAATGCACTACATCACACTGCATTGCACTACACCACAGTACACTACACCACAATGCACTACATCACACTGCATTGCACTACACCACAGTACACTACACCACAATGCACTACACCACAATGCACTACATCACACTGCATTGCACTACACCACAGTGCACTACACCACAGTGCATTGCTTTACAACATTGTGCTGGTTGCACTGCGTTATACCACACTGCAGTTCATTGCACCGCGTCAAATTATACACCAACATAACGCACCCCACGAGGCACCCCACACGGTCCCCAAAACAACGCCATCGCCACCATCATCACCATCGCCACCATGATCACCATCGCCACCATCATCACCATCGCCAACATCATCACCATCGCCACCATCATCACCATCGCCACCATCATCACCATCGCCACCATCATCACCATCGCCACCATCATCACCATCGCCACCATCATCACCATCGCCACCATCATCACCATCGCCACCATCATCACCATCGCCACCATCATCACCATCGCCACCATCATCACCATCATCACCATCACCACCATCATCATCGCCACCATCTTCATCGTCACTGCGTGGTGCGCGCATCACCTCGCTCTCACGGCATGCAGCACGTGACGAACCAGCGATTGTATTTTCGAGATTGAAAACTCATTTCTTTAGAACTGAGTTTTATGTTTAGTTTGTTCTCCTTCCCCCGCATTTCCAGTTAGCACGGTTTGCTACGTACGGTGCGAAAGAAGTTCAACACACGCACATGCATAACACTGTGTAACAAAACAAAATGTCCCTGGGAGTAAGTGTTATTTCCTAATTGATTATGCCTCAAAAGTACAGAAAATGGCTATTATTCTCCACAAACTTTGCTTTTGTGACCAGGACAGTGATATTTTAAAATTTACCTATTTTCAATGAGAAAACGTCGTGCATTTGTGTCATTCCTTCACATAAAGTCCTGGTCACAAAAGCAAAGTTTGTGGGGAATAATAGCCACTTTCTGTACTTTTGAGGCATACACAATAAAAAAATAACACTTACTACCCAGAGACAAAAATCGTGTTACAGAGTGAATGATCAGGTCCCACGTCACGCCGCAGCTACAGGCGCTGCATGGAGCTGCATGTAAATCGGCTACTGTGGAGCGGGGGGGCCCGCGCGCACATTGACGAGGCTGTAATTTGCGCCGTGCCATCAGCGGACAAAACCTCCGCCTCCTTTATTCGAGGTGAATAAATCAGAGACGTGGGCCGGGCCGGGCCGCTTCACACGGCAGGCCCCCTCCGCAGACCGAGCGCAATCCCGCGGGGCGGGGGGGGGGCCGGGGGGGGGCCCGTGGGGAGCCGGGGGGGGGGGGGCCGTGGGGGGCTTCTCCCTGGCAAAGCTGTAGGGCCCCGCGCTGTCCAGCGTCAGCGTCCAGGCCGAGTCGTCTCAGACGGCAGCTGTCGCCGGTGCCCTCGGGACGCCGTCCCCTCTGCCGGAGCCTGAGGCCGTGACGCGGCAGCGCTTGCGTGGCGAGGCAGTCTCTGCAAACGCTACAATTCCATGTGGCGGTTATCTGCAAGAGTAATAATCTTAGACCATCGTCATTGGTCATGAGCAATCCTCTGCCAGATAAAGGCCTCCTCGTGCCATCACCATATCTCCTTCTACCTCTACGATGTGAGAGTGTATCCGGCACCTGCACGCAAGCGGATTTCCTCGCTCCATCTCCACGGTGGAGAACCTTTCGGTCACGTTCCCTTGCTTATCCGGTCCTAAACGAACTTAATGGTTGCTGCCGGCAAGGTAGCATCATTGGGGAAACAGAAAAGCAAGGAAATGATGTCACTGTGGTACCAAAGATTAAGGTCGCAAACAGCTTCCTGTTGGGTGTTGTGGAGAGGGGAGGGTGGAGCCGTGAGTGTGATTAAACCCTGACGTTTCACGAGCAAGATCCAGAAATAACTATAGTGGGTAATGGGCTGAGACACCACGTGCTTTACGTGGCATCCGTGTTGCCAGATTAAAAACAAATAAACATCAACACTAATGGGAACAAAAACGTGATCAATTCCCATAAACATCCTCTCATTTTTACAAACTGCAAAAGGAGCAGCTCTTGAATTTGGAAACTTTTATTTTCAAATTCTTCCGTTAACCGCGTGGCTGTGAACGTTTGAGTAGAACGTGGCCTCACTTCAAACCCTGAAGAACGTGTTCGATGAAATCCGTGTAAGAACAACGCTTTTGTTGAGGCTCTACTCTTGTTCCGAACGAGGACTCCGCAAACTCCGATTAATCCTGCCTTGACCTCATCTGTAAAAAAACATCTTAAAAGAGGTGGCCGGGTGGCCCGGGGTGTGCATCCAGGTTTCAGCGTCCATGGTAACATTGGGCTCTCAAATTGTCGTGGATTTATGATCTCAGCCTGGTCACCAGTGATGGCACAAACACACTCCTAGGGTATCAAATTCCGTATTTTACTTAAATTGGTCAACTTTAATGTCTGAGAATTTTAATATCTTGACCTGAACATCTGCATAGCAGGGCGTGAACATCTCAAAAGTAGTTCTGCGATATCACCTTCAGCAGGCCATTCTCAAAGATGTGGAAATGCACTGCTCTGCGAGAATTCCAAATGGATACTCTTTAATTCATACTTCGTTGAGAATACCATGTTTTAAGTAAATACTTAACTTAAACATTTGATTGTACTTAACGTGAACAAAAACACCGTGTGGACGCAGAGCCAACCCCCCTCCCCCCACCGTGTTCCGTAGCATCGTTTGCTGGAAGGCGAGCGGGTTTGTGGTTTCTCTCCGCGCCAAGGCGTGGGTGTTCCCGAACGTCGCTAAAGCAAACCGCGCGAGGCGTGGGACAATCGGCCCCTTTGAGCGCGGGGCAAAGAGGAGTCGCGGGGCCACCAGGAGGAAGCCGGCCTGCAGCGAGACGCCTTCGGCTGCCCCCTTTTAGATCGGCGCCCAGAGTCGCGCGTCCCACACTCGCGCGGCATCGCCGATCGCGCCGAGCGCGGAACCGCCGGCCACTGGCCTTGTCGCCCTCGATTGTGCCCAGTGCCCGTCTGATCTTGACAACCAAAAATCGCTTAGCCTGGTTAGTGCCTGGCGACTGTCTGGGGATACGAGGGTGTCAGAGGCTTGGGCAGCGAGGTGCCGAGGAGATGGCGGCACAGAGATGGCTTCTTGATTCGTTTTGCGGAGATCTGAGTGTCGCCTCCCCGCACGCACGGGTCTTCTCCGTGACCACCGGTTTTCTCCCAAATGCTCTGCTTATTAATGGAGTTGGGCCGAACGTCGCAATTTAGGACCATCCTGGAAAGGTCTCGAGACTCATTGAGGTTTTCTGGCATAAGTACATGGCATTATTATTAGTGTTATAGATGATCTGCTTAGCAATAGATGTATGGGATACAGCGCGCGTGTGTACGAGTGCTGGGCCATGGGCAGTATACGTACTGCAAGTGCTGAAATGAACCACAGTGGCCCCATGCTCAAACGAGCATTTTGGCAGGGCCCAATCTGTCCACGGAACAGCCACCGTTGCTATAACTGAACAACGAATATGTGTGCGTGGAGCGGTGGCATCGTGCTGCTTAGCCCACTGCGCTATGAGCCCGGCGACCTGAATTAAATTTCTGGCCATGGCAAACATCAGTGACGAATGTCTGAACTGGTTACGGACCTGTCAGAGGTTGATGCAGCCTTAAGTGAGTACTTGCTGTGGTGTATAACCTCAGCACCTGGGAAACCACGGCGATGGACGCACCACCCCCCTCATGCGCCATTTCAATAAGTACTCACTCAGCACTTGCCCCAACAGTCGTTGTAAGGCTACCTGTGGGACCTTGGTCTTTGTCTGGTTCCCACGCTCCTCCCAAGCTTCTCTCCCTGAAAGCCACCCACTGGTTGACACTTGCTTGTTTTAAACGACGCTCGTGAAAGACTGCCAGCCTACTACGACTACGCAAACTTCCACCGGGGAAGGGTTCACGTGGTTTGAAATCTGTGCCAATCTCTGGATCGTGACGAATTCCACAAATAAGCATTCGTTTCATCACCCTGAATTGGATGGAAGAGACGTTGGCCAAGTTGAGTTAGGGGGCGCGTGAAGCAACAGATTTGGGGGGGGGGCGTGGAAGCTGCTCTCGTAAAACGCTCGCGAACTCTCGCACGGCGCAGCGGAGCCCCGCGCGTTCGGGACACGCGGCGAGGCCTCGCGGATGACCCCCCCCCCCCCCCCCCACCGTCGTGAGCACGCCAAGAATGTCCCGCTTGGCGACCTTTAGCACCTCTCTCCATTGTCCTTTCCTTCCTCGCCAAATATTGACCTACTTATTATTATTCCTTGCAAGGTACAGGCAGCACAGAGGAACTCGCCTTAAACACACACACACACAGACAACACCCCCTGCGTGGGCGTACAGACTCTTGGTGCAAGTTCTGTTTGCGAGCGCCTATTAAGGCCTGAATGGTAGTGAAGGGGGTGGTGCGAGCGCGCGCTGTGGCCGTCACGGCGCCAGAAGTGAGGTCAATTCCTGGCCACGGATAACTCGTGAACGCAGTGGAGTGATTTGGAGAGGTATTCGTCCACATTGGATCACAAAGGGACCGTCATTCTTTAAATGAAACGACAGAGGGCTGGGTTCACGTGTTGCTCAGTGTTCATGTTCACCCAGTGGGCTGCTGCTACGCTGAGCCGGGCCATCTGGGAAAGTTCTCAAAGCGCGGCGGTGGCGTGTGCAGCGCACGCCACGGTCCCTCTGCAAACCTCCCACGAGGGCTTTATCGAGGGTGGAGGGGGGGTAGGGAGATAGGGAGAGGTTCCGTAAGCGGGGAAGCGAACGCAGGGCAGCGATTAGGCGGCACAATGGAGCGATGTCCGGTGGGAAAGCAAGCTCGCTCGGCACATTGTCCTCCCGTAGCCGTCAATGGCAGGAAGCGCGAGGGCTCGGGTCGCCGGGCCGCGCGGCTCGAGTTGAACTCCCGACGCCACGGGGGTCTCGGCCGCTGGACGCCGGCCAGCCCCGCTGGCCGCACCCAGACCCACCCGCTCACCCCCCCACCGCCTTCTCCGCTCCTCCAGCCACGGCCTCAACCCGAGCGCAACGCGGCAGTGACCCCGCTCCTTGGCGAGGCCCATACGGATTAGGAATCTCTGAATCGTACCCCAGATGGCCAACTCTGTGAACAAACGTGATGCCATTTCGGCGGAGTAAAAAAATAACAATAAAAAACCGTGAATCTCGCTCGCCGACGTTCGTCCCCAACGCTGCGCTCCGTCCAGCGACGGGCGTCGATTTGCTGTCGTTTCACTTGAAGGTTGTTGTTGGCGACCGTCACGTGGCAAAGAACCTCCTCGTTGGGCTTCAGGATTATAGGATGTCTAGGATTTACAGTTTAACGAGCCGAACGTAAAAGCAAGCCGTGCAGAAGCCAAGTGAGAGAAAGCCACGGGACTGCGCTGTGGTGTTGGCGGCAGCACGTGACAGTAGAAGAGCGCCCAGCTGCGCGTGCTCAAACACCGACCGCTGTTTTACCACTGCTCATCAATCGCTCGAGTTTTCCTGGTTCGGTCCGCTCAAGTTCAAGAGTGGGATCTGTCCGTATGCACAAATGTGTTTCGTTTTATGTGTCAGTCTTTTGGGACCTCCCAACCTTGAAATCACATTTCTGAAAACAAAGGATACACGGAGGATATATGCAGCGGAGAAGGGGGCTTTGTTGTTACGGTGCCTCGGACGTAACGTCGGGAAGACTTGAACGCTTTAGGGGAAGAAGAGGTGGGGTGATATTTGGAAAAACATGGTCATTGGAATGCTGACGATGATGATGTTGAGAATTGAGATTATGCTCACGTGAATGATAATTCACTGTGTAACAAAAAAATATGTTCTTTTTGTTCCTGGGTAGTAAGTGTTATTTCCGAATTGCTTATCCCTCAAAAGTACAGAAAATGGCTATTATTCCCCACAAACTTTGCTTTTGTGACCAGGACAGTGATATTTTTAAATGTACCTATTTTCAATGAGAAAACGTGGTGTGCATTTGTGTCATTCCTTCACGTAAAGTCCTGGTCACAAAAGCAAAGTTTGTGGGGAATAATAGCAGCCATTTTCTATAGTCTATACTTTTGAGGCATATGCAATTAGAAAATAACACTTACTACCCATGAACAAAAATCGTGTAACCCATTATAATGGGTTTACAGTATGCTCGGTAGCCAGATAATTACATTTCCGTGAACACAATGCGATACAAATCCACGAACACAATGCGATACAAATTAAGACGACGACAATTACTGGGTTAACCCCCCTCCCCCCCGCTCTCCGCCAGGTACGACCACATCCTCAAGTGGGAGCTGTTCCTGCCGGACGACCTGGAGGACTTCCAGGCCATGCTCAAGCTGCTCTTCATGAAGGAGCTGGAGGTGGTGGTGCGGCGCTACGAGCGCTACCGCCAGGCGCTGCTCAACCACCTGCGCACGCCGGCGATGGCCAGCAAGGGCTGCGGCCCCGCAGGCGCCGGGGCCTGGAAACCGCGGGAGGGCGGCCGTGACCCCTGAAGACGGCGGAACCCCGGGGGGGGAACCCCGGGGGGGTGAGGGGGAGCTCGGCGGCGGCGTTGGGGGTTGAGAAGAAAGTTCGCGTCCACTCGACGGACGGACGGACGAGTTCCTGAGGCCCGTGCTTGGCACGAGAACGCTGCTCCCTCTCTCTCTCTGCCTGGAGCCGTGTGTTCCCACGCAAGGATTGGAAAGTGCAGAAGAAGTGCGAGACACAACACGCAAACAACAACAACAACTGTCGGTCACCACGAAGTGGCGTTGACGTCACAACGGCGCTTGTGCCACGCTAGGTGCACACGCGAAGCTGCGCCAGTGCACACACAAGCCAGAGAGCCGCGTGGCTGCTGTTGAACGACGGCAGCAGGAGAATTGGTTGAAGAGGGGAAAAAAACCCGTTACGAACGAGCGACGAGGCTTGGGGAGCGCGGCTCTCCAGACGACGAACGTCCGTGCCCCGCGGCGAGGCCCCTCGCGAGGCCCGGCCCAGATGGAGCCGTCCCCCACGGGAGCCTCAGCCGTCTGCTGGCTCGGAGCGCGCGAGGCTATCGCCGTGGACGAGGCGCGTCACTGATGTCCACATTTATTTTTTTACATCGGCGAAATGTTCACAAAGTGTCGTTTAATCTCAAAGGAACATCGGGGTTCTCGGAGCCAGAGGCTGCTCAGACGATGTTCCAATAAAACGTCTGCGTGAACACACATCCCCTTGGCCGGCCGCATCTGCACGCGTATCAGATGGGCAGCGCGCTGTTTCTTATTAATGAGAGAGCACAGCCGCGGTGAGTCACGCGCGCGCGCCACGAGACGGCTCCGCGAGGAGGTCGCTGCTTCTTGCGCAGACGCGCGCAGCGGCTGCGTGGAAAGGCGTCCACGGAAAGGATAGCGCTCTGTTTTGGCTGCGATCCCTGGCCAGTGTCCAGAGAATGATAGCAACAAAAAAGTTATAAAAATACAAAAGGGTTGCTTTTCTCTCCACAAAGGTCGTCCAAGCGTGAAAAAACCCCCCGCGGGCTCTTCTTCTTCCCGCTACTGTCCACACGGGGGACTACTTCAAAGAGGGCGTTCCCGCAGCTGCATTTCGGGAGAGGTGGATCGAACGTCGAATACGGAGCAGGAGGAATGAGCCCTCGAACACGGCGCTGTTTTGCCTTTCGGAGCGACGCGGCGCAGAGCGCGGTCGGCCCCGAGAGCTCTCGGTGGCGACGGCGGCATCATCATCATCACTATCGTGACGGAGAGCGGCGGAAATGAAGAAATGACGGTGGCCGCTGCAAAACACGAGGACTGCGGCTCAAAGTGAAACGAGTGTCATTAGCAGCCGGTGGGGTTGGTGATGACTTGACCGTAGGTCGAGTGCATTGTTTGTAATGTCAGTGCTAGGACAGCCCAGGCCTACAGCCAGAGGCACGGAGGGGTTTGGCCAGGCCCCATTAATTGACAATATATTGCATTACATCATTAATTGACAATATATTGCATTACATCATTGATTGACAATATATTGCATTACATCATTAATTGACAATTAATTGCATTACATCATTAATTGACAATATATTGCATTACATCATTAATTGACAATATATTGCATTACATCATCATTGATTGCCACTCATATTGGTATGAACCGTATGTATGTTGAACTTCTTTCTCACCGTACACAGCCAAAAGCTAAATTTGTATAATATATAAAATATTACTTTTCACTTCATCAACAAAAATACTGCAGCTTCCGTGTCACAGAGAATGTGGAATGTTCAAACAGAGTAAAGTGGGCGTAGGATTTAATGAATTTTCAGTCAAAAACAAACAACACAAAAAATCTTTCTTCTGTGACAAAAAATGTGAAAATGGGCTTAATTCCACTTGGCAGAACGTGCGCTTGTGGAAGGTCGCCTTTGGCCAATCGAGACGTTTGTCTCAAGCGGCTCCCACCTGGGTGCAACGTCCACGAGTGCATGGAAGTTATAACGGCCAAATGTTTTGGGGAGAAAATGCCTGCGTCGTGTCCATTGTTTGCAGTAGATTTTGGCATCGTCACCAACATATGAATCAGACCACAAAGTCTTCATCGGGTTTCATCAACCTGCATCCGATGCAACTGGCGATGTCAATTAAACGGACAGCATCGTCTCTTCACGTGGGAACTCGCTGCTGCACCACAGTGATACGGCACCAGATGTCCGACTCTTTGACGCGGAAGAGACGTCCGCTTCAAACTCTTCCCCTCGGCTATGAGCAACATGCGCTTGGGCAGCAGAGCGGCGCTGCTTTAGCTCGGAGTGGCGCGCGAGCCGAAGGCGTGGTGGCAACACGAAGCGGGCCTGGGCGGTCGCCGCGACGGAGCACGGGGGAGCAGATCGCTCTGCAGCGCAGCCTCGCTCCGTGTGTGTCGTTCACGACTCTCCTCCACTTGGCAGGCGGCTCCGGTGATCGGATTGCAATAAAACGCAGCCCTAACAACTTTGGCAGACGAAGTCCTTCAGGGAGTACTGTGACGGCTCTTGAGCACAAGAGCCGTCACAGGGCGGAGTGAAAATTTTGCGACAGGAATAAATGCCAGCACCTCTCTGGTCTGTAGATTAAATGACGCAGCTATTCGCCCTCGGAATTTATGGTGGTATACACGTCAACTGTCTATCGGTTAATTTCAGAGACGCATCGCCACGTCGCGTGGGACAGATCCGGGGTTGCGTTCAGCGGCGGTGCAGCTACCCCTCGTGAGCCACACTCCCAGAAGCCAACTGGGAAAAGAAAATAAACCCAGCCGGCACAAACAAAGCCGTTCCGAGGAAAGACACAGATTTCCACAGAAGATGATGACAGAGCATCGAGCACAGAGTGTGGAAAGTTCTCTGCACCCCAGGGTGGAAGGGCAGAGGAAACAACTGACAGCTCTCCCACTTTCCTACGTCCGTCCGTCTGTTCCACGTTTCGCAATCCTCACCAAGCCAACAGCGCCCATTTACAGAGCACCCAACTACCACCGTATCTCACGACGCAGGGCAGGAGCGCGGGACGCGCGTCAAATGACATAAGCGCGCGTAGTGTATAATACTACACGCACATCATGAATGATATGGCTATCCAACAGGGTGGCAACGCGGGCTGCAGTTTGTGATTCACGTTGTTAGAGGAACAGCAGAAAACAGCATCAACGGAGTCCAACCGCTGGCCGGCACAGTCTCCTAAACACCACGACTGCAGCGTTGCTACTTCACACACCCCGCGGCTTGCCGTACACCGTTGGCCTTCGTTGTAGTTCCCCCAGGGCATCGGACTGCCTCGGTAAACGGCTTCAACTCGCGGTTGTGGATGCTGGACCGCGACGTTTCAATATTCCCGAGTGCCGCGCTACGCGGTGGTGCGTGGCCCGGTGACCCCACATGGTGACCCCACACGGTGACCCCACGTGGTGACCCTACACTGTGACCCCACACGGTGACCCCACGTGGTGACCCCACACGGTGACCCCACGTGGTGACCCCACATGGTGACCTCATGCAGTGACCCCACACGGTGACACCACGTGGTGACCTCACACGGTGACCTCACGCAGTGACCCCACGCTGTGACCCCACACGGGGGCTCGCGAGCAGCAGAGGCGGCGGCTGCGTGACGCCTCGATCCATCGGCGTGAGCGGGAGACGGCGCGCGTCCCAGCGCAGGAGTCGAACCCGGGCCTGACGTTGAACGGGGCTGTCGACGCGATCGCAAAGGGGGCATGGCACCACCGCAAACATTCTTGAGTTGTCCGTGCAGTATTAACTTGCTTTTTTTTTCCTTTCTCAGAAGCACTTTAAATTTAATCCATGTTTTTGCGTGACAAAGTAGCGTACAGTCTAGCTACGTGACTTGTTTTAAATGTTCGTGTTAAATGTTTGTGTTAAATGCTGCTAAACAGCCGCAACGTTGACAAAAACGAAGCGACTGCGCTCTTAGCTCGGCTTTGCCTTAACCTGAGGAAGCACGGGGGGTGTTGTCCGAGCTCGGCGACGCATTTTGTCGAATTGCCGTGCGGGCCGTCTTCACCGTGTCGAGCACTCGCGCGGAGGTGAACGATTTCGACAAGCGATGTACGACTTATCTCTCGTCTTTAGTCAGAACGTGCTTCTCACGAGGAGTGGTTTGAAATCGATCCCGCCGGCAGTCTGTCACTTGGCATCCCATGTACACATTGTGTTACGCATTCCATGCCCGTTTTCCTGGGAGAAATGCAATACACCTATTTAGATTTGTATTTTAACCAAAACATTCCGAATCAAATGTCCCCACGCTCTCTGGAGCAAGGCGTTGTGACCACCACCACCACCGTCGGCACTGCTCTCAAGCCGCTGATGGAAACTTCACATTCCGATGTCGGGGGCGGCTGTGAGCTTCACAGGCACTGCGCACCAGCGCCGTCTCTCTCCGCACAGCTGTGCACCGTCTGCACGCGCCGGGCACCTCCTGGAGCCCACGGGGCCCGTCTCTGCCCGACTCCTCAAGGAAGCGGTTTCGCTTTCATTTCCACCGATTTCGGCTCGGCAGAGGCCCTCCTCCAGTTGCTTGCCACGCGGATGGCTTCTAAGGACAATGTTGATAATGATGATGAAGAAAATATTGTGCGACACTTTGTACAGTTTATAGGACTAAGTGCATTCTAATATTCATATATTTTTAAAGACAGTTTTTTGTAATGTATGGCAAGCTCTACAAAATAAAATAAAAACAAATGAATTGAGACGTCTTCGCGTGCTGCCGTCTTAAAGACGCTGTTCGTCTTCTACCCATGGACATTGCACTGGGACCTCTAAAGGATGGCCAATCAGGGGCTGGACTTACAGAGGAGAGCCGCTCCTTAGAAGCGTGATCCCTGCTGCCTGTATAAACCCTGCTGCCTGTATAAACCCTGCTGCCTGTATAAACCCTGCTGCATGTATAAACCCTGCTGCCTGTATAAACCCTGCTGCCTGTATAGACCCTGCTGCCTGTATAAACCCTGCTGCCTGTATAAACCCTGCTGCCTGTATAAACCCTGCTGCCTGTATAAACCCTGCTGCCTGTATAAACCCTGCTGCCTGTGTAAACCCTGCTGCATGTATAAACCCTGCTGCCTGTATAAACCCTGCTGCCTGTATAAACCCTGCTGCCTGTGTAAACCCTGCTGCCTGTATAAACCCTGCTGCCTGTATAAACCCTGCTGCATGTATAACCCCTGCTGCCTGTATAAACCCTGCTGCCTGTATAAACCCTGCTGCTTGTGTAAACCCTGCTGCCTGTATAAACCCTGCTGCATGTATAAACCCTGCTGCCTGTATAAACCCTGCTGCCTGTATAAACCCTGCTGCCTGTGTAAACCCTGCTGCCTGTGTAAACCCTGCTGCTTGTGTAAACCCTGCTGCCTGTATAAACCCTGCTGCATGTATAAACCCTGCTGCCTGTATAAACCCTGCTGCCTGTATAAACCCTGCTGCCTGTGTAAACCCTGCTGCCTGTGTAAACCCTGCTGCCTGTATAGACCCTGCTGCCTGTGTAAACCCTGCTGCCTGTATAAACCCTGCTGCCTGTATAAACCCTGCTGCCTGTGTAAACCCTGCTGCCTGCGTAAACCCTGCTGCCTGTATAAACCCTGCTGCATGTATAACCCCTGCTGCCTGTATAACCCCTGCTGCCTGTATAGACCCTGCTGCCTGTATAAACCCTGCTGCCTGTATAGACCCTGCTGCCTGTATAAACCCTGCTGCCTGTATAGACCCTGCTGCCTGTATAAACCCTGCTGCCTGTATAGACCCTGCTGCCTGTATAGACCCTGCTGCCTGTATAAACCCTGCTGCCTGTATAACCCCTGCTGCCTGTATAGACCCTGCTGCTTGTATAAACCCTGCTGCCTGTATAACGCCACATCGTGTAAACATACAAACAGCATCCAATTATGGCAATGACATCGTAGGTGTGTCTCTGCCGTTTGACCATTGCATCAACTATTTATATATCTGCACGTTGTTAACGTGTCAATTATATTTTTCGTAGTGGCCAATTAAAAGTATTGGCCTGATCAAGTCAACAAGAGAGGCATGACTGTTAACATTTAATTAAATCAATCGCCTGCCCCGAGGCTATTACATTCTCAATGCAAATGTGTTTTGAGTGAACGTGCACGAGCCGCGGAGCTGAGAGAGCTGCTGAAGCCGGAACGTCTATTTATCGACTTGACACGAGGGCTTTCGCGACCACGTGGGAACGCCCATAAACGCGAGACCCCCCCCCTTGTGATGGGGACAGCAGTGCGCCCGTGTGCGTGACTGCGCTTGCAGGGGGAGCGAGCTCGCGCGAGCCGTGGGAGGCAGCGGATGAGAACGCGCCCGACTCGGGGATGAGAGTGTTGTCGCTCGGGGGGGGGTCTCTGCGACCCCGTCCGTCATTTTAATTGTAACGGCAAAACGACAGAAGGAAAGACAGCGAGGCCGAGGGCTCCGTCGCTACCCAAGAGGCCCATCGTGGAGAGGCCCTACAGCCGTGACCCGGCCAATCGTCATCACGCGCATTGGCCAATGAAAAATGAATGTAAAAGACCGATAATTAATTATTCTCATGCTGTGTAAATCTGACAAACTGGCTCCTTTTCCATGGCACGACAAACGTTAAACCGACGCTCGCATACTTGGCCGTCCGCCTACAGCCACGTGCCGTATTACACCACTCGCCACTGTGCAGCCCTTGGGCAGTCCACTGCTGGACGAAGGCCTCCCCCACGCCACATTTGGTCATGGGGCTATCGACGAGACTTCATGGCGCGCAGGTCAGCGCAGGTTGGTGAAGTGCGCGGGTTTTGTGGATTATTCCAGGACTCGTTCAGATGTGACTCGCCACTGATGCGAGCCGCGGGCAGGAATGAAACTTGGGTCGCCAGGTCCATGGCACAGCTCACAACCACTACGCCTCTCCACCCACCACCATCCCATTGTGTTCTTTAGAAGGCGTGGCAGAACCCATTCCTGTGGTTGCAGTGATGTACCCGACGCTGTACGAATCATTACCCGTACGATGCAGCACGGCAAGTAGGCGTGTCACCTTTTCGTTCTCAGCTTGAGTGCTCTCAGCTTGTATACCAGGATTTCCTCCAGACTGTTTAGTTTTCGCCCACGTGCAAACCCAACCCACCAAAAAGGGAAAACATAAACCACGTAGAACCCTCCTGATAAAAAGAACACCGAGTGCTCAATAAGCATCAACAGAGAAAACATTCAAATGTACAAATAAATTCTAAAAATCAAAAACATCACCACCGACTTCACGAGTTAAATTCTCGCAACAGAACGTGTGAAATGTGTAGGGGGCGACGGCCCTTGTCGGTGGAGCGTTCTCAAGCCGCGACAAGCGAAGCCGCGCCAGCAATTCCTCGATCTGGCGGGGCCATCCGTCTGCGCCAGCCGCGAGCGCGGGCCTCGTTAGCCGCGGCGACGGCGGCAGCTCGAACCGAACGGGGACTCGAACCTCGCCGTCGACCTCCGACGTTGCGCACACATGCGGTGGTCGGGCAGGCAATGACCGCACTTTTAATCAACGACTACGACGACAGTCCACGGAGCGTGACCACGGCCACAAGCGCATGCGAACAACCCCCGCGGGGCGAACAGAAAGGAGCCGGCGTGGCTGTAAACAATCGTGGAAGGGAGCGCCGCTCAGCGGACGGCGGTGGGGGGGGGGGGAGATGGAGAGGGGGGGTTACGACATTGTGCGTGATATTTAAATACACTTGTTTTAAAAAATACATGGTTTTCCCTACACGATTACATACAGAAGTGATGGCAAGGCTTATAAATACACCCACGGATTTGCCATCTGCAAAACAATTGCCACGTATTGATTTTTTTGTTTTAAGATAGAAAAATGCATTGTACAGGTTTATGTACACTCATCGTGATATTTGGAGTATTTTCATACACGGATGCGAATAAAGACTACGTACCTATAGAAATCAACTTGCATTTGTAACAGTAATATGGGAATAAAACAGCGTGGCCTGAACAACCTTGAAAAGATAAAGTAGCCAAGACTCCTTGTAGAGGACTTGAATATATTATATATCATAAATCATCTCAGTTTGACTGATAGAACCGCCATGACAGTATACAAATAACAGCGGCAAGAACATAATTAAATGCTTTTAAATAATGTGACTGTCACCTTGCCGGGTAACACGGATTCTGTTGAATGAAGAGATTGACATAAGGTTCAGCAAAGGCCAAATTAACAATACAAATGCAAAACAGCGCAGTAAATGTACAGATAATCTATATATGTTTTTGCAATAGTCGACAATGGCACGCAAAAACAGTGGCAACAGGTTAGATATTGACATTGGCTGAACGTCGCCCAACATTGGGTGGACGTTGGCTATCGATGGGCCCCAATGCTGCACGTTGACTGATGTCACGGCCAGATCAGCTCTAGATATTCTAGTTGTCGGATTCCAAACATATTCCATAAATATGTTAGGAACCAATCTGGTGTGGCATAACAATCGAGCACTCGGAGAACAACAAACAAACAAAACAACAAATCACAATAAAAATAAACATGCAAATCAATCGTGAAGCTCGCACGGAGAGAACCGACGCCACGATGGAGACTCAAGGACCCGAGTGCTGCCCCCACGTGCTGCCCCCCCGTGCTGCCCCCCACGTGCTGCCCAATGGCACGAGGCTGCCCTCCGCGTCTCTGTCCTGGCAAGCGTCGGCAAAACGGCACGACGGAACACAGCGCAGCGACCCATCGCTGTTTCCCCAGCGTTCCTCAATTTCTGGAAAGATGTGCAACCGACGAGTTGGGAGTGAAAGTTAAGACTTTTGAGAAATTAGCACCAAAATTAAAATTGCATTTGTTTGGATGTTGGCATTAAAAATGTTTGTCTGCACGCGATGATTTATGTTTGTTTTTAAGGTTCTTACCCGTCCCTACTGGACACTTGTGAAAAGAGCTTTATAGCTAATCGGATTCCTCCTGCAGTATAAATATACCGATTCTGACAGCCGGGAAGCGCGGCTGTGGTCTCAGTGTTGCCAGGTCAGGATGACAACACCGCCTACCACCCATAATGGGAGCAAACACGTCGAGACTTTGGAACGCATGCATGCCCGATATTCGTAAAACAATGTCACTACGATCGGAGATTTAAAAAAAGGGTAAATTAGGAGCTACTCACATTTCCTATACACATCCGAGGGGTATTTTTTAACATTTGGCTACAATTCATACACATGCCCAACAAATGCGATGGAGCATTTTTGAATAATTGATTAATCATTTGGTGCCCCGCAAACCCGAAGGATGCCCCTTCTATCAAGCGACACTTTGGCCCAATAATTATTTTTTAGTTTAGTTGTTGAAATCAAATACCAAAACCTGAATATCCCTGCAGCTTTACCTGAATGAGTGTTCACATCGCGACTCCGGGGAGAACCAGATCTGATCTGGTGACACTGCTCCGGCCCGGAGATCAACGAGCCCCACCACACCACCGCCAGCAGGGAGGCCATCGCCGACGTTTGTGGTCCAGCAGGAATACACGGAAGCACGGAACTTTATTTAAACGGCGGTTTGTTCAACACTGGAGCAGGTGCACGAGTGAAGCCACAGGGATTATGCAGGATCATTCAGCTGGATTAAAAGCTGCCAAAGATCACTCTCGTGCGAAACAAATGATGGCGATGCATATACTTTATAAATACAAGCAGGCTGGTGCTTCCGCGGATTTCTAACGAACCCGACGTCGACGATGCAGTGGCCGTCCATCCAGCGAGACGTGCGAACGTGTTGGGCCGGTGGCCAGCGGCCTGTGCGTGTCCACTCGGCCGGTCATCGACCCTCCACCCACCCCGACCCCGCACGTCCACCGTGCCGCCTCTCCCTTACCCTTAACTCGCCCTCCCCGCCGTCCCCTTCCTCGGGCTCAGTTCATCTTGGCCTTGCCTCTGCCCCTGGTTTGCACGGCGGGGTTGTGTTCTGCGCCGCCACCGTTGTCGCCACTGTTGTCGCCTCCGTTCTTTCCCCGGCGCACCGAGTCCGAGATGGAGCGCTTCATCTTACCCCACAGGATTCGGCCGCCCACCGGTTCCAGGCCCTGGGAGGCCGCACGGGCGGGGAGGGGAGGGGGCGACGATGCGGGTGGTGCGGGAGGGGTCACGGGACGAGCGGCACGCGGCACAGCGACGGGGTCACGGCTCACGGGGTCAGGTTTCGGGGGCGGCAGATGGGACGTGAGACGGGCAGGTGGGGAGGCAGTGTTCAGGTGGTGAGGAACCAGATGTGTTAGCAGGATGTCCGCGCGTTGTCGGCAGCGCAGCAAGGGGGGGGGGGGGTGCACGATGAGTATCCAAGCGGGGGGGGGGGGGGAAGGCATGCGGGGGGGGGGGGGGAGGCATGCGGGTATGCGGGCGGGCGGAGATGAACCCAGGTCGCACGGTACGGAGCTTAGGAAGGGCACGGATGGCGAGGCAGAGTATGCGGGCGGCGGGGAGGGCGCGTTTACACGGGGCCAGCAAAGCCACGGGGGAGTGCAAGCCGGAGCGTGGCGATGGTAGGAAAGGGAACGGCGGTGGGAAGGAGACGGAAAGACAGAGAGAGACAGGCATGCGAGAGCATCAGTGGAGTGAAACCAGCAAGAGCTGTGCTCAGCTTGCTCGTGATTTATTATACATTCTTTTATTTTCACCATCGGGCAAGAGCCGACAGAGCGTTTTTTGGCAAGAGAAACCTGCAGAAGCCACGAGGTCAAACACGGCATTGCACACATCAGCACATCCGCACAGTCACACTCTTCAGACTGTCCGTCTCACCCCACAACCCTCCACCACTAAACATTGTACAGCTTCAGTGGAACCGCACTCCGATGTGTTTAAAACATTCTCTCAATCGGCGCCAGCAGGAAGAGGATGCGAGAGAAGAAGAAAAATAAGAATTATTCCAACAGACATGATCTGGCAAGGCAGATGATATTATTTCAAAGACCAGGCAGTGCCAACATTTGATCAGGTGCAAAGCAGGACACCGACGAGACATCCGTTTCTCAAACAGAGCTGGCTTTGACCAAGAAACTATGATAGACATACCTAGGCTTATATCGCCAAACATTTACGTAATAACATGCGGCAAAGTTTGACTTAAAAAAGTGATCAGCTAATATTGAGGACAACAGTCGGACGTTACCAAGTAACACTGAAGCAGCGAGGGGGTGCGGCTACGCTTGGCGAAGCCCCCCCCCCCCCTCGCCCGCCAATTCTACAGTGGTCACAGCGACAGTAAAGACGACACTCCCCGAATGCTATGAAGCCAGTTCTACCGCACGAATAATAACCACAGGCTCGGACACCATGCGTGAGGACCGGAGTGCATCGCCAATCAGACGGACACCCGCTTGACAATTGGCTACGGGCTTGGAACTGAGCACGCGCAGCTTGCGAGTCCACACGAGTCGAGTCCGCGTGAGCCGAGTCCACATGAGCCGAGTCAGCTTGAGTCGAGTCCGCGTGAGTCGAGTGAGAGTCGAGTGAGAGTCGAGTCCGCGTGAGCCAAATCCATGCCGCTGCTTCAGGGACCGCACGCACGGCCCGAGGGCACGCCGAGTAGCAGCTCCCAAAACATGACATAGCCAGTGCCTGAGCTAAACCAGCGCCAGCCCGTTGATGAATGCCATCGCCGGTTCCTCCTGTGCACGTTTCACTCTCAACATCACATTGCACAACTGGCTAATTGGCCAAGGACCGATGCTTCGCTTGCACACTGCCTCGAATCTAATACCGAAGGGCCAGGCGAACTGCCGCTGGTTGGACACCACCAAACGCAGTCCTGGCACCGTTATGGTAATGAGCAGCAAAGCAGCTGGGGTGTAAACAAACCCACGAGAGAGTTCACCGTCACGTGGGCGGCCGTGGTAGCGGCGTCCCAGAGTCTGAATTTAGTGTTCAATCGCCCAGGCCCTCTTCGCACGATTTGTACCTGGCTATATATACAGTATACTTAATAACAATGGTACATACTTTGGATAAATTAAGGCTGACTTGTAGTTCAGATTTGGAGCAGTACAGCTCCCCGAGCCTTAATCGCGTCCACTAAGCCTAAGCAAAAAAATATGATCGATGTTACAATGTATTACCATATCTATATGATATTCCGTCAGTTTCACACCACTTTTGACTTTCATTAAAATGACCCCCGTGTTGTTTGTGGAAGTTGCTGCCCTCCTCCGAACCTTTCCCAAAAAACTAAATTACTTCTAGAGGCAGCCCAACGTTAAAGGTCTACTCGTGCTCCACTTTGTGTTGAACGTCAACAATGATATGAAAAAAATCACTCACAGCCACCTGCGTGATGACAACACAGCGGTCATTTTAAGAATCAAAGCCTCAAAAAAAACGTACAGGGTCGCAACGAAACGGCATTAATTCCTCTGGGTAAAGACAGTGCGATCAACAGCACCCATTCAGCATTCAGGAGCATAATATGTAGTGTTCACCCTCTCAGCGAGGTCGTAGTGTTCAGCCTTGTAAGAGAAAAGACCTCTCCCGACGCAGCCTCTGCTCTGGATCGACAACGCTCCCCGCGGAGGAAGACCGTGCCATCCAACACTGCCCCCAACGTTAGACGGCCACACGCCAGTCCCATCGAGAGCTTGACAGCCTCAGTAGTGAAAACACTCGACGCAGCGGTGCCCACTGGGGTCGCGTGACGTCAAGATTGGACGTTTTGGCAGTCTCTCTAGGCACCTGGTAGGAAAAATAAGCGGGCAGCCTTTCTGAGCTCGGTGTCTTGTGCAACGAAAATGTTCACCAATTTTTTTATAATATAATATTTTAAAAAACAAGCAGAATGAGATGGAAATGGGCCGAACGCTGCGACTGCAGAGCGAGAGGGGGCGGCGCTGTAAATGTCACGGCGGTTAGAGTCAGGAGGGTTGGGGCCAGGGTCAGGGTTAATTTCTCTTCTTGGCGGCGGCACGCTTGACTCCGCCGTGAGCGAGCGACGATAGCGCGTGGCTGGAGCCCGTGCACTGCAGGGCCATGCTGTAGAGCGAACACAACACCTGTTGGAGGGGGGGGGGGGTCAGCACGCACGCACGCGGTGTTAGGGCAGTTAGCGAAGCGCCGCACACGCATGCACACAGCGAGCAAAGCACATGACAGGTGGAGGGGGTCGAAGCAAAGGCCTCGGTTAAAACGTTGTCACTCTCCGACAACTAAATCAACCACTCATAACCATAATTAAACGCCCACAGTGCCAGCAAGACACATGGCTCAGCATGGGGCTATGTGGCCTTGGCCTGGTATTCACGGAATGACATACTAAATGCTTACGATTCTCCAAATCTGGCAACGACACTGGTCCACAATGTCCAAATTTTAAGAACAATTTCACGGCATCTTGCCTGAACTTGCGTGTTTGTTGATTTTCCCAGAGCGGATGCACGCATGCAAACTCTGGAGCCAGGCAGGAGCCGACAAACCAATCGCTAAGAGACACACGACAGACACGCAGCAAAGTGGTGCACGGGTGGCATCTGTATTTTGCCGTGGTCTCACAGTAAATGCTGCGGTAAATGCGGATTAATGTGGCAGTTCTGCACTTGCTACCGATAACAAAACGCAACAAAATACACATTAACGAGCAACAAGAAGTGCAGTGTCAGTAAAACCTCTGACGCCTTCTGTCCCCGAATGACAGAGGGTCCTCCCTCTCTCTCTGTTTGGCACAGGGCCATTTAATCCTGGAGAAGTGTCTTTCCATGGCATTTTTGAGTGGACTTTAGACTATCCCAGGCTCTTCAACGCATGTTTTCAACGCCTTACATGAGAAATTCACTTCAAGGTTATTTTAGCCACACAGCTTTGGCGCTCTGGTGAAGTCACCGTGACATAAGTTGTCAACGTCAATTGTGACGTCACTGGAGCGCTAAAGTGGCACACGCCTGACCGTAGTTTTTGAGTCTTCTCGCTCATGAACAAAGCTTCGAGCCCGCGTTGAACAGCCTGGGAAGCACGGCCTAGGTCTGCGCATTCCTCTCAGGGAGGCTTTCAACCAACATCAGCGGGGCGGGTGACCACGTGAATCGCGCACAATTCAACTGTCGGACGAAAATGCAGTTTCTGGCAATTCCAGTGGGAAAACGACAAATTCAAAGACAAATGCCATGGATTTGGCCACCATCCCAGTGATTTGCATGCATGGATGGGCCCAACGATTCCTTTCCCAGACATTATGCTGCAGGACTTGATGGCTCCAGGAACCCGGTGACGGGATGCGCGAGCGGAGGCTCGGGCTTTACTCGGCTTCACCGTAAGACATCGGCGGCCACGGACGAAGGGAAAAACCTCTGCCGGAGCCGCAGCGCAAGCACCTGGTGAATGAACCAAAAAAACTACAACATCGAGGGTGCGGCAACGAAATTGATTTTTTTAAAGTAATCCGAGCCATTAGGGTGATGAAAGTGAAATTTATACGCTTTTTAAGGAATTCGCTCAAGTGCATCATGCCCAAGCAGGATTTTATGTGAGGGCGCAAAAGCCCTTCTCAGCAAGTGTGCATCTTCCCCGGTCTCGTTCATTCAGACGCTGCACCAGCGACGCTCGGGCGAGCTCTCCGTTAAACTACTCATCAACCTCAGTGCCTTCAAAGACCAAAATTTTAATTCAGAAACTCATTAAACACTAAAATACTAAGACACATTACTGCTGCATGTTTAAAGTTCGAGTTGGTTGGCACAGTCGTGCACACTTGGAGCCACGGTTTGTGGCTCAACGATGGAGCCCTTCAAGTGAGCGGGATACTCTCATGCAGTGCAGTAAGTAGGTTACAGACAAGCCATATAGTTTGGAGCTTTAATGTTTCTTCTTATGTCCATGTGCAGCTTCTTTTGATAGACACTTTAGTTTTAATCTACTGCCAAGAAACCTCTCAATAAAGGAATCTGGCACAAATCCTTTATGGGAACATCCGGAAAACGAGTTTGGGGACTTAACAAAGGCCTTCCTGCAAATATAAAGCGCTGCCATTATTGGTGAACGCACGAATCGCCCGGGGGGCCTCAGAGCGGAGGCCATCATCACGAAAAAGCAACGAGAGCTCTGGTTTGAGCTCCTCTAACAAAATGATCAAACGGAGAGGCTACCAGTGTACAAGGGGCCGTGGTCTGATGAGCGACACCACAGCAGGCGGTCGCGTCCCTTTTATCGTCATCCAGCACTTCGGAAACCGGCCGACAATCATGACAAAGCGCGCCGTTTAAGCGCCATCTGAAGGAGGCTTGTTCAGAGTGGGGAGGAAAAAAAAATAAACCGTTAAGACGTTGCCTTCCGCGGCAATTATTGCTCGGCACGTTGCACGCACGAACGGCGCACGCACCCAGGAGCAATTAGCGGCACCGGCAGCACGGAATGAGTCACCGCTCCCATGTGTGGAGATGCGCCTGTGCCCTCCCATTGGCGACTTGCATTTCCGAGATGTCTGCGAGGACAAAGCTGAATGGCCTCGTTTTTCTTTGGCATTTTTTTCTGTCACCCGATCGTACGAGAGCCCTTTAACATCCCATCCACTCGTGGATTCATTACGGACTCCAGGTTGTTTTTTTTGTGTCATCCTAATCAGATGCATATATGTGACTGCGTCTGCTGAATCGATAATAATTTTTTAGTCACTACCGCACATTTAAATATAAATGCAATTGCTGATGTTGCTGTGTGTAGTCTTGTGAACCCAAGTGTATCGTTGAAATTAAAACTTTAAAAAAATGATCCGCGTAATTGCTCACTCATTAATCCATTGACCCACTTTTACCATTTCTGCCCTACTTCAAGTTAACGTGCAGGAAAAACTAAAATCAGATTTTGTAAAACGCTACGAAGAACAAGAGAACATTCTGCTACAAATAAGTTTACTGTCTATAGCTCTACATGGCTATGAATATGGAGATGAACAAGCGACACCAATAATAGAATGCCAGCTCGTGAGATGGGGTACTTCCAAAACACAATTCCAACTCCACACGCTCGACACCCCAAATTGCCGCCGCTGAACGATGGGCGCGCGTCTATAAGTGAACGGCTCCTGATAGGCGAAGCACGAGAGAGAGGTGAGGAGCATCCCCCCGCTTCCTTGTAGTGTGCGGCGACGCGAGACGGAGGAGTGCAGGGGACGACGGGGGGGGGGTGGAAACTTGTGTCCTGACCAGAGGAATTTGAGCTGATGAAAAATAGAAGCTAAGCTAGACGTATAAAAGAATAATTGTATCAATGTCAATGTGGAATTTGAAGACCAGTACTTTGAGCGTGTTCCCTATACATTTGTGATTATATGATCATTACGCGTCGTGGTGACGTCACCGCCACTTAGTGGCGAATGGCGGTTGTTGTTGTTGTTATTACGCCAAATAGGACATTATTATTAGAAATAGGTCCTGAGACCTACTGGAGCTTTGATTGTAAGTATTTTATCACTCTAAAATAAAACTCCAGGTTGGGCTGCACCAGCAGAACGCCCGACCCTCCGGCACCATAAAACAAGAACCATATTTTGGGAAGTCAAAAGCGATTCTCTAATGCAGACAATGCCCCCCCCCCCCCCCCACTAAAGTAATGTGGAATTTCCACCGGTGGCTTAGTGGTACCAATGCTCAATGGTCATCTGAGCAGTGGGACACTGACTTTCACTGACGGTAATAACGCCGCTGCCGCCAATAATGCCGCTGCCGTCACCGCCGCCATCACTCCCGAAGGTAGCGACCAACAGTCACCTTGACCGAACCTTGGCGAATGGCGGGGATACTCCCGCACGCACGCACCCACCTGGTTCCAGATGGTCTCGGCGATGCGGTCTATCCAGACGCCCACGTCACGGAAGGCGCCCGAGTAGCGCACGTAGGCCCAGACGCAGAGCGCCATCAGCGCGGCGCCCACCGCCATGTTGCAGAGCGACGCGACGAGGTCGAGGCCCACGAAGCCCGTGAGGCCCGACACCACGTAGAACACGAGCATGACCACGAAGAGCGTGGCGGGCGTGCGCGCCGAGTGGAAGATGTTCTTGCCATCGTTGTGCTTGACAAAGTTGGCGAACAGCTCGTCCAGCTCGGCCTCCAGCTGCTCCAGGTAGCGGCGGCTGAACTCCTCGCCGCCCATCTTCTTGGTGGACGTGAATTGCGCCACGGCCGTATACCGGTACTCCTGGTGCTTGCGCTCCAAGTCGGCCGGCGCCAGGAACGGGCGGTCGCCGCCGCAGATCTGCAAGCCCGTCAATGTCGTCATGAGTGAGCGATATTTGCATCGTTTGCGTCGGCACTGTCGGGCAGTGACAGCCAAAGAAGTATCGCTGTCATCGATTACATCTCAGCTGCTGCCAACATCACCACGGCGTTCACCAGCTACAGCAGCATCAACAAGGTCACCTCCGTCGCGATTACATCGGTAAGAATGGTCATCATCGGCATCAATGTCAAGCGCGTGCATTCATTTATTGAATTGTCTATCCAAGGTCAAGTGATCAGCGTCTGAAAAATCATCATCGGTTGAACTTTAAAAAACGCGTTAAGAAATGTATATATGTTGAACTTCTTTCACACTGTATGTAATACTAAATCCAGAATACATGACAAACTAAAATTTATACGACACAAGGTGTAATGAGAAAAAACCTACAAAACCTTGCACACAAGGCCACCAGCAGACGTCTAACATAGCAAAACTTATCCGATCCATTGCTGGTCAGAGGGCTCCCCCCCATGCCATGGGGGATGTTTAACCATACACCTCCATGCTAATCAGTGCAGGTTAGAGGATTTGCTTAAAAGCAGATTTAAGCCAATTGTAGTTATATGACGAGGCACTTTGCTTCAATTCAGGTGCACACTTCTCTAATTGAGTAAGGAGAGTTGGCTTCATCATTCCTTCTGCATCGATAGCCCAAGACGCATTGCAACCTGGGCCTTAGCTTATAGATACATTCCTAGGCTGAGGGTTTCTAGACTTACACACGTGAGCTTGTGGCTCCGTTAATGAGAAAGAAAAGCGAAAAGTTACAGTCAGGGGTACCATTATATCACGCCGGTGACCTCGCGGTGACGTCACGAGAGCGCTGCATAGATCACATGACCAATATCAAGGTTTTTTTGTTCTCGTTCATGAAGCTTTAAACTTATTTTGGGGCCACCCCAGATGTTCAGCCGAGGAGCATTTCCACAAGATAAGAGCCATTGGATCTTTGGTTTGTATCTCCCTGCAAGGAGGCTGCAAAGTCCCCACAGGCACCAGCGCACCCTGGCGAAATCGCACACACGCAAAATAAAACCAGGCCACGGCGTGTATTGAGATATAAATAAATAACTACACCGACCAATAACATCTGCTTCTGCTTATTTCTCTTTACGTCACCACTTTAATACCACGCTACGCAAGGCAAACGCTTCGGCAAACGCATTTTGGCAAAACTGCACAAGAGCCGTTTTTGTGCAAAAAACCCCTTTGTGGGATCTCTAATGGACCTCAGGTTGTTTGGACCGGGAAGTAGAACAATCCGGTCCCATCTAACGAGGGCCGGCGGGAGGAACGTGCGTCACGGGGTCTGGTTCGGGTACACGCGTCGCGTTCAATCTCCCGCACACTTCGTTGCGTCGGCACGATACGGCCAGAAGCACGAGTGGGCGGCCGCTCACTCCCAGAAGCTACCCCTCCCCCCTCCCCGACTCTTCAACCCATTTTCAGGCCGAGTTGAACTGCAACGTGGTTTTTGTGAGCAGGAGAGGATGCGCGACTGTGACCAACGCCCAAAAATCCAGCAATCTACTTGCTGTACCGTCTTCTGCAGGCCATATTGCAGCCCTACAGGTTCAGTCGTGGCCAAACGGAGATGTCTGTGACCCACCAACACCACCTCTAAAACGCGGCACGCACACATGTGTGCATGTGCCACCACACCCACCATTGAATAATCACCGCTATGTGGCGACGGTGGTGGTGTCGGGTTGTTTTCTTTGGCTCGGTGGCCCAAAGGAAACGCTTCGAGGGGCATCGGATACAGAGCCAGGGAATATTGAATGGATGTCATTGTGCGATGGGTCTCTGGAGGCTCAGACAGTGACTGCATTCCCTTTGGGGATTCTTAAATAGAAAAGTATTTTTCTAAAGCAATATACTTTAAAGCGTATTCCGCGAGACACGCCGAGGCTGTGTCTCAAAGGGGGGTAAAATGCTTGCAGCATTCGTGAGCCCAGAGCTCTGCAACAAAAATAAAAACCTGAATGAGAAACTCCAAATCACATTCGAAAGAGCGCCCCATCGGAAAGTCTGGCGTAAATGATAGAACGGTTGGCATCAATCTGCAAGGGCAACAACTCACACCAACAACATGCCTCCATCCTTTTGGAAACGATGACCGTTTTCCACCTGTGAGCACATTAAGTCACAATTTTATGAGGCTTAAATTTAGATTTAAAGCTTTCGTGACTGCAGGGATTCATCTTCTTGGTTCTTTCAGTAAAATCACGTAGAAGGGAAATAATAATAAAATAATAATAATAAAAACTTTGTAGTTTATGTTAAATTTTTATTATTTTATTATTTCCCTTCTACGTGACTTTACCGAAAGAACCAAGAAGATTTGCAAGGCTTACTTCTGTGGAGTTATTCAACATTGTAAAATAATAAAAATAGTTCAATAACATGCAAGGAATGGTTGCACACTGCGTGTGTGCCACCGATCTGGCTCAAATTTACTAAAACCTTAAGTGTGTCCAGAACGCTATTTTAGCTGGACGAAGATGGAGGCGTTTAGCTGTACTGCAAAGCAGATGACTCAGCTCAGCTGCACATTCTTGCATAGCTATTAAAAAAATGCATAAATAAACATTCATGCAAACGACTGGGCGAGCAGGGATGGTCATGTTTTGCAGTGGCTTGGTTGTCTGCAGGCAAAGGCTCCGAATTACTCAGAAGAGGCAAGGCTGAAAACGCCAACGTTCTTTAGTAGGCGGACTACAAAATCGTCCACTGTTCGTCTGAAAGCTGCCCTCTGATCAACACACCCCCTGCACCCAACTAGAAATAAAAATAAAAATTATCATAAGAGATTGAAAAGAGGAAAAAAACCCATCTGACCGATGTTTCAACTTTCAACTTAAACATGCCTTTCAAAAACTACAAAGCCAGCAATATGACCGAGCTTGAGGTTTTCAAAAGAGCGCAGGGACACAGAGAATATGAATAGCGCGGTCAAATCTGTCTCCACAGAAGCAACGCTACATTGTTTAATGGTGTTTTCCCCACCGGGTGTTTTTTTATTATGAATAATTACAGAAATGTTCATTGGGAAATGACTTGTGAACAGATGTAGGTGCAAGGGAAGTTTAATCGTTAGTATGCAGTTTAACTGAAAATTATAAAGAGTTGAGGGGTTTACTCATCTGTATCTGTCCAATAATAAATCCAACATTATCAGCGACGATCAAATTTTTGCTGGATGAAGAGCTTCCAAAGCTATTGCCACGTATATCCCGATCCTGCAATGTGATAATTCACCTCTCACCTGCACACAAGCCGATTTTATCGCTCCAACTCCTTTACTGACATGCTCTCGGATGCGTTATATTTCTAGGCTGCCATTCCATCAATATTTGACTATCGGTCATTGATAAATTACATTATTTAAAACTATGATGGCCTGGTGAAACACAGGACGTTTTTCACAAGGCAAGTGCCAATATAAGGGAATGATTGTTATTGAATTCATTCTTCATTCTAAGTAATTTTCATATTTGAGATTTGGGCAACACCAAGGCAAACTCTTGCACATGGTGCTACAGGGTGTTTTTAATATTATTTTTGTATTGCTTATAGCAGCAATATGTTAAGGAGCTAAATGCCAATGTTGATGTCTGCGAGCTACGATGAGACGGCTTCAGGAGAGTGTGTGTAGGTGTGTAGTTTTGCTGTTCCTCCTCCATTAATTAAGTGCAGACTACAGTGGGTTACTGTGTGTTCCACAGCTCGGCGTGCATGGCCACAATGGCACTGTGGCTTGTCTTTTTCAGGGTGAGAAACGGTAGTCTTTTCGCAGCCCACCTGAGAGGTGTTTTCTCGTGAGTCCTTAAACACAACGAATGCCATCATCTCGGCTAAATGGATGTCGTTAATGGGAATCCAGATATGATCGGTAGGGTATTTGTTAATGTTCTGCTGCATTATCAAATGGGGGTGAGATATGAAACGACAGGCTCGTGCAGACTGGCTGGCAACATTTCATTACAGCGAGCTTGTTAAAACTTATATCAGGCGATTCTTATCCAAAGTTCCCATTCCTTATTCAGGCCATCGTCTCTGGCGCACATGAATTTAGCCGCATCAAGACGGCAGCGGCAGCGACCGGGATGTCCTCACCTGTTCCATCGCCTTCACGTAGCTGTCCTTGGACAGCGCCACTGCAGCCAGGTTATTGGCTTCGGCCGTGGCCTGAAATGAAACCCAACAAGCTCGGTTACCGACCGACAAAACATGCACACGACAACGATCAGCGATCGATGGCAATCGTGCAGTGAGGCTGCCAAAAGAGCGCGACAAGAGGAGATGTCGTAGTAACGAAGCACCGCACCGTGGCGACGGAGGCCCACGGCGACGGAGAAAAAAACACAGCTGCTCGCTCGTCGCGGTAGGATTTCAGCAAATAAATAAAATATGCAGCAACTATGAACGCAGAGTGGCGAGTCGTGAGAACGTGTTGGGGCAATAGTTGCCCCTGAAGGTTGTTGCACTGACTGCAGACCACAATACACAATCCTAGACGGGCCGCACACTGTGCGAGGCCCAACACGTTTCTTCAATAGGAGTAATTTAACGCGAGGTTTTATACAGACAGGGGCTCGTCAGAGTTCGATCCGCCAAGTGGCGAAGCGCCGCTGTGGATAATGGGTCTCGGGATCCAACCCCCACCAAAGGCCATACAGTACAATAAACGGCCCCACCACGTGTTTTAACGTATATTTGTTACTTACGGAAGGCTAATTTAATGATACGACGTCTGAGTAAAAAGTTATCAGCATGCACGTGCGTGAAGACACACACGACCCACGTCAGAGGGTCATTGGGGTTTGCACACACGCACACACCAGCATGTGTCCCTCCCGAGCGAGCGACACGTCACCGCGCGCGACGCACGGCACACGAGAGACCGACTCGACCATGATGCACGCTCGCCCCAAGCGGCCGGCGGGCTACGGCGATACCGAACGCGACAAAAGACCCGAGGCGGGCAAACGTGTGGACGCACGGCGCCGACGAGCGGCAGCACGGAGCGTGCAGGATGCACGGGTGAAGCGGTCGGAGGGCAGGGTGGGAGCGACGCGCCTCACCTGCAGCATTGACTTGGGGTGGGGCAGCTCCTCACCCTGGTAGATTTTCATGTACGCCTGCGTCATCAGCCAAAATACAGCCAGGGCAGGATGCAGCCAGGAGACAACGCCGAAGCGTAAGCTTAGTAACTGACCGCTGCTTGCTTTACGTCAGAACTATAGCATTGGCAAAGTTATAATACGCATGCCAGGGCCAATGTATACAATCACGTTGATAGTTTAAGAGTTTGCTTCAAGGATTTAATTATTAGGACTGAGATGCACAGATGTACTCCAAGACTTTAACACGTTCATGCCATCGCACCTTCGCTTAGCACGATTGGCTACATACGGTGCGAAAGAAGTTCAACATACATACATACATTTCCAGACCAGCATTACAAATTCCAAGACCATGATTAATCATTAAATGTAATCATAGTTGAATAATTTCAGTGTATATAAAAAAGTTGTCAGAAGGATAAGCTAGCCACTGACAGGCCAGCATCGTTCAGTACAGAAAATAGGTCCCCCAGTGTGTTTGCGAGTATGTTTTTCAACAGCCTGTCTCCTCACAAGCTAATCGAACGTTTCTATGGTACAACCCGAAAACACATTCGAGCTACATGGCACAACCGCTAATACCTACATGGCAGGTTGTGAACCTTAACCGTTATCCTGTCGCACGTGTGCTGTTATTCCAGCTGCTCTGGTTTCCTGTCACGTGAAGTAAACAGGCCGAACATTCCAATGCAGGATCCAACTGATAAAGTGTTTGTAACGTGGCGAAGCTTTCTTCACTTGGTAAGTAATCGCTTTCAGTCTTTTCCAATCCACTGTCGGACGAAGACCTCCTCACGCTGTGCCAGTTTAGGGGGGCTGCTTAACCATACTTCACCACGTTGGTGATTGCGGGTTGGTGAAGACGGGGGGGAAGGGCCGAGGATTGGTTCGGATCTCAATCGCCACGGACGTTAGCCGCGGTCAAGAATCTATCCCAGGTCGCCAGACTCATCGTGCAGCGCGTCGGCCACCGCTTTCTCAGTTCACAGCTGCCGGTCGGCGACACGTGGCGTTCGTGCGTTTCACTCACCTTGAAGTACTCAACGAGGCCTCGGCAGGTGATCTTGGAGCCGTTAATCTCCTTGACGACGAGATTGGTCGGTGACAGCAGCATGGGCACGAGCTCCTGCAGATGCTTCTTGAACTCGGGATCAATGTCTGCACCCCGACGCCACAGCACGACCACATCCCCCAAGTTACACCACGCCGCCTTCATCCAGTTTCACTTCGCTCGAAAGTCCCTTCATCATTTTCCTCTATTGCATGCCAATGGGGCGCAACGTCGTGTGACGAACAATCCGTTTACACCTCTCGCAAGGCAGTGCACCCCACACCGTGTTAGAGAACGGTCTGTGCAATGAGATATCGCAAAACTAACTTCTAAAAACTGATCTCAAGCGACTCTCTTTGTCCACCAATTAAGGAGCAAAGTTTCCCGTGATGTCTGCTACAGAGAGAACTGTTCATTGAACGACAGTGAAACCAATATTTATTTAATTCTGATCAAATGGAATTGAGCTAAATTAAGTGAAAAAACTAATCTAAAGTCATGGTTTATTAGTCACTGGTACCTGGGGGCTGAGGTCACCAACTCTCTCGACTTGAGAACTCCGCTAACTCACGGGCAGCTGCCAGAATTCGAACGCGGGATCACAGCGGTGCCAGCTCAGCACACTGACCTCTCAGCCACCCGGTCACTGCACCTCAGGCTTTGTTATTTTTTAATAAGCGAACATGGATTTTTTTTAGGTTATTTAACCAAATCTTCAAACAAGCGGAAAGACACACAAGCGTAAAAAGTTTAGTGAGCTGAACCCCTCGCACTGGGAGATGGGTGGAACCCAGCCACATGTGGCGGGGCTCCTGCAGCCACCGTTCACTCGGGGTTCACGAGCGCCGTCCACTCGGGGATCACGCGCCGAACCTTTCTGTGAACAGCAGCTCCCTCTACAGCACGCACGCACACTTTTCTTTTTGCGAAGTTACTTACGTTGAATAAAAATCAATGCACAAGGCAGATCTATTTACCTTCATGCAGACCACTAACAAGGAAGGCGCTGTTCTTTAAAATACATATTGCTGGTTAAGCTTAGCCAGAACACCGGCGAACAATGCCCCACTGTCGGGGGAGCGCCAGGGATCACATTAAATGCTGGGCCGTTCATGAGATGTCTCTTTTGATGTTCAATGCAAGACACGTGGGTGGTGAGGGACAGACGGGGGGGGCGGGGGGGCGGGGGGGGGCAGGGAATTTGGGGCCACACGACTCGGCACGGCTGCACCACCCCTGGTGACTACGCCCAGACGACGCATGGTGGTGAGCGAAGGTAACGCGGCGATCGTCTGCCAAGCGACAAAGTGGCCAGGAGATGATAGTACAGCAGGTAGGTGTCGCCCATTCATTTGAGAATTGATTTTCATCATCGTCGTCATCATCATCATAATTATAAACCACACCTACGTCTCAGAATATTCTGGTATCCTCCTATGTAGATAAGTACACTGCAAGGAAGGAATTAGTGAACTACCAAACACTACCCTGCGCAAATCATCTCTAGATCCAATGAAATCCTCTCGGAAAGACAAGCGACGTACAGCTTTTATGCAACACTGCTGATCGGCTCCACTCTCAGACCCGTCGGCAGATCCACGCTGCACCAGCTATCAAAATCCCTTCACGGGTGTCCATCCCCTCCGCCAGCGTCTGACAGACCCCTGCTAAGCTGGACTACGCTTCACAGCCCTGCACTTCACAGCTCTGCACCCACTTCCCCGTCCCAACTTGCGTCCCCTGACCCGTCCTCCTACGAATTCCCCTTCAGTCTCGAGTAAATCTCCACATGACAGAACGTGGCTATCACTCAGCTGCCCATATATTCAACTATTTCTCCTCTGTTTAAATGTATAACTTTACTCAAAAAAATACAGTACGGTCAATTTTAGCTGATTTAAACCTTCATTAACTGATGTGTGCCAGTTTTATATATATAACCACAAAGTACATATAATTTCAATTTGCATGTTAATACTGAACCCGTTCATTAAATGCAATACCTCGACTTCATATTTTTTTTCCTGTAAAGGCCACACAGCTTCCACAGATTCCTGTGTATTTCTTCACCAAATAAAACCCAAGGGTGTCATCCGATTGTAATTAAAACGGTGACTTAACATTGCCCGGTTCTTGAGTCTTTATCGGTGTTTGACTGCTAAGCCTTTCCGGGAGGAATTCATAAACCGCAGACCTCTGAAGCTGGAAGACGGGCAATGTGCGAGTTGGGCCCGAGGGTGGCGCGAGATTGACCGACTTGTGGCAACATGAGACCGGCCAGCAGGGGGAGTGAAGAAGAAATCGCCGAGTCCGCCGCATCACAAGTACGGTGGTACCTCCTGATCCGTTGACACGCACGTGGAATGCGCGAAGTAGGCACCGTTGCCGTGAGAGCAATGGGTACACGTGGCATGCACCAAACTCCAGAGGGGTTGCGCATTCATACAAACTCAGTACGGGGTCACCCGAGTAAGCACGAAGCAGCGGGCAATTTTGAGTGGGGGTTCGTGAGCATGACGACAACAGCACGTGGTGCCCGTTCAACCGCACAGGTCTACACGCATCGCGCAACACGGCCTCGATGACCAAGCGCCTGTAATGTGATTAAAATACCCGGCCAATTAATTCAAACTCCATTGGTGCCACAGAACAGCCCCTTCCTTGTTCATTTTATCTGCATGTTCTCCTCCACTGAAAGCACCTGCCAAACAAGCTCTCACACGTGAAGCTAACTTACTGCGTCCGCAAAGGGCTTGCGTCTCTTAGTTATTCAATACCGGCAGATTTTACGGTAAATAACATAAACACGTACTTAAGCATTAAAATCTATTTCCCAGCCAGACAAAACACAAAAGCCATACATCCTCCGAGAAAAATGGAGTCAGAAACCACAGCATTATGATTGTGCCCATTTACTGTGGTTATTATCTGTTGAACTGTGGTTCTCTGTAGGCTATTTTAGAACCTTAATATTATTCTGCAGGCAAGCTTTACAGCAAAGGTGCTAGTGCGGCGGTTCTCAACCTCGTATCTCATTGTATTAACTGGCAAACGCAAACAAGGAATGCACATGTGAATAACACTGCAGCAGAGCTCTTTCCACAGATATTGCTTTGGCTGAGAGGCTCTTGAAGTCTCCTGCCTGTATCTAAAAATCATTATAACATTTCCAGAGGATACTTGTACCCTCAAGTTGAGAACCGCCATGTTAAACACACGCACACGTTCACACATGCACTAAATAAATAAGCCACTCGGAGCTTGCGCTCACAACTCGTGCTGCAGGCGCAGCGATGCCGTCGTCAGACCTCCTCCGCAGGGCCCACGAGGGATTCCGCGCTCTCGCTGCGGCGCGCCAGCTCCGGGCGCCACACGTGCCTCGTTATCAACGCTGGCGAGCCACCAGCGCCAGGAGCCATCCCTCTCACGCTCCCCCTCAAATGGCTACGAAACCACCACAGCCGTGCATACGTCGTGGGCTACGGGCATCATGGCGAGTAAAGGATCACGATGTTTGGTATATGTGGTCTGTTCCATGACACAGATATCGACTGTCCTTGTAAACATTACAATTACAAATATCTTCAGGAGTTTTATGCAACAAAAACCCAACAAATACAAAAAACTAAAAAATTAAGGCGGCGTTATTGACGGATGTGTTGAGTTTTTTTTCGTGTAAAACAAGGCTGTTGCCGATGCTCGAGAACAGACTGAAAGGATTTTTGTTTTTCAAGAACAAAGGGGGTAAGAAAACTCACAAATAAAATACACACGCCATAAGTTTGAGATATCGGCTGCAGATCTCGCAACACGCATCGGCACTCGGCAATGGTCGGCACAGCCCGCAAGGGGAAGCCGTCACACACACGCACGCTGAGTCACACACGCTGAGCCACGCACACTGAGCCACACACGCTGAGCCACGCACGCTAAGCCACGCACGCCGAGTCACACACGTTGCGTCGCTGAGCCACACATGCCACTCACTCACTTGGCAGTCAACGCTGGAGACACCCCGTTTTTTTTAACCATTTCCGCCCAAGGGATAATATCGACTACTACGTCAATAAACCACCTGTAATGTAACAAAACAAAGAAGAAATTAAAAGGAAGAAAAAAAACAACAAACAATGCTTACAAAACAATCGCAAAAAAGCCAACATTGATGACGTATGTGAATTTAGCGACGTTTATATTCACATTCGAGCCATGGGTATGCACACTTCAATGAGCACACACGGCTTATTAATTCCAAAACGTTGGCTTACGCCGTGATCTCTCACATCCCCCGAGCCCTTCGCCACTAAACCCGTGCCTGTTGCGACAGCGTGGGCCGCTTCCTGCAAGCAATGACCACACAAAGCACTTCGGCTGAGATGAATGGGAAGCGTGAAGCAAACACGAGGGCTGGTGGATGGCCCTGCATCACAGAGGAGATGCCCTCAATCCAGTTGTGTCTTGGATCCTCAGAATGATTACGGTTGGGTCTGGCTGGGAATTGTTTTGCTCTATTATGCGGGTCACCGAGTCCATGCTGCGTGTCCCACCTACACCGACCTGGCAAGGACAGCGATGAACTGGCGAGTGGCCCCTCTTGAATGGAGGTTAAAAAATGACCCTCATGAATGATGGAACTTTTCACGGTCGTCTTCCCATAGCTAAAAAGTGCCTTACCTGGGGTAAACAATATATGTGTGTTTTTTTATTTATACCTTGGGATTTGCAACATAAATTGTGTTGTAAGTGAAAAACTAAAGAAGATGTGGGATTACGCTACCACAGAGACTGCAACAAAAATGTTGTATTTGTAGCCGAACTGTGCATTGAGGAAAATATTTTAAGTAGATGGTCAAGCAGACCAAACGCACGGATGATCGTTATGACTGGCAGGCAGGCTTGTAGGCAGTCCCACAGAGACAGGCACGGAGGCAGGCAGGCAGATGAGTAAACAGGCATATGGGCATCAGAAAGACAGGCAGACAGACTGGAACACAGACAAATGAACAGACGAGAGAGCGCACGACAAGTATGTGTGTGGCGTGTGCAGAATGCTGACTGGGCACCGCGTGGCTCACCGGCAAGACGCCCATCAAAGTGAGGGTTGGTGGCCACGTTGAGGCCGGGGTGGGGCATGAGGAAGCATCCCATGTGCGTGAAGCAGCTGTGGATGTGCTTCCTCACGCTCTGCAGCTCCTCGTGCTGCTTCTCCGAGATCTGTCATCGATACCGAGGATGGCAGCAGCAGAGGGCGGGGGGAGAGATTTGTTTACCTTTCCTACACCTCCGATTAGCACAGTTGGCTACGTACAGCGCGAAAGAAGTTCAACATACGCACATACGTACTTTGTATTCCTGTCGTTTTTTTTTATTGTTTGTTGTTGTTGTAACTTTCTGACCCAATGCTACTAGACATTTGTGAAAAAAAATCTTGATAGCTCATCGGATTCCTCCTCCAGTCTAAATAACAATTCTGATTCTGAAAGAGTCACCTTGAGACGCTTCTCCAGGAGCTTGGTGCCACCCACGCTTCCGTACTCGAACTCGTAGGGGAAGCTCCAGTCTCGCACCAGCAGCACCAGTGACTGTGCAGCAACGCGCCGGGTCGTTCAAGTTCAAGAAAAACGCAAAGCAAAAAAACACAGCCAGCTGTAATCTTGCAGATTCATGCCTAGGCCGTTTGCACCAGAGATCTGTCAGTGTCAGTTTGAAGCTTGTTATAAAGGGAAAAAAATACTTTAAAGTTACATTAAAGCATCTTGTCAGAGCACTCAAGCGATGACGCGCCTATGACATCATCAGGGTCATTATCAGCCAGGATCTGGATGAATTACTCCCAAAGCCATCGCCACACCTCTTAAATTTAATGCCAATGTGATGACATAACTAAGAGTGCAGTGTAAGCACTCCTAAAACATAACCATGAAACATTTTTTTGTAAAGTTCAAAGTAAAAAAAGTTCGCCCAGCCATAAGTGCAAGTCAATATGTTTCATTAATTACATTATTCTCACAATACATGTATTCAATCCCATGAGAAAATATTATTACCAATCCATTGGTAATAGTATACCATTGGTTTATGGAGACCCTGCAGCTACGGCAGACTGCACGTGCGCGACAAGCACTGGAAGTGATGACAGGCAGTCCCCGGGTTACGGAAGACCCGATTTACGGAAATCCGACTTCACAGAAATGCTCCCATTAATCATTTTTTTTAAATCAATATGCGGATATTTTTGCATTAGTTCCGTAAGCGTAAATATTACAGCGCGGTGATATTGTGGATGAATACCGCGGAGCGAGGCATAAAGGCAGGACTGCAGGGGAAGCTGCATCCCTGCCTTTAGAATCTACGACTGCCGACTGCCCATGTTGACCCCGATGTAATGCCCGTCTCCTCTCCTTCCTCATCTAACAATTAAGCCCTTCGTCATTCACAACTATTTCTGGCAATAGGATTTTATCTTGATCTTTTGGGGAAATTGTTCAGTTTCCAACAAATGGAAAATTTGTGTTTCGGATCCCTCTCGGGAACCTAACCCTTCCGTAACCTGGGAACAGCCTGTAATTGCTTTGCGAGTGGAATTATGACCTCAAATCCTGACAAACCACTGCATCGTGGAGGGGTTAAATCGTTGCCATTCAAATCATAAGCTTTTGAGCAACGTGTGATAGAATCCTTTTAGTTAACACATATGGCGATTCAAAACAAAGTCGACATTGTGATGCCACTGCAACTTTTTTACAGCATCAGATTCATAAAATTACATGACTGTCTGCGCATGTGCATACTTATAAACAAAGGCATTCCTACACATATGTACATAACCATTCCATTTATTTCCTTTCTTGCATATTACGATTTCCTGGGTCTCCCCTTGCAAGAGGTGTTTTATGTGAGCTGGCTGTCCATTAAAGTAATGAATTCCAAGACATAAGTCGTTAGTAGTGAAATGCAATTCACCTGAAAGGGCTTCAGAAAGATTTCCTCCATGGCAAGTTTTCCATATTCTGTGAAGAGCTAAAAAAGAATAGATCAAACATTAAAGATGTAGTGAAAAAAAAACTGAATAATCACACAGTCAGCCAGCAAGCAAAACATTTTCTTTTGCTGAAACGGAAATATGGTTATTGTTGGCAGCTCCAACAATAACCATTTCATGGCCACTATATTTGGGCGATATTATCGCCTCTCACGCATCGTCTCTTTACAGCCCAGTGGCCAGAAGGCTTCACACAGTCAGTTCTCAAAGAGCTGCTGTCTGGCCTTGATGGCCCGGACCAGGTGTTAATGCCGTGCGTGTTAATTGTGTTCAGTGGATCCAATGACATCAGTGTGTACCCACAATTATCCATCCCAATAGAGTAAGGGGTTATGCCAAATAGAAGTGTGACGCACTCTGGGAAAGTCCAATTGTGGTAAATATAAATGGAGCAGCATACTTAAGTCTTTCACTAAATTTAAATAATGCTAGACCGTTATTTTAGTGTACCGATGAATGTAAAATTAACAATCATCTGCTAGCAATGAATACATTTCTATGAATTAAAGTTTGCTTGCAAGTGATTAGCAAGAACCACGAGTGGAGCAAAACCACCCTTTGTGGTTACGTTAAGATTATGTTTGTATGTGTGGTCGTGTCAACTAAAACTGGTTAGCACTTAGTATGAAGACAAACTTTTTTATTCCAGGCCATATGAATTCCTATTTTAGCAACCTGCAGGCCAAAAGTGTTTTAACACGACGTTTAGTGATCATTAAAAGAAAAAATCACTAAACATAGCACTATATGAAAATTGCATTAGTGAGATTATTTGTGCGATATTTTATCTGGGAGGAAACCTGTAATAAAAAAAAATCGAAAAATGGAAATTGTAATATCAGGTAATTTTCAGACACGTGGGTTAATTATGAACAGACGTGCTACACATGGGCTCACAATATGAGCTAAACCCCATGAACCTTCGCAAGTCAGATTCAATAATTGAATGTGGCCCTCCTAATAATACATTGCCGTGACATTAGAACAGCATGAGCCAAGCAAATGGAAATCTGCAAAACCTTGTCCACCCAACGTCCAATTTCCCCCCTGACATTTGCATTGATTAAGGAGAATTATGTCACTTTAGATTGCTCTGTTGTGAGCAAAGGGAGTGAGAAATCAGCCGAGCGCTGTGAGCACACAAACAAATTTTCAGAAACTACCTACTTTTTTTCCCGTGAATCTAAGCACAATAGCAACACAAACGATTCACAACCAACTTGCTTTGTTTTCTTCTTTCTTTGTGAATGCAGACTCACTTTTAAAGGTGCCTATAGCTCTGGCTTGAGCACAAACAAACTCAAGCCTCCCTTCACATCTCCAAGCTTGAACCTTGTAGAAATAAGTGAATTGTTGTCATTGTTTTTTTGTGGCCTCTGTGTACTGCGGTAAGTTGAGTTCCATTAAGCACTGCAATCAATCACAGGTGCAACGCATATAAACCGCACTCCATTGATTTACCAACGCGCCACAGAGACTCGTTAGAGCAATGTGAATGAGCTCCACGGCGGGGAGAGCTCTCCGTTGCATAACACAGATGAAACTGGATAGAGGGGGAACAACCTATAGACACGTTTGAAATGTTCTCAACTGATATCATTATTGTTAACACAAGTGTCAAAGGTCCGGCTTGTCATTATGTACGAGATGACGCAGCAAAGTACCAAGATGGCAAAAAAAAAGTTGTCTAGATCTGAACACTCATCAACACAATGACCATACTGGGCATGGCCTTTGAGTTTGGTGCTCCAGAAGCATTGCGAATGTGTGTGTGGCAGACCTGGGGTCAATTATAATTCTATCAGTATTGTTAGCTCCAATTATAATTACGCGACGATCGCAATTCATTACCTATGATCCAAATATAAATTGTAATTGGCCCCAGGTGTGGCGTGTGTTGTGTGCGCCAGCATAAGTTACCTGCAGGTGTTGCAAGTCATCCTCCTGGATGTTTTGGGACAGGTTATAGACCTGTAGACAAACAGACACATCGTCATTACCCTGACCGGTGGTGTCACGTTACTCTCCAACGTAAACTTACAGTTTGCCAATAGCTACAGGGCGAAGCTTACATCCAATGGGAACCCAATGCAGGCAGCACAAAGATCCGTAGAAATGTGGAAGAGATATTAAAATGCATTTCTTCACCAAATAATTGTTTTCACTGTTACCGTATCCTTACTGCAGGTGTTGCACCATCATCTACCCGTTGTGAATATGACAGTGTTTTTGTGCAAGTTAACAGTTATCCATGCTGAGACCATCAACACGAGCAGTATTTCAGCATCAACGGCAGTAAAAGGCTTGAACCCAGGTCATCGCAAAACGCTGGATCTACGCTCCTGCACGGCTATCAGTCCCCTTACCCACGCAGCCACCTTGACTTCATAATCACCAGTCATGCATGCTCACCATTTACGGTTTGAGGAGGTGCAACAGCACTCGGACACATTTTCAAAATCGACAACAAATAAAAAAAGCCTTGTAAGCGCAAATTGTAGACGTTATCCACCATTACCGCCGCGCTTGGTAAAATAACCTAAAGGACTCCAGCTGCGCTGACATCAGTACGGTGAGAAACCCGCTGCAGGGAGGCGGTGTTACAACAGCTACCCGTGGGATTCTGCAGTCTCTTTGCTGCGATGATTAGCGCCACTGAAAGCTCCAGCAACACAAATAAACAGCAAACATCGGAATAACACGGAGGGAAGTACGGCCTTTGATATCTAATCTGCCTATTAAAAGTTCCTGTTTATCGGTCCCACGTATGAGAACGCACGGCGAAACAAAGAAAAACAACAAAGGCTGATATGCAAAAGCATTTTAAAGGCAGGGCATGTTTCGATTGTGCATCCCTGCGAAGACTGTGCTCAACAAAATTTCAATCACGGCAGCAAATTCCCCGTATACTTAAGGTCAGACGGTGGAAGCCTGAGTCAAGACGAGGTCGCGTCCTCGTGCTCCACTCACTCGTGTTCAACACAAGCACGGCTTGTGTTGCATGCATGTCAGGGCAAAACTGAGAGGGCATGTATGTTTTGGTGTCTATATACTTCCCGTTACAGCAACGGAGCACGTGCATATTTCTCATATACGCCCTGGAGGGCATTCATGAGTAGTAACTGACAGCAAATGCCTGAAAACAGAACGCCCATGACTCCAGGCTCAAGCAGCACTGATTGTTGCTGAAGAACTTCTGAAAAGCGATGCTCCATCGCAAATCAAACGTTCCAAATAAATATAGACTCTCAATTATCCACGTGCGGTTTATCCGATTAACAGATTTACTGCGCACCTAAAATTTTGGCATAAATTAATAACTCATGGATTTTCCCTTAAACCCACATTAATAATCTAAAAACAGTTATACACTGCCATTCTTGGAAATGTTTATTACAAGTCACGTGCTTAAACCGAACAAATATGTTGCTCAGGTTAATCTGAAATCCACATAATCGCCCCTACAGTACAGTAGTTGCGTATCTTTACAACAGTGGGTGGAGTTTGATTGATGTTGATTGGCGTGGCTCTGCTATCATCCACTTAGTAGGCCTAGACTTCTGCGTAGGAGCAAGACAATGGGCACTCGCATCGATCGGTCGATTCTTTACTAAAAATGATTGTTTTGTTAATTAACAGACTACATTGTCTTAACTTAAGCTTAATGTATACCTATGTGTTTTTTGGCAAAGAGATCCATGGAAAATTGATATTTTTTTATTAACCCGGGATTTTCAATTATCCACGGTCGTCATCCTCGTCATGAGTGCGGATAATCGAGAATCTACTGCAAGTTCATCATGTACGATCGAAGTTTGTGGGTGACTAAGGAGATCACGGTGAAGATACTTCATAAATAATTTTGTGGCCAGTAGCATGGGTGCCAATTTTGACGTTCAAAAAAACAAAACGATTTGATTTTACAATTGTAAAGAAAAAACGGGCATATATTGAGCATGGAAAAAAGAATATAAACAAAAGATTTGGCATTAACATTAAATCCTTATATCGTAGGGCCATAATCAAGGTTGAGAATATGTTTAATGCTATTTTGTTAAACTCACAGCCAGTTTAGTCCCATCATGCTCTGAAAGAAGAACTATAATTAAAAGTAATGGGGCATGGAAGCATCAGAAAAAAACCGGAATACTCGGCACCCACGAATCACCAATGTGGGTACGACCCGATGCCACCGGTGGGCTGCTGAGTGGATGAACAAGGGGGCCGTGCAAGTGCGTGTCGGCGTGCGTGTCGGCGTGCGTGTCGGCGTGCGTGTCGGCGTGCGTGTCGGCGTGTGTGTCGGCGTGCCTGTAGGCGTGCGTGTAGGCGTGCGCTACCTGCACGGAGCTCGTCATGGTGCTGAGGGCGAAGACGGTGGCAGAGTCGCGGATGGTCGACTGGCTGTCGAATGTTCCCTGCGTGTCCATCAGTAGCACGGCCACCTGCAATGGCACAGCCAGGCGGGCGGGGGCAGGCAACCGAAGGCAATGATGGTGAATGCAGCGATGATAAACCGAAACTACAGTCGCGCACAATGACAAGATGAATGCCAAAAACCAAAGGCAGCAAAAACAATAATAATATAACGATCGTACCGACAACTATTTATCAACAACATCAATGGAATTATGAAGTTGAATGAAAACAACAATAAAAGACACGGCGACCTTAGTAATGGTGATAATGACCCTGTGGGTAGGTGCAGAGACGTAAGTTTGTGGCGACACTAAACACGAGGTCACCGCACAGCCTGACAATCACGAGATAAGCACTGCACAGGATAGCTATCAAACCCACTGTCCATGCCTGCAGAAATTGTTCACCCATTATAACTCATGTTGATAATCATCCTTACAATTATCTCGTATTCATTGTCTGAAACTGCCGTTCATTCTTTACGAGGCTCTAAGTAAAGAGGCCATTAGATTTATTGACGAGTAAGACTTGCCCTTTGTAGAAGGCGAGCGAAGTTCCTGAAACTGTGGGCAATAATCTGCTAGCCACGTGTGAACCGGCTGAGTGCTCACGCACGCTGACCACTATGCTACTTGGCCACGCAAGCACGCTGTGTACTCCAAACGGGTTTTCAAGAGACAATGACACGGTATAATAACACGTTTACACGCAAAATGGGAAATGATCGCTTGCATTAATAACATGCGTGGGAGCCTCACTGATCCTATTGTTTAACAGCTGTACAGGCATCAAGCCTTTCTTGAGAAACTGTAACATTGACAACTGATACCAGGATTAAGAACGTAAATTTTGCCCCGTTTGGCTTAGCAGGTGCACGGTGACCTATTTTCCAGACCCCCGTGTACATGCACAGTCCCACTCAAAGCAGGCTGCCAACAGTTCATATAAACGTTAAATCAACGCTCCAAGCACTCAACGATTTCAAAATACAATCCAATCATTGGAAACACCTCATTTCACCTCAATTTGGTCTTGTAAAAGAACCTTAGGCGTTTCACTCTTAGAAAAAAATTAACCCCTTAAAATGCATCGCATTTGACACGGTACACCTGTCCCAACGTTGATCTTTCAATAATCACGAAGCAAAAGCTTAATGTGAAAACAGTTACATTACATGTAACGTAGCACAGTCTCTCCTCGTCTGTAGACTTTTTTTTCATTGTGACATTCAATCAAAAATTCACACACACGCCTGAGTTCAGGCCTACAATCTTGCAAAACAGTACCCTGTGCGGCCTACTACATCGGTCGTGGATATCCTATGCCTCCCCATAACATCAAGAGAACACAACAGTTTGCAGCCACGGATTGCTGACGAGCTTTACTGAAGTTGAAACCGATCCCACAGTGGGCACGCTTCAACGCTGGCTGACACTGCCGGAAGAGGGGGTCCCACGGGTCCATGACGTGCGTTCGTGCCGGACGCACCTGGCTGCCGTCGGGCTTGTCGACGAGGAACACCTCGTTCCACACTTGGATGCCCGTCGTCTCGCGCTCGGAGCCCCCGCGCCAGCTGAACCCCGTGAGGGGCTCCGTCTCCCCGCCCAGCCAGCTCCCGCCCATGCTCTGCATGATGTCCGTCCAAGGTTAACCACAGCACAAATTAGAGGGAAGACGCAACCCATAAAACAAACAGCTCCTACCTTGTCGATGCACGCACCTGTGCCGTGACCCGAGCCGTCACACACACGAGGTTGATTCTTTGTGACGGTGAAAAAATGTTTTAAGTTACCATCAAGCACACCGCCATGCGGCGCTGGCGCTATAACGACATTGCCGCTATATTAAAATACACCGCCGTTGTACGAGAGTGACATCACGGTGAAGTCACTGGGGTGGCACAATGGAACGCTTGACCGCGGGGCTAGACTGCAGCTTTAACGAAACGTTTGCTTTGACCTACCGATCCACACAAAATTGCCGACAACACAAAATGCGCAGATGCCGTTCCATATAGATGGATCTTGCTGTGGGTAAATCTCGTGGGGGACCGGGGAGCGGGGAGAGGCTGGAGACGCACCTGTCTGTACATGTAGCGCAGCAAGAAGTCGAGCAGGAAGGACTTGCCCTTTCGGAAGGCGCCGGCCACCGACACGACCACCACCTCCTTGTTGCGCACCTCGGGCCGCAGCAGGATGCGCTCGAGCGCCGCCTCGTCCAGCTCGAAGGTGTGGTCGCCCTGCGCCACCACGACTTGCACGGGCCGCGCCTCCTGCACCACCTCCATGTCCGAGCCATCCGGCGTACTGGGGCTCGACGCATCGTCTGCCAACGAGACGGAGAACGGCAAGTGCGCGCGTGCATCAGGCAAAGGGTGGACGCGCGGACGTTTGTGGATTGACAAGTGAGCAGATGGTCAGAGGTGTGCAGAGGCAGATCAGCAAAACAGGTGCTTGGACAGATGACCGGCATGTCTGTCTCCACCTCCCCAATGCTCACTAATTATACACCGCCACTTCTCTCACGTAACATGTCCGTGCTGCGTCTGCATCTCTCGCACCTCACCCGTCTCCACCTCGCACGCCAAAACATCTCAGGCCTCTTGATCCGCACGTTCCCACGCTGTGCCTTTCTAAATTTCTCTCCATATAGCCAGGCACTCAAGAATGATGTGGCCACTATCACGCATCGTTGGTGAGCATCGGGGCCATGTGGAGATGCATGAACAAACAAAAGCAGACAGAAAGAACGTGGAGATATATGGAGTGAAAATAGCCGAGCGTTACATGGCATGGCGATGTCTGGAGTGAGAGAAGCAGAGAGAGACCAGGCATGGGAGACAAATGGAGCAAGCGAAGCGGAGACACTGCATGGAGTTATATGGAGAGAAAAGCAAACACGTGCACGAGTGAGATATGGAGTGAGAAGCTTTGAAGTGAGACGTGGTATCGGAGAGGCCATGTCCTTGAAGGGCAAACAGCAGAGTAGGAGAAACAAACAGCATTAAACACATACTGCTTATGGCAGGATCTGTGTTCCCTAGCCTGAAGATATCCAGAATCTAATGGATTCGGTTTCCTGCAGAACGTACGATTGAGGCTTCACGGCTTCATGACAACGACACTACTTGGTTGCCACAGGTAGAACAGGTAGATAATATGCCTTCAGACTTTACTCACAAAGCAAGTTTATGTTTAAAGGCAGATCGTATTTTGTTTTGAAATCCAAGCCAGCTCACAGCGAGCACGGTTACTTTCCGAGAGGAATGCGCTCAAAATAAAAGACCAAGAGCCGTGGAGCACAACACTCGAGATTAACGAGCCATCAGCTGACCAAACCCCGTAGCTATCGTGGCAGCACACGCAAGCGCGCCACTCTGCACCCTGCATCAACACGAACAGCAGCAGCGTCCTGCTTGTATGTGGCATTTCTAGTTACTGTACATCAGCTGCAACACACAAGTGTTCATTCATTATACGTGTCACGACCGCTGGAATGCAGCAAAGTGTACTACAAAACCAAATTAACCAACACACAAAAAATGTCCAAGAACAACATTTCAACCTCTGAAACCATTCTAGGAGCTTCACATTTTCACAACAATTGCACTTGAAGCAACCACCCCAATGCTGTGCAGGATGACTACATCAGCCTAACACGCCACTGGGATAAAGATCACACTTAGGCTTGCATCCACGAGTGATCATGTGGTGTGCAACCGAAAAACGTCACGCATTTGACCACAACCGGCCAGTCACTGCTCCCTTAAAGGCCCTTATGCCTTCAAGGGCCCCAGTTTCTTCACAGGGTCCCAGTGCCAACAATAAAATCTACAACCTGCCTCAGCAGCACTGCCAACAGGGACCTTCATTCTGACAACACTAGCAAGAGGACCTAAGTGTCCTCAACAATAGCCAAGGTCATGAACATGCATTGATCATTTGGACGAGGGTGTTGCGCTCAGATGGCCATATGATGAAAAATAAAAGCACCATACACAAAGGTGCTGAGCCACATTCACATCTTAATGAAATCACTGGAAGATATCTTCATAGCAATTTTCCTCGTTGCTGGTGATAGGAGACGGAACATTTTAGCTTCACCACAATGACAAGAATCATCGCCAGACATATTAAGCTGAACAACTGTGTCATTGCCTTTTTAGGGTCATGCTAAGGCACAGTATTTATTGAATGTGCCTCATATTACCTCCCTATCGTGATGAATATCTGGAAGCGGAACCTTGTATGTTTACACCTAAATGTGTTTTGAACAAGCCTCCATTCTCAGAGCAAGATATATTGGTGCTAAATATTTTCACTCAACTCAATGGGGATACATTTATCTTCCATGCACAACAGGAGAAGTTGAAGGGCAGTTACACACAATGGCGGAGCCAGGATTTTCAGGTAGGGGGGGCAACCCCTGCAGCAATGAAAAATGATAGGAGTTGTTAATAAGGACTTGTCCCTTGCTTTTTATTCGACGCGTGTGCGGCAATGGCGCAGCCATCGATCGAGGGTCGAATTCGAACCACGTTGTGTGATCGGCATCGCGCTCGCTTAAGGTATGCCTTCAGGGAAGTCGTGTACTGTATATGCAACTGCGTAAAATTCTGTGAATCACTTATAACTGCTTTGCCGTTACTTATTGCCAATTATGGACTCAGACTATTGTCTTATCATCTCATAGAATCCCTGGCACATAATATGCTACACAGTGGCAGTGGAGGTCGCAAAATTACGATTTATTACTAATAAACCCCAATGATCCGATCAAAATGAGGGATTTCGATCGGATCATTGGGGGAGCACGTGCCACCCCACCCCCCACTGGCTCTGCCAGTGGTTACACAACTTAGACAACTCCAGTCAAAATGTCAAAATCAACCCAACAATGCATTTGGGTATCTATAGTTTTGAGAAAAAAATATTTATGAAGTTAATGGTTTAACACGTACACAAAAATAAATGCACCTTCACCATCCCAACGTGAAGTTAGTCTCATTTCGTCGACTCTGGTATTTTATGAACATATTTCCCTTATCAATACAGATGGAGAAAATATTTAGATATGAATTACAGTCATAATTGACTGACCTACTATGCCTAAGTAAAAAGCCACTTCATGATTATACTAATGATTACCCGCGCAGTTAAAATGTCCGAAAAATACGTCTGACAACGCCGCACTGCGCGCAAGACGTGGAGCTGCTGTCACCAACCAGCAGCTGAAGCCACATGATTGTGAATGACAGTTGGTGGTAATGGGACCAAACCAAGAGTAAAAATTTGCTTAATTGCTTCAGATTTTTTTTATATGCTGTGCCACTGTTGACATGTCCTTTGCAGTCACTAGAGGCGCTACCATCCGTCACTGCAATAAGGTATTGATTCTTGAATCAAATCGTGATCCTGAATCATGGTGATTAATAAAATGGCAAGGGCAGCAATCATCACCAGCTGCAGGATAGGAGAAAAGAGTTATAGTTAATGGGGGACAAGAGAATAAAAATGCTCAATCGTAGCAATAGTTTCATTTCTTAAAGATATATGGGACATTATTACAAATGTTTCTTCAACACAATAGTTGGGGAAAAAATTATACAAATCATTTAAATTGTATTTGATGCATGTTATCATAAGTGTAATAAACATTTATTTAAATCAATTAACTATTAGACCCTTAGGTAAATGCAAAGCAGCCAATGACTTCCGTCAGTTACTTTAGCGCTGCGGGTATTCCAACATTTGCCTGGCATTTCCCACGCACGCCGTCCTTGGAGAGCAGGTGATGTTCACGCAAACAGCTCTCACCTGGCGCTAAATAAATTAGTCGACTGTAGCACAGGTGAACAATACTTGACCCGCCACCACGCTGCATACCTTGCGAAGCCTGTGGCCTTGCAGCAGAAACTCTTGCCAAATTAAAGCGCAACGGGAAGTGATTGTTATGAGGATGCATTTTACATTCTGGACTGAATAACTGGTTTAGAGACAAATTATTTTGGACCAGTCATGATTCCAAATCATTTGAAAATCGCATACCTTTGCCTCCAGATTGCAAGAGGGGTCTAGGCCAGGTTCACAGAGTTGCAGAACAATTGGTGCAATGAGCCAATAGATGTCAGTTATGCAGAAATTGCACAATGTAATTCGATGACTGTGTTTTATTTAAAAACTAATTCTTAAAGATGTATTTAAGATCCATTAAACACAAAACATTCGCAAAATTCCACTTATGGTCCAAATGTGCCGAGCTTCATCAAATCACAAGGTGAAAAAGACTAAAAATAAGATTTTCACAAACCACTGTAGCAGGCACACACACACGCACAAACAAGCCCCGGTTACTTTGCTGTTTAGTGATAAGGAGTCTCATCTCACTCCACTGCCACAATTCAAGAGACCTATTCAATCCTGGTTGCGTTTGAAATGGCCACGTGCACTTGCACATCACCCCTCACGTGACCAAATGTCGTTCTCGCCTCCAATCATAAAAAGCTCGGAGTCCAGATCTGACCATCACATCGCTCCCCAACAAACAAGCATATGATTCACTTGCTATTGTCAGCTAAAGCTGAAAACTAACATCAAGCATAAATGAGATTCTGATCAACCTCGGATGTAAATTAGTATGTATACCCGTTCAGCTCTTTTCTAAATCTACTGCTGGATGAGGGCCTCCCCCATGCCATGTGAGTTGTGGGCGCGATTTGACCATGCTGGTCAGTGCCCAATAGTGCAGGTGAGGAGCATATCGACGTGGTGGTGCAAAGGACAGTAATTCACTGCCCTATGCTGCCCATAACTTAGCAGATTAAAATATACAGAAATACACAAATATTTTAAAAGCTTTAAAAATAAAGCCTCTTCACGTGACAGCACAGAGATATGCATCGTCAAGTTTAGGTTTTATTTAGATATTCATGACATCTGTAATATTTTTTGAGCCAGTGATGTAAAACAGTTGGGGGAAGAAACGGGGGCCAATTTGTCACCAGGCCAAGCGCCGCAGCACCGTAATCACCAGCAGCACAGTGAATGGGGGGGGATGCATGGCATGGCACATCCAAAAGTGTATAGGCAAGATGTATCTGTGCTCAGTCACCTATTCCTCGATTGTCACCCCAGGGACGCAAAGGGGATAGTCAAACATACCATTTGAAACATCAACGTTTTATTCGGTAATGGTGACTGCTGCACTACTTATGTTGTGAGATCAAATATGGATGTTTCTAACACCAGTGTTTTTAACTTTTAATTTTCTCCGGTCATTAGTGTAAGGCGGCTTACAAATAAATTATTATTATATTGATCTTCTGC